AAACAGGGGTGGAGGCCTCCGGGTTCAACTGTCCCCCTCTTACAATGCTGTGATTGCTAGTATCACTCAGCCCTCTGGGAACAGTACACAGCCATCAGTGTGCTAATGATCCATTGTTAGGCTGATGGTCCTTCTTGAGCATGTGATCAGCTGGTTTTGGTTGTCAGCAGCAAACTGGTTGATCCACTCTGAGAAGGTGCTATTTAAGAGACTGAGCTGAAAACAGCTCCTCAGACTGAAGAAGTCTCTCGGATGAGAGACGAAACGTTTCTACATTTTTTGTTGATTTGCTTTGTTTTGTTCTTTTTGAATGTCCAGAGGACCAGATTTAACTTTTTTAGATTTTTCTACCTGGATTATTGAGCATGCATCAGGATATTTTGAACTCCATTTAAATTATTTCTGCTAACTAAGGCATTTTGCATTTTTTAACTTTATTTTTGCTAATTTCTGCTTGTTACACTCTTTTTAGCTTATTTCTGCAGGTTTCAGCCTTTCTGCTATTTCAGCTACTATTTAGCTGATTTTATGCTAATTTTAGAATTTTCAGCTAATTCCACATTTTTTGCACTCATTTCAACATTTTCAGCCTAATTCAGCATAGATACGCTCTCTCTCCACTTCTTTATGGTAATTTAAGCTTCTTTCTGCTATTTAGCTACTTTTCTGCTGTTTTTTGTGTAGAAAATTTCAGCTTTTTTCAGATAATTTTCACTTCTTTGTGCTAATTTCTGCTTATTTCTGCCTAATTGTGAAAACGTGATCTTTCTGCTTTCTTCTGCTAATTTAAGTTTGTTCCACCCTTTTAGCATTTTTAGCTATTTTAAGCTATTTTCAGATAAATTCAAGTTTTTTTTGTTCATTTCTGCCACTTTCAGCCTAATTAACTTCTTTCTGCTAATTTCAGTTTGTTAAGCTCATTTCAGCCCATTTCTGCTGGTTTCAGTTATTTCAGCTACGATTTAGCTGTTTTATGCTAATTTTATCTTTTTCATCTAATTCCACATTTTTTTGCACTCATTTCAACATTTTTCAATCTAATTCAGAAAAAATGTTCTCTCTACACTTCCTTCTGGTAGTTTAAGCTTCTTTTTGCCTTTCTAGATACTATTAAGCAGTTTTTTGTTGTTGTTGCAAATTTCTGCAAATTTCATATAATTTCCTCTTTTTTGTGCTCATTGCTGCTTCTTAAAACCTAATTGGACAAACGTGTTATTTCTGCTTTCTTCTGCTAATTTAGGCTTGTTCTTCCATTTCAGCTACCTTTCAGAAAGTTTTTTTGTAAGCTAATTTCAGCTGTTTTTCAGCAAGTTCTTCTGCAATTGCATTTTCACAGGAAATGCAGTTTCTCTAGTTAATGAAGTGTCTGATAAATTATTCTTTACTCTTTTAGCGCTGACGTTCAGAAGTAATCATTTTGATAAGAAACAGGTTGAATTCCTTGATGAACACATTTGTAGCCTCCAGTTAATGTTCTGCTGCCAAACATTGCTTAACAAAAAATTTGGTACGTTGACATAGAATCAGAGAGGAAACAAATTAAACAGTATAAAAAAAGATTTCAGAGCATTTTCAGTTTTCAATATTGTGTTATGCTATACAACCATGAGCTAGAGCTTGAGTAAATCCAATAATCAATGATCCTGAAGATGTTGCCATCCAGCTGTGACTATTTACATGCACATCTATAGCAAACCACACAGCAGATGTTGTACATCCTGTCTGAGAGGGAATAAAGCTTGACAGAATCAGTGGATCAGGGAAACTGTTTCAGGTGACCAGCGAAATTATGGACCTTTTGTCTGAGCTCTAGAGTTTTTTTTTTTTTAAGATGGAAGAACCTTATAAAGAACAGTCATGAGTGCAGCACCTCACCAGTCAGGCCTTTATGGTTCAGTACCAAGACATTCCTTTCTGAAAGGCACCTGACAACTCATTAGGAATTTGCCTAAAAGCTGAATGAGTCTTTAGCTCAAGAAAAACTAAATCCTCTGATCTGATTAAAAAAAAAAAGTAATTCCCCGCAGAGTGTGTGGAGGAAACCAGTCGCAGCAGCTCTACTGTCAAACACGGTGATGGTAACATCATGTGTGTCAGAGTGGGCAGGAGACTGCAAACTAAATCAAGAGAGAAAATCTTCCCAGAATACCTCAATGTCATACTGGTGTAAGGAGGAAATTTACATTTTAAGAAGACAACAAGCTGGAGCACGTAGAATGAATGTGGAAACCCCTTTAAAAGGCTTCAAATGACACAGCTAAAGGAGGCGAATCTCTCCATTTAATTATTTCTGCAAACAGTTTGTGTCTTTAAAAAAAAAGTCAGAAACTTCAAAATAAAGAAGTTCCAGGAGTGTCTTTCAGAAGCTTCTGCCAGATCCTTTAATGCAGGGGTGTCCAAAGTGCGGCCCGAGGGCCGTTTGCGGCCCTTGGAGTGATTTTGTGTGGCCCATGAAATATTTAGCTATAATTAATCCCTTTATCCTACAACAAACCTTCACTGACCTACTAAAAAGTAGAATTTTGGATGATAAATCATAAAACCTGGCTAGATATAACAAGTGTTTTCAAAGAAAAGAATTTCAGTTGATTTAGTAATAATCGATAGGGAGAAATTGGACATTTTTAAAGAAATAAAGTGGCATCATTAACATATAATTGATCAACTTTATCAGCGTCTTTTCAAACCATCCATGAATCTATTTTAGCGACTGCCCGCTGGATGGTTTTTCAGAACTTCGATGACCCTTTAGGGCCATCGATGGTCCAAACGGGTGTTTGAAGCTCCACCCCCTTTGAAAGAGCAGTTACTCATCTTTGGCTTTTATCTCTGAAAATAAACAAAAATGAATATTCCAAGCACAAGAAAACAAATAATAGAACCCCCCCAAAATCTAATAAATTAAATTCTTAAAATAAAAAAGGTTAATGTTTATGTGGCTCCTAATGTTCTGGATCTACAAGAATTTAAACTAAACTTTTAACCTTTCTCCAAAATATTGTTCAAGATGTTGAGAGTTTAAAAATGAGGGAGGGTGGGGGAAATCACGCTTTTTTTTTTTTTTTTATTTTATTAAACTCACATTTTTCTGGCCCGGTCCTTTCATCTAGACAGTTATGGCCCACCTATGAAAACATTTGGACACCGCTGCTTTAAGGGATGCTTTTTAAAAAAACTGAATTGGATACTTCTGCAAACAGGAAGTGACAGTTTTTTTTACTGTAAGTGAAATAGCAAAATTGGTCTCTCTTTGCTAACATAAAGTACACTTTAGCCCACTTGACTGCACCACGAAGCTCTGCATCCTCCTTAGGCCTGTCACGATAACAAATTTTGCTGAGAGATTAACTGTCTCAGAAATTATTGCGATAAACGATAATATTGTTTGAAATTTGACAATAATTAATAATTATTGTCAAATTTAAGAAGAAATGTTGGTTAATTTGTTTTGAGTGTAGTACCTTTTTTGGACCACCGGATGGCAGTATAAGACTGTTTGAACTGAAGGATGGATAGTGAGGGAGCGAGCGTGCCTCTTTAATAAAAATGGAAGGGAGGCCTCTTGACATGGACCGTCTCTCCTTCCTGTTTTTCGGTTCTCAAAATGGCGGACGATCGGTGTGGTTTAAGCTCTTTAGCATAGCATTTGTCACACAAAGCTTTTAATAAAAATCAGTAAACAAGTTCTCAGCTTCTTTGTGCAGAGAAAAACAACTTTTTTCAGGAAGGCACGGGTTTCAACTGTGAATTTTGGAGCTTCGACCAGACGGAGGTTTTTTCCTCGAGGTCGGCCTGTTAGCTTAGCTCGTAGCTTAGCTTCTCAGCTTAAACACTTTTAACGATCCAAAAACACAATTTTGGACGGTTCAATGAATTTTAACGAGAAAAGAGAAAGGGGAGGGGTCAGTGAAGAGCACCGGAGTTGAACCTTTTGTCATCCAGTGTCTCCCATAGAAAGAGAGAGACACGAAGGAATGATTAAGCTGATAAATGAAAATGAGGTTGATCATTTTCATTTATCATGCGATTAATTGATTTATTGTTTATCACGACAGATCTAGTCCTCCTTATAATTCACTGATGGGTCCACTTCCTAATCCTCAACATAAACAATGTTAACGGACAATGTCCCACACAGACAGCAAACTTTAATCTTTTTGTAAGGAAGTAAAGTTAAGTCTTGCAGGCCTCTGATCTGTCTTACGTCACCACTATTCAAACCAACGACACCAAGAGCCCATAAAGATATAAACACCCTTCTAACCTGCCTCTTTCTACAAATATGACTTTTTTTAAGATGACAAATTTTATTTCAATGAGCTGAAACTGATTTGCTTGAAAGACCCTAAAGTTAACCCTTGGAGGTCTTGCTCTCCTGCAGAACACCTGACTCACACAAAGCTCTCACCATATTAGTATAGATAGCCTGTTAAGCTTGTTAAAGGACATATCCCCATCTTAAGTGTGGTGTTAGGCTGTCAGAGGATAATCGGTCTATAATCTGGCATCAAAACACCCGTTGAGACAGCAACAGGCACCGTCCGCAGATGAACGAGTTCGCTCTGAACCGTGACCGAAACGTCACTGAAAAGCAAAGACGCCTACATTTTAGATTGATTCGCTCTTAATGCTGCAGCAACAATCTGGGTTTCCAATTCTGGAACAGACGCTTTGGTGAATTTACACTTATCGTAGCAAGCAGAGCAACAAAGAAAGCAGGAACCACAGACAGTAGACGCAGCAAAGCAAACAGGAATCAGTGAGAAAGATGTTCTTTTCTCGTCACGTCCCGCCGGTGATCTACTCACCACAGGCCCGGGTTGCCTTTGGCGGTCTCGCAGAAGAAGTGGTTGAAAAGATCTCTGGTGTTGAAGTTGCCCAGCATGGTTGTGAAATGAGAACATGAACCTTTGACTGCGGTAGGGAACCACTAATCCCCGTCACATGACCTACAGCTCCATAATCCCCACTGGGTCTCATAGCACCTGGTCCAAACGGGCCAATGGAGATGAGGATGATGGGTGGTGGCTGAATGATGTGAAGTGTGGTTATCGCCCGCCATCCAAGGTGAAGAAGGGCGATATTAGCCCGTGTCTGTGTGTTTGTTTGGCTGCCTGTTAGCAAAATAAACGCTAAGCCACATTAGCAAATACTTAAATCCACACGACTCAGCAAGTTGTGCAAAAACGAAGCTTAAATCTGGTGTGTTAGTAGCTGAGACTGATCCCCAACACATACTCTGAGCACTAACTGATCTGTCTTTAAACATTAACTACTGAAGTCAACGCTGTCTGTTAGCAAAATAACTCATGAGCCACTTGAACAGTCATCGGGTATACATCTACAAGTGATTAAATTTAAGTGTCAGTTCAAATCATGATGGCTGCCACAGGTAATATATTTATGTGGTAGTCACTAGGAGTCATCAAGAAATACTCTCAGCATTTGTGCATCTTGGCTGTGGCAGCCATCTTGAATTAAGTTTTTGATATGAAAGCTGGCTGGTAACATGCACTTGCGATTTACTGAATGGTTCTAATGGCAATAAAAACGTACGTGATGTTTTATTAGCTGCAGCAGCTGAAATAATGCTTTATTAGCTCCTAGCTTTCATTTATCCGACCGTTATGATCACAGGTTTCATGCATTCGCCCTCTCATATAAATCAGCTTTCTTACCTGTGTTTGAGGTGCGCCTCCAGGTCACACCGTGGCATGCTGAGGGCGCAGACAGGACTCAGGGGGCAGGACACAGACAGTTTGTCCAGCAGCTTGTGAACCAGGATGCTGGACCTGCGGCACGCCTGCAGCTGCAGCCGGGCCCGGTCCAGAGGGCAGAAGTCCCTCTCCTGGAGGAAGCTGCGCAGGCAGCGTGCGCAGAATGTGTGTCCGCACGGCGTGTCCAGCGGCTGCACCAGCGGTTGCAGGCAGATGTGGCACACCAGGTCGTCGTCCACCTCCAGGCGGTAGTTATAGAGGTGGTTCTCCCAGCTGCGGTGGATCTGGCCGCACTCTGGACACAGAGCCTCCAGCGCCGGCTCCACCGACCCGGCTACATCTACCTCACAGCCTGGGCTGCTCATCGTTTCTCCGTCAACACAGCTCAGCTTTGGCACAAATGACTCCAGTGAGGCTGCAGGAGGTGGGATGGGGCGTTCCTATCCCATAAGCGTCGAGCAGGTTGAAGAGAGGACAAATGCCCTCCAGGGGCTGATGGCGCATAACCCTGCAGGTCAAAGGTCACAGCAGTAGAGTTCAACAGCTGTTTCTGCAAAACAACTGGTTACGTTAATTTATTCATGTGGCAAATGCTTTGTGTGCACGTGTCTCCAAACTGTGTGAATCTGCTGAGATTATGAATTGCTGCTCCTGTCCGCTAATCTGACAGTATAATCTCGATTTTGCTCTCGCCTGCTTCAATCTTCCAATTCTGCAGAGAGGGAATTATCTGGGATTGAAGCAGAGAGAGGACACAGATCAGAGAAAGTGGGACTGGGGAGAGCAACGGAGGAGGAGGCCGAGAGTAGGGGTGGCGGAGCGATGAAGAAGATTTGAAGGTGGGTGAGGGAGGTCAGATGGATTTGTAAGCAGGCACAAAACAAGAAATTGTAGCTGAAGGGAGGAGAGGAGGCTGCTGGGAAAAAAAGGAAAGCAGCAAAAAAGGATTCTTCATATTTATCACCCATGACCACAAGGTGACAACAATATTTTTGCCCATGTTTGTATGCGATTACCAAAATATCTTAATATCACCTTCACAGGAAAGTCCTGAAATATAGCAAGCAGAGGACGTCCCTGACTCTAACTCAGGCCCTGAAGGCTAGCAGAGGGCGTGCCTCCCCGCTCAGCAGGCCAGCCAAGCCACAGTGACTACCTGCCTCTGTTCCAGCAAAGAAAAAGGGTCTGCTCCTGTCTCCATGACGACCTGCATCCTGTTCTGTTCAGCGGGGCTTGACATTCAGAGTGTAGCCAGCGAAGGATGCAGAGGAGGCACAACAACAGATGCTCTTCTCCCAGCAGGATGCACAGCCTGCAAGCCTGTCACACTGTGAGGACGAGGATGATGAAAGCCCCTCTGGTTCATTTTTTTAAACTGCTTTTAATCTAATCTCTAATTTTTGATTTTTTTTCTATAACTTGTCCCTCCTGTCTCCTTGGATACCAGACCGGTATACTGACTCCTTCAACGTGCTCCTGTCTGTGTGTGACTGGCTGCTTCTGTCTCTATCCCGCAGCTGGACATGAATTAATCATGAGGACACAAGGCTTCTCTGTTTCTATAACAAAGCTGTGACATCACCACATCATACACACAAGCTTGTAGACATGCAAAAGCAAACACTCACACATAAAGGATAAGAGCTTTTATAGGTAGGCCCTGAGAATAATCATTATCAATAAGTAAACTTACTACGAAAAGCACTTAAATCTGTTTTAAAATTAATCAATTGCACCTTATTCCACTACAGATATGCCTGTTTGTGAAATGTATCCTGAGTCCACGCAGCGCCATGCTGTTATTGTCATGCTTTCCTGGCTCTGTATTTGTGCATTTTTCACAGATGACACTCTGATCTTACTGCTTCATGGAAGAATTACATTTTCATAAATAAATATATAAGACGAGATGATGTTTTAGGATACTCAGGTCCTTTCAGCTTACCCTAGATTTTCATAAACCCCATCTCTTCATCTTTTTCTGAGAAGGTTGTCCTGCAAATGTCTGCCTTTTTTTTTTTAAATCACACAACAACCAGACGTGCAGTGATGTCAACACAGACTGGTTTAAATGATATTTGCAATCTTCTCGCTCTCTCTCGTTGTCATTGTCCTAATTCTGCAAACTGCAGTGTCATATTCCGATTGTTTGGACAATATCATTGTTCAAATCAATGCTCACCATCCTCCTTTACCACCCCCCTCCCTCCAGCTGTCTGACTTCATCCCATCCTCCAGAAGCAAAAAAAAAAAAAAAAAAAAAGCGAGGACAGAAGGACAAGAAGAGGCGACAGTCTCAATGCAAAGCTGACACCGTTCATGCAGGCCTGCAGATGTGATGTTACCTTCTCCGGCCGCTCCTCCACGCCGTTCTGGATCGGAAAGCAGTCTTCAGCTGCGGGACTCCAATCACGCGTTCACCGCAACCGACGGAGCGGCTCCGCAAACGCGCACGAAAACGCTGCCCCCCCCCCCACTCTCGTTCTCCCCCTCTGTACCTTTGGAAGCGCTGATCCCGCCCCTTTTGCTGTCTGTCAAAACCGGATGGGCGGAGTCTGCCAGTGTCAAGCGGGAGCCGAGTCAGAGGTGGCCACTAACTAGCCTGCTCATAAACAGGATGAAACGCAGCGAAACAAATTTATAGAACACATATTCCAAATATATTTTATTTACCTTTTGTTGCCCACATTTAATCTGACTTTATTTTTAGAAATGACATAACAGTGTTAAAAGCGTCGAACTTATTTTTAAAAAATTACGTTCAAGATGATCAGGCAAAGTTTGGGAGCCTAAAAAGGGTCCTCGGTTGAAGGACCATAGTACAAGAAAACAAACCAAAAGATGTAACCTTAATTAACATAAATGCATCGCGTTTATCCAGAATATTTGTGCATGTTGCAAGTTACTACAGCCAGGGCGTGATGACAGAAGACAACGAACTGGAAAAGTGAGTGACTATAAATATTTATCGTTAATAAATGTGTACAGTTCAGACATCATATACCGAGGAATTTATATTTCTAACACCGCTCGCCAGCAGAAAGACAGGCTGTTTGTAGTTATTACATTTAGTTGAAAGTTCAGTTAGCTGATTTTAGCTTCTTGGGTTTTGTGTTGAATGTCGCTGTGTGCCATTTGAGTAGATTCAGTTCGGGTCAAACGTGGACACAGCAGTTGTTCCACGTTTCACTAATGCTGATTAAGCTCTGCTCCGGTTGATTCCTCTCACTTTATTAGACAGCTATTCGCTTAGCGTTTCCGCCATCTCTGTCCTCCTCAAGGCTTCCACTTGACTCATTTTTGTGTTTGTTCTGGTTCCGTCCATCCAGGCGCGCAGTAGAGGAGCTCCTGAGGGAGACTGACAGAGCTCGGCTCAGAGCTGAGACCATGGGCCCTGCAGGATGGTGAGATCTGTGAAATGTCATCTGCATGCAGCGTCTTCCTGTTGTCACTTAACTGCTTGGATAAAGTTTTTATTCTGTGCACAGTTTTAGTTCTTTGACCACACTAGCTTTTGTCCATCTCTTGTATTTTCTATTTATTAAGACTTGTTCTCATTCAAATCTTTGTAACTTTATTTGGATGTCTTCACTTACACAGACATTTATTTGATGATGCCTGCATTCGAAGTTAAATAATTAACAATGAACAACAAAATCTTAATTATGCCACTTCAGAAGATTTGTCTTTTTTTTTAACTATTACACAGCTTTGTTTTTTATGTAGTAAATGCACAGATGGATGCAAACAAAAACAAGTTTGCCCTTGTAATTAAATTAGCATCTTTCATAAAAGCGTCAACCGCTAGTTTGTTGCCGGTCAATTATTATGTTTAATTAAACATTTTCTGAATTTGAAGTTATTTCCAGGAGTGAAATTAGCATTGTAACTTATTAACTTGTACTAAAAACAACTTGATGGCTAGAATTATTTTGTTTTAATCTATTTGTATTATGTTTTATCCAACCATTATCTTCACCTGCTTCTTCCTTTCTGGATCATGGTAGTATTTTAGGAAAGATAAATTTAAAATTGGTGTATTTGCCAATGAGTTCCACTTTTTACATGTATTCACTAAAAGATGGCGTTATTTTACACTAATGGGTTGATGGGTTCATTATAACTTTTGTCTTAAAGACTTCTATTTACACACACACTTAGATACTGATTTACAGGTTGGGGTCTACATGGTGTGCGGGGAAACGGGGATCGAACCGCCAACCTTCCAATTTTTCAGATAATCACCCTTCTTGAACTGGACAAATAATGCATCAGGGTTAGGATTAGTCTGTATTACAAACAGTTTGGTCTCCTGATTCTGCTGTGCCATCTGCTTCTCTGTGTAATCAGCTGCAGTCATACAGTACATGATGCTGTTGGAGCTGCTCAGATTTCAAAAACTGTGCTCTAATACTTGTATATCAGCAAAAGGCTACTACTGTATTGCCATGAAGATATCAGTCAGGCTCACATTTAAACAACATAATAGTAAACTAATGGCAATATTTATTGCTGACTATGAACTTTATATGCAATATTCATCACATACTGTACCTGTTTCTTCCTCTCAAGAAGACTAAATGGGCTTGATAATAATATATTTAATAGATTAATCACTCAGATGTGAGTTACGATGGTCCATTTGTCCCAGTTTTCTTTAGTCAAACCAAAATCCATGTCTTATTCATTCTGTTCTGACACAATGCCCAGTAGAAACATTTATTTATTTATTTATTTTCTTGTCAGGTTGAAATGTCCTCTACGGAGCACAAACAAACGCTTCCTGCTCAACACTCTGCGCTCCGCTGGCCTGCAGCATCGCACGGAGGAGCCTAAAGGCAAACACTGCAACGTAAGAGAACGTCTGAGGAGCGAGTCCCCAGAAAGACGCCGCGACCGCAGCAGAACGCCGCCAGCAGATCACAGGAATAATGGGAGCCGCGCGGGTCATAAACATCGTCACAAGGACCGCCACGCAAGCCGAGATAAGAGGCGGGACGGAGATAAGGACACGCGTTACAGACACAGAGACGACGGGGACAGGAGGCATGCCGATGGACAGAAAAGAAAGACAAAGACAGACGGATGAATAAGGATGGAGCGTTGCTTCTTTAAAAAGTTCCTGAACGTACTCCGATCAGCCGCTAGACTTGAGAGCTGCACACAGGCTGAGAGGCTTAATGTTCACCTAGTGTTGTAAAAAGAGCAAAATCTTTAACTTTGATTCTCCTGATCTCGCGTTGGTGTGCTTTCTTTTAATTCTCTTAAATGTAAATGAATAAAATAATCAGCTTTTGAATTGTACATTTTGCAAGGACTTTTCGCAGCAAACAGTCGTACCTCTCTACCCCCTTCTTACTTGACTCATGGTGAGGTGGAACTGTAGTTCATTGTGAGCAGAGGAGATTTAATCTAAATTATAAAGTCATTACTTTTCTTCAACCATTATTCACTGGTGTTTGCACAAGTCGTGCTGCTGTCGCCACAAGCACGTTTTATCTCTCATGTCCAACTTTTTTGACGTGCTATCTGAAAACGGTTTTGTTTGTCAAAGGAAAAAAATAAATGTTTTCCTTGACACACCTGTGTAGGCAGCAGAATATATATATATATATATATATATATATATTTTTTTTTAATCAAAGTTTAGAGACAATTCAGATCCTAATGTCAGTATTTTCTTGTTTTTGTGGAGTTGTCTCTTTAGGATAGCAGATGGCCATCCACACGCCACTTAAAGGGTTTATATCTTTCCATTTGACCTGTCTCCTTCTTTTATTGCTCCCACAACTTTACAGGCAGGAAACCTCAGTCTCTTTGACTTCGATCACTCATAGGCTCTAGGTCTATAACATTTGGTTGCATTGTTCCTCCCCTCTGCTCGTTAAAAATGTGCAGAAACTTCTCTAAAACGCTGGCATCACGCTTCATAAATCACGTTATCCGCCTCCACTGAAGTAGAGAACAGCCTGGAATAACGGTTTCCTTCCTCTTTGCAACAATGATCAAATATAAATACCATTAAGCCATATTGTGGAGGGGGGTGTTTTGGATAGAATTGGTTTACTTGGACTTTATTGCGTCGCTGAGTGCCCCATTAAGATATGGTGGAAAGTGCCATAATTGCTTTAGAAGATCTCGGTGCAAATAGTGTATTGGTGCTATCAAAGTAAAAGTGATGCTGGGATGTTTCACGTGAAAACAAGCGTCCTGCAGCCGGTGGGAGTCGTGCGTAAAACGCGGCGGGTCTTGTGGAGAAACGCTCCAAGCGCGCGGTCAGTTAATTGAGTTCAGTCGCTCTCTTCACCCTAATTGACTTCACCAGGAGAGCTTTTGTTTAATGGGGTGAAAACATACAAGAGACTAATGGCCAGCAAACACGGGGAGAGTGCAGCAGCAGCTCCGTGTTTGTTGTCGCCAAAGGGCCCTTCCTGGGACAAGGCGCGCAAAAAATGGTGTTAAATGGAGCATTTAGAAAAGTGTAATGGACACGCTTTGAACGTCCGAAATGCTCAAAAAGAAAACTGCTGTGGAAAATGGGATGTGGTGGCCGAGTTTCCAAGACAACCGTGTCTCTTATCTCGCAGGTCAACCCAATGTTTGCGCTCATACGTATCGATTTATCGTGCGCATGCAGCGCGCGGACGCCACGTATATCCATATAAAATGTCGATTGCTGCATTGTTTGAGGACAATCCAAAGTGTCGCGCGTGAGAAACCTTTGTTTGCTCCATGCGCTCTGAAGCTGAGAGTGTTTCAAACTCACCTGTTCACTTGTCTGACGACGCGCGTAAACAGGCACTGATTTACGCTGCGTTCGGTTTACTGGAATTGGAAGTGGGGGGGGAAGGGGGGGGGTGTCTTACAAGCTGCAGAATATCCTGGAAACTGGCCGCTGCAGGTCTGTGGTTCTGAGCAAACAGAGAAGCCAATGGCTCGGGCGCCTCAGGGTCACATGGTGACAGAGTGACACACCTGCGTGGAGCCGCGGGGGCCCTCAGTTGCGCCACAGGTAGAGCTGAAGGTCCAAGGCGGAGGAAGGGTGGCAGGTCTGCGGTGCTCGCCAGCCATGAACCAGGACAATCATTTCTACCCCTCTCAGGTTTTTAAAGACTCCTGCGCCTACCAGAGACCCCAGGGGGAGGACTACAGCCCTCCGCCCTGCCTCTACATGAGCAGGCAGGTGCACTCCGTCTATACACCGCCGGCCCTGGGGCCCCTGGAGCAGACGGGCCTAACGGACATCGCCTCTGCCTACAGTCTGCCCAACATGCGGGAGGATCCAGGTGTGCCGCAGCTGCACCACCCGCAGGGGCTGCAGCAGGCCCCCCTTCAGCCTCCAGGCTATGGAGACACGGAGCAGAGCAGATACCACCTCCCTTTCCCCTGGATGAAGACCACAAAGTCTCACTCACACACCTGGAAGGGACAGTGGACAGGTAAAACTGATAAATAGACTTTCCAGGCCTAAAACCACAGTAACCATTAAGATCCAGAGGCTTTCAGTGCAACTTGTCAGGTTTTGAGTTTGCTCTCATGAAGTCGATAAATATTTTAAAATTTATACGAAACATTGTCACTAAGCCTCATTTCTTAAGCCGCCAATGGCTTCTTTAGATTAAAACCAACCACAAATGTGTTGGCTTGATGTAGAAACACACACAAAACAAACCATATGTTTTTCCTTTAGAGTTTTAATAAGTTTGTAGATTAATAAAATTAATAAATGTTTTAAATTTATAAGGAGTTGTGAAGTGTTACGGCTTTTAACGAAAGTCCAATTGAAAGATATTTCAGCTAAAATGAAGCTCCTCGACAGTAAATCTACAAAATAATTTTGGTTAATTAGTAAATCATTTTCTTTTTTTTTTATTAGACTTTGGGAAAGATGATTTGAAATAATGAAAAATGACATTTTTGTTTTAAAATATGAGCCTGACTCAGTTCAGTGATAAAAAAAAATGAACCGGTGAACAAAGATCTGGTTATAACTTAATTATTAAATATAAACAATCAGTAATTATTAAAATTGAACAAAAATGATAACAAATCTGCAAATGATTTGCTTTATTAGCTGCGTTTCTAAATTTACTGTGCAAATTTAGGCAAAGTTTTTTTTCAAAAGACGCTGTTTTCTTGAGTTAATATTCACTTTTTCTTGTAAACGTCACAAATTTGAGCAATATATGCCAAAAAAAACCAATGTATTATGGACTATTTTGCATATTTTTCAGTTGTATGCCTATTTTTTTTTTTTATAAAAAAAAAGTGCTGTCATTTCAATGAGACAATACATGAGCTTTTAACAAAGAGCTGGTTAAAAAGTAAAAATAAGGAACTAAAACTGTAATCTAAAACAGCTGCTTGCTTTAAAACAAACTGATAAATACAAAACCCCAACATTGAATATCTAATATTAATTTTCTGACTTTAACCTTAAAAGTTTTTTGTATTCAAATAAAGTAAATCAAATCCTTAATGTGTGACATCTCTTTTGACCTTGCAAAACTATTTTTTTTCAGTGAAGTATCACTTTTTTCTTGCTGTAAACAAATGTAAAGGTTATAAAAGTCAAACTAGACAAAAGTGTTTATTTTGAACAGGTTTAGTCTGAAGCCTCTCCGTGGGTTTGTGGTTTCAGGGCCCTACGTGGTGGCCGAGGCTGAGGAGAACAAGCGCACGCGGACGGCCTACACGCGTGCGCAGCTGCTGGAGCTGGAGAAGGAGTTCCTCTTCAACCGCTACATCTCCAGGCCGCGGCGCGTGGAGCTGGCGCTGACCCTCAGCCTCACCGAGCGCCACATCAAGATCTGGTTCCAGAACCGCCGCATGAAGTGGAAGAAGGAGGAGGACCGGAGAAGAGCCAGGGGTTCTGACCCAGACCAGGACTCCTCTATCACCTCTGGGGACCAGGGAGAGGCCACAGGGGGGGTGTCCTCCACAAACGGACCTCACACCACGCCGACTCCCCCGGTGTCCCCGCTGCACAGTCGCTCAGGGTCCAGAGAATAGACCACTGAAGACCGGAACACTTCAGGGATTCTCATGTTAAACTCCCGAGGCCGCCTCCCTGGAGAGGAGTCAGAAGGAGGCACTCCTCTTCACTCGAAGGAACCTTTTGGATCGGTTCTGGACTAAATGAGATGTTTGGACACCAGAGGAGAGACATCAAACTTTTCCACCTTTGCAGACAAACGTTCACGTCCCCAACATTTAGGCAGAAAAGACATTGTGTTTCATGAATATTACTTATTTCAACAATATATTGTCCTGGCAGAGTGTGTAGTCCATGAGCCGGAGGGTATTTGGTACCACCTGAGCGGGACAAACTGTAAGACCTCTGGACCACGGGAACACGTTTCATTTGTGTTATTAACATGTATCATATGACTTCAAACTCCTCGTTTTTATTCTTTTTTTTTTTAATCATACCCTCCTGCATTCATCGAGGGGTGCTGCTGCACCCTCTGCACCCATAATTCCCATAACCTTGACTGGTTCCCAAACAGGTCAGCTTAAAAGCAGAAGACTCATGACCCCATACTTGAAATACTATACTAAGTTTTAACAAACAGCCTCGTCTGCTATTCTATTTGATCCTTTCTTGGTTTTATTAGTTTTTGTTTATTTTTAATAACAGTTAAGGCTATTGAAAATGATTTTATGGTATTAATTTAATTCCTAGACCTCAACACCCAAAAAATGGTGTTTTACCAAATGTTCACCAAATGTTATGCCTTAACTTCATCGTATTTCTCTGGATGAGAGATCCTCTGCTTCTGGCTGAAGACCTTATTCCACCAAGCGTCTCTTTTTTTTTTGGCCTGGTCTGAAGACAAAGTGTCTCCACTTCCAGGTTGGACTGGGAAGTCTCCAGACTAAACTGTGATGAGGACTCTTGTCATCACTTTGTGGCAGCAGTTTCCTGAATAATCAACTCACTGGATGCAGTGGAGTCTTTAAACTGAGCATCTTTACAATAATCAGCAGAAATGGCAACAAACGTTCAGCACATCATCACATCTGATTTGTTTGAATTTGAAAGCAAAAATATTTGACCATTTTCACATCCAAAACCCAATTTAATACAAATAACTGCTGCACTCATTTCTTTCCCCCACTTTAGTTTCAGTTTAAAGTTAAACACACTTTGGTCGTAACTATATTTCCATTTTCTATGATCTGAGTGTATGAAGCTCATGAAACAAAGTTACAAAGTTTTCAGTTTTTTTTTTCTGTGCTCCACGGGGCTCCCAGATGAAAAACAAGTATTTTGCCCAGGAATAATTTATTACATTTCACAATACAATATATTTTTTTACAATAATTTAATAAAATCATTTGCAGCTTTTAAGTTTGGCACGTTTTATAAGTGTCACGTGAGACAACACCTTTACAGCTTATTATCAGAGAGCACGAGGTCCTGCAGGCGCAGGCGGCAGATCTTCTTCACCTCCTCGATGCCGCGCGCTCTCTCCGCCGCGCGCTCGTTCCCGCAGCGCTCGGACAGCTCGCGCAGGATGCTCGCCTTGTCGTGCGCACGGGCGCAGACGACGAACGGGAAGCCGAAGCGCCGCTTGTACTCCTCGTTGAGCCGTGCCAGGCGCGAGGCTTCCTCGGAGCTCAGCGCGTCCACGCCGGCTCGCGCCTGCTCCTCGCGGGACTCCTGGGTGAGCGCGCCGCGGCGGAGGTCCCTGCCCGCGAGGTCCGGGTGGCACCTGAGGATCCCCTCTTTACCTGGACATCAGTTAGATTGGATTATATATATATATATATATATATATATATATATATATATATATATATATAATGTTAAATAAACCTTACCTGTTTCTGGAAGAGCGTCGATGAACTGGTTTATTGCAGCTACCAGATCATTTAGACCCACAAAGGGACGCCTGGTCCACACCGCAGCTGAGACAAGAGGACATTTCTCCACCACATTACCAAAAATATCCACAAAGTCCTCATAAGGAAGAACATTTACTGCTGAAATGTCCATTTTTTGTGTGTTAGAAAACGCTCCTTTTGTGCAATTTACCAACCTTTGGACACTGCAGCACAGGTCGATGCACTGCTGGACACTCCCCCTTTAATACAAGTTTAGGTGAAAAATAACAGCACTTTTTGTTTCATTGAAACACTGAACTTAACTGAAACAAACAAAAACATGTTGGTTTGAATGAAAAAGGTCAACATTTGGTTATTGTTTCCTCAAATAGAAAAAAAGGGGGGAAAAATTCAAGCAGCGATTTAAATTTCTTTCCTTTTCAGTCAACAAACACTGATCTCTGGCGACCCCTAGCGGCTATAGTTGGTACAGCAGGTCAGCATCAAGAGCGACATTTCCTGAATCCAATAAACATCACAGACATAAGACCACACTACTGTATAGGAAGTGAGCAGATGGAACCGTTCAGTTACAATTAACAAATCTAAATGAGCTCAAAGTATGTAAAAGTTGCACATTAAAAACTATTAAATCAAACAGAGAAAATGTTCTGAACAAAATATGCAGTTTGGACGCGTTTACCATTCCAGATACAGTATACTAATTTTAATGTAGGGCAAAGAAATGAAGTGTAGTGTTAAAAGTATTTAAAACACAAGAAAAAGGAAAATACTCAAATTAAAATTATATACAGTACTGTTATTGTAAGTGACTTTTTGAAAAGAAATTAAGTTTCCATATATAAATAAAAAAGATGGATTGATTGAAAGACTTCAGTGACCTTTACTGTTTTACATTTCTGAAAGACATGACAATCAGGTTTGTGACTCATCACATCCAATCAGGAAATAAGTCAACTTTGGATCAAAATTAACTAATCAAATTTTTTTAAATTTAGATTTCTGGCTTTTTAACCCATACTTTGATACCTTGATAATCCTGACACATGAGCAGTTGTCTTGACCAACACATAATTTACACAATCTTTAAAATTTTGTCAAAGCTTATATACATTAATAAAGTTTCCCATTTTTCAAGACAAATCTTTGGACCAAACATAACTAGCTGGTTTGATGCGATGTTCATCTACTGAGGATATTCACTTGACTTTCTATATTTTCCTTTGTTCTGCTCAGTGTTCTCAGGATTTTCTGCAAAACTACCAACCGGTCAAATTACCAAACATTCCATAAAAGCCTAAAAAACTTTTGCATCACCTCAAATAATTTTAAGAAATATTGGTTCCTTGAGATCTAAACAAATAAATTGTTGCTCAAACCTTTTTACAGTCATGGAGTAGTAGTTAGGAGCAAATAAAACAAGATCTGAAAAGCAAGTACAACTCAGTTTTGTGAGAACAAACTAAATATATATATATTTTTTATTAATGCATACATTTTATTTGTGTTTTGAAAATCTAAAATACAGAAAAACACTTCATTACGATACCACAAAGTAAATAAAGGTGTATAAATGTATGTTTGTCATTTTAAGCATTGCTATTAGAATGATACTAAATCAAATCTGAATTCACAATTTGGTTATTTTCTACAAAATTTTGATCCTATTAAGTTATTTCTCACAATTTACATCAAAATAATACTTAGGATTCCTCTATAAAACCTAATTTCTTTCCCATTTTTGCTGCATGAATTCATATAAACTCATATAAAAAAGGCTTCTTACATCTTGGACTTAGGTTATATAAATGCTAAATGTTAATTAAACATATTCAAACCAAAATGCAAATATAATAAAAGCTCATAATATTTATGAAATAATATAAAGCCAATACATTATTTTATACAGATAAAATATTAAGTGATAGTCAGCTTTATCATCTGTAGAAAGGTTAATTTAAATTAATTAGCGATTGTTGCTGTTAGCTGTTGTTGATAGGTCATTGATTGATCTCAGTTTAGAAATACAGAGTTTAGTTTTGACCAGATTGATGAGCTAATGACTAGTCAGAGTAATGCCAAGCTGTTTGATGCTGTATTTGTATTTGCACTTGCAAATTGTGACATCACTGATTTAAATAACCACTGAATGGTAATTAGTGGTGGGTGGAGTAAAGGGTGTTCTCGTGAACCATTCTCCAAACTGTGGTTGTTCAAAGCGCTGTCTACATCAGATAAGATACTAACTACTCATAACCTTTCCACAAAACTTCAATAAAACATATCTTAACAACCATCTTTACATATTTTGTTATTAAAACAGGTGATTACTCTGCATCAGGCGGCATCAGCAGCTTCTCATCCAACACAACCTCTGAGTTGGAAACATCAGCTTTGTGTTCTGCAGGCAGCTTGACTTTGTAGTAGTCGTTGATGACCGGCTTCTTGTTTTCACCTTGTTTTATCATGGCGGAAATGTCCAGAATGGTTGACGCGTTCTGGTAATCGTTGGAATCCTGTTCAAGCATGTTGTGGTAGAGCTGAAAAATCAACAACAAATTCACCAAGTTATCGACAATACAAATCTGCAGCAATGCTACTTTAGTATATAAGCCTGCTTCTGGGTGGAGGAGAAGAGGTTTAAGTGGAATCTATCAGAAGTATGCAGGCCTGTACCTTCTCCTCTCTGTCTGTCAGCTGATCGCACATGAAGGACACCAACTTGGAGAAAGATGGGCGATCGGAGGGATTCAGGGCCCAACACTTGCATATTATATCATACCTGAAGATTGAAGGCAAAAAAAAAAAGATGCAAACTGTTTAGCACAACCTTCAGTAAGAGTAAAAATAAAAAAAATAAATAACTGAAGTTAGCTTGTTTAGCCTATAATATATGATGTAAAACAATACGATACAATACGATACAATACGATACAATACGATACAATACGACACAATATGATACGATGCAATACAATACAATTCTCTTTGGGGAAAATATATATTTTTACTTGTTGTCCATAAATGTCTTTACAGAACAAATTGAATAAAGAAACTAAGCAACTTACACAACACAAACATAATCCATCAGTACAACACAATGCATTATGACTACTTGTTGCATCCAGTGTGATGACGCTTACACAGAGTCGTCGGCGTAATAGGGACACTCCATCTTAAATCCTCTCTCGATCATTGCATAGAAAGTATGGTCCACCTTCATCCCTGGGTATGGAGTGACACCTGGGAGCAACACTTGATGTTTATTATCACACAGTTGTCCGTTATGTGCTGAAAGGTGCTATTTCAGTTATTTGTTGTGAAGTATACCAAGCGAGAAGATCTCCCAGAGCAGAATACCATAAGCCCAGACGTCACTCTTCATGGTGTATATTCCCTGAAAGATGCTCTCTGGTGCCATCCACTTAACTGGCAAGCGCACCTGAAATATGACACATCACAAACATAAGGCGTTATAAACACCATCTACGCAATTAGAAATCATGTTCAATAGTATTGTCACGCACATTTCCTCTCACAACATAGTTGGAGTCGTTGTCAATGTCCCGGGCCAAACCAAAGTCACCAATTTTCACCAGCCTGCCTTTCGTCACCAACACATTTCGAGCTGCCAGGTCCCGGTGGATACACTACAAACAGGTATTGAAAGTTCAAATGTTTGATATCTGACACCTAAACGGTTCGGTAATTAGGTATCTGCAGAGTGATGGTCTCTTTTGTCAAAACTGCGTTTGGGGTTTGACGGGCCAAGATTGGTTCTTACATTCTTGGAGGAAAGAAACTCCATGCCCTTGGCCACTTGGAGAGCAAAACTGAGGAGGTCATCAAAGGTGAGAGCCTGCAGGTCTTCAGTGTGATCATCCTCAGACTCATTGATTACTGGGTCTGTGAAGAGGTTCAACCAGTAAGGCTCAGTGAGATCTCAGTGCCTTTAAACACCAGAAAGAGATTTACACTTTGAAATGCTCATTCCTCACTCCTCCTCTTTTTATTTGGTGTTTCTTACCTTCAAAGCTGTCCACGTCATTGGAGTTGAAGGTGAGGAGGGCGATGTCCTCCTGGCTTCTGATGGTGGAGCTGTGCATGGGAACGTAGTTGTCCACTGCTGTGATTTGCTCACTGAGAACACATGAACGAGAGATGACTGAAATGTTGCAGCAACCTCAATAACAGAATCATAATAACGGCTTTCTGAGCAGCATCGAAAAGTATGGAAAAAAGTAAATAGTACACATTTATAAATGTGATATTAATAGACTGGTTTCTGTGTTGTGGTTTCTTCGTGGGCTTTTGTTACCACCTGGAGTTTTTCTTGGGCTGCAGGTTGTGGTACAGACTTATGAATCGGTCCATGTTGAAAGCATCCGTCACACACTTGTGATAGCGGTCACTGTTCTTCTTCAGGTAGTTAAGCAGGTCTCCATGACGACAGTACTGGAAAATCAAGTATATGGGTCCTACAAGGTGATACTTTGGTTAGTACGGCTTTATGACATTGTGTCTGTGTTTACCTTTTTAATTCTGCAGCTATGATATGATCAGGTGGATAAGCACCATTGGGCGTACCTGTTTCAGTACATGCACCGAGGAGGTTAACAATGTTGACATGGTGACCAATGTGAGTCAGCATCTTGAGTTCAGACATGAGTGCCTCCTTCTCCATGGACTGGTGCTTTTCTGCAGGGTGAACGTGAGATTAGCAGCTGAAACAACCTCTAACAAGAACAATGATACCAGAAAAAAGTCCAGACCTTTCAGCATCTTGACGGCCACCTGCTGTGAGACTCCAGGATTGTTGATACCATAAGCTGTAGCATGGACAACCATGCCAAAAGCTCCAGACCCCAGTTCATTTCCTGTGAAACAAACACCACAAGCACTTGATACTGTGATCATTTGAAGAGCATAAAGAGCATCAGCCCTCAAGGAAAGGACACTGAATCAAAAGACTAATCTGATAAAGAGTAAACTGGCACTCCAGTTGTATCTACTGTAAATGTTGATTCAGATTTTTATTTTTCAAGATTTATTTTTTTGCAGTCTAACAACTTCTGCATACTTTGTGTTATTTTAGCCATTTTTTTAATCAAAACATTTAGCTCATTCAGGAGATATGTGCAATACTTTTTGTTCATTTCTGTATTAGATTGATTTGCAAACTTTTCCCTATGCACTAAAATATTTTTAATTCCTTTAAAAGCATTGTGCTCTTTGAGATCTGTATCAGGATACTTGCCCTATTTTTGTATTTTTTATGCCATTTTTAGTTTTTAGGGAGCTTTTTACTTTTAACTAGCATTTAGCTACTTTTTGTTTTTAGCTAACCTTTTAATACTTTTAGCTCTCAGCTAGCCTTTTGATACTATTATATTTACCTAGCATTTAGCTATTTGCTTTTAGCTAGCCTTTTGATACTTTTATATTTAACTAGCATTTAGCTACTTTTTGTTTTTAGCTAACCTTTTAATACTTTTAGCTCTTAGCTAGCCTTTTGATACTATTATATTTAACTAGCATTTAGCTACTTTTTGTTTTTAGCTAGCCTTTTAATACTTTTACTTTTAACTAGCATTTAGCTTCTTTTTGTTTTTAGCTAGCCTTTTGATACTTTTATATTTAATTAGCATTTAGCTACTTTTTGTTTTTAGCTAGACTTTTGATACTTTTAGCTTTTAACTTTGGTACATGTATATTTAACTAGCATTTAACTACTTTTTGTTTTTAGCTAGCCTTTTGATATTTTTAGCTCTTAGCTAGCCTTTTGATACTATTATATTTAACTAGCATTTAGCTACTTTTTGTTTTTAGCTAGCCTTTTGATAATTTTATATTTAACTAACATTTAGCTAGTTCAGCCCATTGCAGCAGTCATTCAGCACTGAAAAGTTATGCTGCAGTCGCTCAGAATTTAATTTAATTTTTTTCAGATTAATACACTAAGTCTATATTTAATTGAGCTGGTTTGACTCGTACCCAGTTCCAGGTTCTCTCTGGGAAACTCCCATTTCTTGTCATACTCAAAGTCTTTGAAATTGATGTAGATGTAGTCATTGTCATTAGGTCCAACCATCTGGATCATCTGAAGCTGAGGCTGATACTGTGGTTTCTGCTGGAAACACAGATGAATTAATGTCTGTGTGTGAGTCTGTGTCTGAGTGTATTTATGAGCTTGTTTCTGAGACGTATGTACCTTCTTTTTGACATAATAAATCAGCGCCACCATGACTACTCCCAAAGCCAGAAGCAGAATGAAACTGCCGACTTTCAACAGCAACACCAAGTTGTCATTAGACGCTGAACCACCTAAAACAATGTGATGATAGCAGCTGTCTGTTATAACTAGTCGATTTAATAATCATATTTTGTTTTAAATCTGCTGATATTACCTGTGCTGAGCTTGAGAGATGCAGGTGACTCAGAAATAAAATTCCACGTGTCGCAGAACCTGTCTATTCCTGGTGCAACATTCTTTCCTGTGAGTATCAAGCAAAACTTCAAGCGGTTGCTAAGCACTTTGTCTCGTTCCACGTACTTTGTGATACTCTTGTTGCAGAAGTCACCAGAATCCTGTTCAACATCCACCTTAATCAATTTCCATGTGGAGTTGTCTTCATAGCTGCAGTGACGTAAAGAGCAGAGACCTTTAATAACCAGAACTATAGAGACTACCGAGCTGAGCATTTGTGAAAGTAATCGTATCGTTAATTTCAATACCTCCACGTAAAGTTTGCTGGCACAGGACATACAGTCTCACAATAAATCAAATTGCCTATTTTGCCAAATTTGAAGGTAGGTTTCTCTGTAAGAAAATAATAAGATTGTAAAGGCAGCAACATTTACTTATACGTGATAAGTTTCAATAATGGAATTAGTTACCTACCGAAAACACAAACAAATGTATTTTTTGTTTCGCGTTGTCCTCCAGCTTCCAGGTGTAACTTATAAACCCCTGATCTGAGTGAATTACACACCTTCACAGCCCTGAGAAAACAGTATGATGAACAAATTTACTGAAAATCAACAATAATTCTCTCATAATACACTCTGTGACCAAAAAGTCAAAGAACCTAGAAGGAATGGTCCAGTCTGGACATAATTCGGTCCACATAAAGACCAGTGATAGGGATGTGCTATAAAATTCAATATACATTCAACATGAGGTGTACAGCGGCCCAATCTTGGATCCATGAGGTACCTCATGTTGCCCAAAATAGACCACACCAAAAACAGGATTGTCTTAATCTGCACCAAACAAACCCCCACGACATCTTGCCCCTATTTTTGTCCCCCGTTACAAAGTGAAAAGGGGGAGCTGGAAATGCCTTCTATCTGTCCGTGCATGTTCTGAGCTGGATAACTTGGAAAAATAAGCAGAGACCAACTTCCTTTTTGAGTTGTAGCTGCATTTAGGTGTAAGAAAGTTTTCTTTAGAAAACAGGGTTGCCACTTGAAAATCCAAGATGGCCACCACCATGGGCATCATTTGAGGAAACTATGCTAGTTTTATACTGTATAAAAGTATAGTTTCCTCAAATGATTGGGGTGGTGCGATGGCCGAAGATTAATCTATGGTGGCCAAGGCCCACATTGGCCACCACCCCCCCCCCCGGCTTCACCATTGCACCTTGTGGTGGATACTATTACTTGCCAGGAACTGCCACTCTGTACCACCTGGGACAAGAAAAACAAAAACTACCTCTCTTCCTATACACATTGTAACTAGTACCCACTTGAATATCTTGCACCAAAAACACAAAAGTTTATTTGCATTCCATGTTCAATTTTGTAAACTACAAAAATTCACTAATCAAATCCTTCAGAGATGGGGGACATTGGCGTACCACTTGTGGACATGAGTACAGAGCTGTTTACAACACTCCATGATAACTTTCATCACCAGTATGGGTTCACCACCCCCTGTGTGGGCTATAACGCCACAGTAGAGACAGCTTTTGAACTAGAATTGCCAAGACCTAGAGGCATGAACTGAACATGAGTGGTGAATCTATTGTTAATAAATTTGTGTATAATGGTAAAAATAAAAAGGAAAAAAGAGAGAAGACCAATCCTGCTAATGTTGTGGAGAAATATGCTGGTGTTATTCCTTTCATTGTGACGCAGGGAGCCATAAGGTGTGACTGTAAAGGTCACTTTTGGTAGTGATTTGGGGCTCTTTGACAGCACAGCTTTATGTCCACAACCCAATCTAAGACATCAATCTTCAAGCAAGACAACTCCCGGGTACACATGCTCTGAACTGTTTGTGCCATGTTGATGTGTTGTTGATGAGTTGACATCTGTAATGCACTTTACTTAGACCTGTACAAAGCTTTTGATACTGTAGATAAGGACATATTATGTCATAAGCTCTCAGATATTGGTTTATCGGACCACACTATCGGTTGGTTTTCTAATTATCTCTCAGGCTGAAAGCAATGTGTTCAACACAATGGTTCTTCTTCCAGTTATTTAACTGTCAATAATGGTGTAACGCAAGGCTCGGTCTGAGGACCCACTCTCTTTACAATCTATATAAGTAATGTAGGGCAGAACATTCCTGATGCATCCTTGCAATTTCATACTGACAATACAGTTGTTTATTGTCGAACTAAAACAGTTGCTAAGGTTTCACCATTTGACATCATTCAGTCAGATTTGTTCCATGTCAAATTGGTGCTAAATGCTGAAAAAACAAAGGGATGTTGTTTTCAAACAGAAAGTTGGTACCAGCAGTCTTTCCTTCTATCTTATCTACGCATGGTGTTCCTATTGAGTTTGTGGATTCCTACAAATACCTGGGAATCTTGGTCGATGAACATCTCTCTTTTAAGCCCTATGTCGAAAACTTGATAAAGAGACTGAAATTAAAACTGGCTGTCTTTTTTAAAAAATAGATCTCGTCTAACTCTGAATGTCAGGAAACACCTTGTAGCTGCTACTTTCATACCGGCTATTGACTATGGTTGCATTATTTACATGAATGCTCCCGCCAGCACCTTGCTGATGTTGGATGCTGTCTTTCACGGTATGCTAAGATTCATAACTGGTTGTAACTACCGTACCCATCACTGCACTCTATACTCACTGGTCAGTTGGTCCTCATTATCTATACGGCTGTGACTGAGTGGTTAGAGCAGTCGTCCTTCAATGCAAGAGTTGGGGGTTCGAATCCACCAGCAGTCACATGTCGAAGTGTCTCTGGGCAAGACACTGAACCCCTCATAGTCTCTGATGTGTGTCCCATCAGTGTATGAATGTGATCTCAAAGCACTGATTAGTCTCTTTAGAATGATTTCTTAAATTAGCTTTGTAGAGATCTAGTAGAGTGCTGTATGAATGGGTAAATGAGGACACAGATTGTAGTGTAAAGCGCTTTGAGTATCTTGAAATAAGATAGAAAGGCGCTATATAAGTACAATCCATTTACCATTTATATACGTAGGCTCTCACACTGGTACATTTTCATCTTTAAATCACTCCTTGGTCTGCTGCTTTTGTATATCTCCTCCTACATGTCACGTTGTCAGTGCAGTTACGGCGTGCGCTCTCAGGCCACCTTTACCTGCATCGTCCCCTCAGTGCGGACTGAACTCAGCAAAAAGGCCTTTTCCTGCTTTGCTCTTGTAACCTGGAACACCTTTCAACAAGCTGCTGACTTTGATCTAAGAGATTTCAAGCAATTAGGCTCAATGGAAAAATCAATGCAGACGTGTTCCTGTTTTTAGTATTTTACCTTGTTTCATAATGTAGCTTGATCTTATTTTGTTTTATGACACTACTTTTATTTACTTTTTATTTTATATGCATTTTATGGCTGATTATTGTTGTCTGTACCTTATCTAAAACAGGTCTCTCTTGAAATGAGTGACTCAATGACACTAACTGGTATAAATAAAGGTTGAATGGATGTCATGTCTTATTTATTTGCTTTATTGATTTGATAAACTGAACATGCAGAGCCCCGGAAGCATTGCCTCATGAATCTACCTGTGCTTTGTGACCCACTCCTCCCTGCTGCATGGGACCATTTGTTTATCGGGAGTTTCCCAGTAGCAGAGCTGGAGAACAGGGTGGTAGGTCACATCTGCTGTTAAACAGCTGTTCTGAGTTGTTACAATCTGGTCAACCAGTTTTGCAGAGAGGAAGCTTTCACCTGTGGAGACACAAAAATCAGAATATGCACACGCAGCAGGCTTAGCCTTATAACAATTACTGTTTAGTTGCGATTGCAGCTTAATACAGCGTTTTACTAACCTTCGACGAGGACGTGAACAGTTTTAGCTTTGTTTGAGCTCTTGCAGGTGTATGTGCCATTGTGTTCCACAGAAACAGACGTGATGAAAATGTACACCATAGCAGTATTGTAATGATAATCCGTTTTAATGCACATGATCTGGGGAAAAAAAAGTGCAGTATTTTACTCAAAAAGTTTATTACAATAAATGAATTTAAATACCAGTCTGAAGAATAGTGTAAATAGTTTACTGTTGAATTAAACATGTAATAAATATGAATTTCTCATTTTAGTAAAATGCAGTACCTTTAGATTTTCAGTTTCACATTGTGCCAAGTTCTGTTGGAGGGTTGTCCCATTCTTTTCCCATTTATAAGGTGAACCTCTTGTTGCTCTGCAGCGCAGCACTAAAGACTCACCGGGGCTTACGGTAAGATAATTCTCATTTTCCCGCGAATCAACACGCAAGTCTAAAACAAACAAAGACTTCAGGATTCACAGGACTCCAGATTAATTTGTGCAATCTTTCAATATTACTTAAATTTTGCAATTTACACGATTATGCAAGAAAAGATCTGGAGATAAAAGCTGTTTCTTCTCATTTTTAAAAAAAATTGCTTTAAATAAATTATTTTATTCATCATTTGAGTTATGTATTTGATCTTGGATAATTATGCTTATTTACCACAGTCGTGCAGCTGGGTGCATTCTTGTCCTTCGGTGTTGGTGGCACAACACATGACACTCTTGTCATAATAATCTGCGCTTGATACTGAATTCTCTCCTGTATTTCTCACATTTCTTTTGGAAGTGACAAGGAGCATTGTTATTGTAAAAACATTAAGCTAATGTCAATTCTAATAAATGTGTAATATTGCAAGAGATAACTTACCCAGACCATTCAATTCTGGGTTTTGGCGAGCCCTCAGAGACGCACTTAAAATCAGGAGATCTGTTCGTATCTTTCACACCACCAAGCGACAGCTGTGGTTTACTGGGGCGTTCTAGGAAACGTAAAGGACATTCTTGTACATATATTTAAAGGAAATGTGTTTATTTTTATTAAGCAGGTACAACCCACTTGTGACACGAAGAACAAAAGTTTTTGTGATGCTGGTTCCCCTCTCAGTTTCACAGGTCAGAGCGTCGTTTCCAGAATCAGCCTCGGAAAGTCGGGGTATGACCGTGGAGACACTCCCATTTCTGGTGTGGTTTAAGAAAAAGTGAAGGTTTTATTACGTGAGGATGAACGAGGAAAGACATGATTGCGTGAATAGGGTTACATTTTCAGTCCTGGGCCTCCTTCTCTTCTCCAGCAGCAGTCATGAGCACCGGAGAGGCCCTCCAGAGAGACGACGAGTTTCTTTCCAACAGCCAGCTTGAAGATGACCGGATCGGTTCTATTCAGATAATCAGCCACCCGGAGGCATTCCACCTGAGAGGCAAAACAGCTTTGAACCCTTAACAGAAACTAACAAGCAGATACTTTTCAGTTCATGAAAATGTTACCAAGTACTGGTGTGTTTGGAAGTCAGTGTCGTTTGTGGCAAAATGTCACATTTGTTTTGCACAACCAACAATTAATGTTTGGAGTGTCAACCAGCTGAAATGTTGAATAAAGGTTCTGCTGATTTGGGTTTTATTGAGGAAGCTCTTACCTCCAGATTGGACACGCAGGTCTTCTCCACATCGTCTGATCCGAACACTTTCACAGCGCAGAGCAGCAGAGTAGCTTCAAAGACAGAGTTAATTCAAAAGATCTGAACACCCCCAAATAAAGTTATTTTATTTTAATAAGGTATTATTTTATATGCAAGAACAATGCAAAAGATATCTCAGTTGCTTAAATTTAGTCTTGACTTTTGTCTGTCTCATCAGAGCAGAACTGTCTTTAGTTTTATTATTATTAAGCGTCTTTATAGAGTTTATAAAGAATGTCCGTTTTATTCATCCAGCCAAAAGTCCATGATGCTGAATGCTGCTATTTTTAGGCAATTTTAAAAACAAAATAAAGCTGAAATTTTGGGGTTTTAGCTTTTTTTTTTTTTTTAATATAAACATTACTAGGTTAAATTAATTTGAAAGTCAGTTGTAGATTTTTATAACAGTGATGAAATCTATTGGATTCAAAATTTATTTAATTTGAATACTTGAATATAAAGCATTTACAACAATGTACCATATAGTGATATTTCAAATGATGTAAAAACCCAAACTTTTTAATATTTAAATAAATATATATTTTTTTACAGTAAGTCCTGCATAAATAGCGCCACAACAAGCCCTCTCTCATCCACATGCAGGTTGGTGAACTTAAAACAAAAAGAGCAATTACCTCAAATATTTAAACGTTTAAAGTAAAAAGAGGAAACGTTTCCCTAAAGCATAACTGAAAAAGTGTTACACTTGGCTAGAGGATCATGAAAAATGTCAATAAGAATAAAAAAAAGTTTTTTCAAGTCAAAATATAGCTACAGTAATCCTCTGCATTGTTCCAAAAAAAGTTTATCCTGATTATAGTGACGTTTTGCTGTAATCTAATTACTGCATCTGGATTACATGTGAATGTAACTAACTTTATGAACGCTACGGGTATAAAGCAAAAGTTTCAAAACAAGACATTCGAGAACCAGCAGACTGAAAAGATCAACAAGCAAAGAACAAAAAAGTGGTTACAACTTCCACGTTAACTGTCACAATATGCACTAAATATTGGAAAAATCCAAGTAAAAAACTGTCTCTTACCCGTAACTACTGCAGATTTCTTTCTCTGCATCTTATCGTCCACTGTCTGCCTCACATACTCCGTTTCAGATCAGACAGTGAAACTCTGGTGTGCAAGTGAGCGAGTGTCTTTAAAAGAGAGGAAGCATTATTGCCAACAAGTAACGCCTTGCAGTGTGACCTTAAAAGAAAAGCATACCAAAACATTGACACCATAGAACTATTTGTGATGACACAAGGGAGGAGTTTTATAATCATCAGAAGTTGTCAATACTGTTTGCATGCAAGTGAACAAGGAGAAGGACCAAGTTATTTTAACTTTTTACTTTCAAATATTGTTGAACTTTATTGTATTATATAATCACCCGCGGGCGGCATGGTGGCACAGTTAGTAGAGCCGCCGCCTCTCAGGGAGAAGGTTGCTGGATTGAGTCCCAGCCAGGGGCCTTTCTGGGTGAAGTTTGTATGTTCTCTCCGTGTGTGTGTGGGTTTTCTCCGGGTACTCCGGTTTCCTCCCACAGACTAAAACATGCATGTTAGGTTGACTGGTAACTCTAAATTATCCCTAGGTGAGAGAGTGAAAGGCTGTTTGTCTCGTTTGTCTCTATGTGGCCCAGTGTTGGACTGGAGACCTGTCCAGGGAGTCCCCCATCTCTCGCACAGTGACTGCTGGGTATGGGCACCAGTGACCCCCGTGACCCAAAAAATTAAGAAGTGAGTAAAAGAAGGTGGATGGATAATCACTTGCAGCCAAAAGTGAAGGTAGACAATAATGTTATGTCTGTGTGTGCATGTCTGTCAGGAACCACATTTTAATGAAACTTGCATCTCATGAACAACTGGATGAATTATAGAAACTTTTAGGAAATTAACTTTTAGAGTCAGCCCAGTTCATTATGGTTTCCACATTATCCAACTCAAAAAATAACCTAACTCATTTGTTTTAACCTGTTAGAATTTTATGTGGTAGTAGCCAGAGCTGGAATATTCTATTCACTTTATGAATTTGGGTTAATCTGAATCACTAACTAAAGTGATCTGGTTCACTTGAGTCACGTGATTCAATGATAGAATAAAAATGTGATATATGCAAACAAAATATAAGTTAACCAAAACGTTAAATTGTGATAAATGTATGTTTTGTATGTAAAGTGCATATGAACATGATGTATGTGTGACCCACCTAAGTCCACTGTTCGGTGAGTTTTTAACCCCGCATCAGCAACTCAACTCACTTGAGTTAGCAGCATTTGAGTGAGTATTTAACCTGAATCAGCGACTTGACTCACCAGAGTCCACAGCATTTCTAATGAGTCTAACTCAAATCTGTGACTCAACTCATCTGAGTCAGCAACATTTCTAGCGAGTCTTTAATCTGAATCAGCAACACGACTGACCTGAGTCCACAGCATTTCCAGTGTGTTTTTTAAATCCATATAATCAATTTGACTCACCTGAGTCAGCAGCATATCTAGTGAGTCTTTAACTCGAATCAACTACTCAACTCACCTGAGTCAGCAGCAAATCTAGTGAGTCTTTAACTCGAATCAGCGACTCGATTCACCTGAGTCAGCAGAATTTCTAGTGAGTCTTTAATCCGAATCAGCGACTCGACTCACCTGAGTTAGCAGAATTTCTATTGAGTAAAAAAAAAAAAAAACCTCAAATCAACTACTCAACTCACCTGAGTCAGCAGAATTTCTAGTGAGTCTTTAACTTGAATCAGCGACTCGACTCACCGGAGTCAGCTGAATTTCTAGTGAGTCTTTAACTCGAACCAACTACTCGACTCACCTGAGTCAGCAACATTTCTAGTGAGTCTATAATCCGAATCAACAACTCGACTGACCCGAGTCCACAGCATTTCCAGTGGTTTTTTTTTTACCCATATCATCAACTCGACTCACCTGAGTCAGCAACATTTCTAATGACTCTTTAACTCGAATCAGCGACTCGACTCACATGAGTCAACAGCATATCTAGTGAGTCTTTAACTCGAATCAGCGACTCGACTCACGAGTCAGCAGCATTTTTAGTGAGTCTCTAACCCAGATTAGCAACTCGAGTCACCCGAGTCCACAGCATTTCCAGTGTTTATTTATTTATTACCCAGGTTAGCAACTTGACTCATGTGAGTCAGCAGCATTTTGGGGGAATCAGATGTTTATTTTATTTTATTTTTCGGTGAATCCCTAATGCGCAGAGTTAGCGGCTGTCTGCCAGATGATTGGACTTGTGAATCAGTAGGAGGACTCAGATCTTTTACTGGGGTGAGCTGAGCTCTAGTAGTAGCAGCTGAGAGTCATTCCCAACTCTGTGACATCTCACATTATTTTAAAATGTTACTTTCAAGGTTTCAAACAGCTTCAAGCCTCTTTCCCCAACATAAGATGATGTTAGTATAAAACTCTGGCTTGAAATTCGGCGGGTGATATGCATCCCTTCAATGAATGCTAGTCCTTTCATTTTTAAATTAAATTATTGACTTTTCAACTATCTGGGTATTTTTAGTTCTCGTTTTATTTCCTCTCAATGCTGACCCTTGGTTTTGAGTTTGCAGCAGGTGAATTTTGCAGCAGTCACAGTAGATCCATGTTAGCGGCTCTCTACTCAGCAGCCTGGCTGCGAGCAGAAAAACAACAACAGGCTACTCTGTAAGGAAGGCAGCTGCATGGGTTAGCGACAACAACCACCAGGATTTCACGCATGCAGCCTTATTTTCTTGAACCAAAATGCACCTTAGACTTATAATGCGAGTGCTGGAGGGTGCTAATGTTCTCCGTGTGCTGGAGTGATACAGATAAAGGGGAAAAACAGTTTGTAAAGTAGCTGGCTTAGCACCTAGCTGTGTGCGCGTCTCTATGTTCGAGTGTCTTCCGGCAGAAGCAGCGGCAGCGGCGGTGCCATGAACAGTGGACTCCCACCTTCAGCTGCTCCGCTCGGGGGTGCCGGGATACCCTGTGTCAAGGTGAAGTTTTGCCGGTACTACGCGAAAGACAAAACCTGCTTTTACGGAGATGAATGCCAGTTCCTGCACGAAGATCCGTCCATGGGAAGCCTCTCGCTGCACGGCGGCGGCGGCAGTCCAGTCCCGTTACCCGCAGCAGGGTACTCCCTCGGTGGTACGGCGGTGACGGCTTGCCCCGGCGGTGGAGGGACCGGTGTGTCCAAGAAGAACGAAACACTGGGGCCCGCGGGCACATCTCTGGAGGGGCAGCTACTAACCAGTGAGTACTCAAGCAAGGCCTCAGACGGGTCGGCTAACTCGCGTTTCCTCATGGCCTAACGGTGTAGTGTCCAAATTTAGCCCGAGGCTTCACAAAGGCCTCTTCAGCGCTAAACTCCGTGATTAACTTTAAACCTCCAGATACTTACCCTCCGACGTGCAGTTAGCATACACTGCATATTTTGGTTTGCTTATTAATAGTTTAGTCCTCAGTTTGTCAACTTACAACATGAGCCATGTTTTTGCAGCTCACATGGAGGCCTGTTGGTGTTGTGTTGGTATGACAGCTGTATAGCTAACATCCACTAAACTAAATGAGCGTTTTTAATAGCTTTAAATAACTTTAGTATGCTCGTTTGTACAGCCAGAGAGCTGTAATAAATGTTACTAATTGTGGGGTTAGTTATTATGCAGTTAAATGTTTTTTATATCAAGTGTACTGGTGTTGGCTGCTTAATGTTTGCTATCATTAGCATATCAATGCTAACGGTACGCTGGGCATTGTTTTTGATTTCTGGTCTCGTTTTTTTTCTTAGGATAAACAAACGGCAAGTAACGAGCACTGAGGTGCAACACATAATGTGTAAAACTTTATATAATTCTTTAGATTCAAAGCCTAAAAAAGTAACTGTTAGTTTAAAAAAAAACTTTTGTTAGATGGTACACTGTGGTTTGCTCCGGTGTTGTGGCGCAAAATGTACCCCCTTGGTAGGAAGTGCTTTTAAAAAGGCGCTTGTTTTCGCCATCAGTGTTGCCACATGGGAAATGTCGAAGTATCGTACCAGCGGCTTAAAATCATCTTATTTTATTTAATGTATGTCAGAATTATTTCCTTTATTGAGCGTGGACCTGCGGCGCGTCAACACGCAGCGGGTGCCCTGGGGTCGAAAAACGGTACTTTTTTTGTATTTTTATCGTTACGTTTGTACACGTGTTCGAGACCACCTCACTCATAAACAATGGGAGCCTCAACTACTGTAGTTTACAACCGCCATACACTGCTACAGTTAAGGAAACAGCCAGAAACCAACCTTCAAGATAATCTGCTGCGAACGCTGCGGGAACTCTGCTTACTTCGTGAACCAGACCTGGAGCCCTCGGTGTTTCCTGAAGCAGGAGCCCGGGAGAGGACGCACCGCAAGCGGTGTTCCAGGAAGCACAAGCGTGGGAAGCGAGCTGGGGTCCATGTTAGGCTAAAGGCTAACCCAAGCCGGCCGGCAATACCATCAATATTCCTCTGGAATGCATGCTCTCTGGAGAACAAACTGGACTGTATTAGACTCCAGCGAACTGCCCGACGTGAGTACAGGGACTGTTGTGTTTTAGTTTTTACTGAAACATGGCTTAGCGACAACATTCCAGACAGTGCTATTCAACTGGACGGGCTAGCATCACATCGGGCTGATAGCTCCAATCCAGCTCAGTCCAGCAAATCACAAGGAGGAGTTTGTGTTTACATTAACACTGAATGGTGCAAGGACTCTGTGCTTGTTGCAGCGGACTGTTCTCCGATGGTGGAGTTTGCTGTTGTTAGATGCAGACCTTTTTATCTACCACGGGAATTCACCATCGTGTTCATAGTGGCGGTGTATCTTCTGCCCAGCGCAGACACGAAGGAAGCATTGAGTGAACTGTACAGAGCCATCAGCAAACTGCAGAACGTTCATCCAGACGGAGTCTTTATAATCGCTGGGGATTTTAATCATGCAGATCTCAAGTCTGTTCTCCCTAATTTCTACAAACATGTGGACTTTGATACAAGAGGAGCGAACACGCTGGATGTTTACACGAATGTTTTCGGTGCGTACCGGGCAGAGCCCTGCCCCGACCTCGGAGGCTCGGACCACATCTCTGTAATGCTGCTTCCAGCTTACAGAGCGCTTGTCAGGCACACCAAACCTGAACTGAAACAGGTGACAACCTGGCCAGAAGGATCCATCTCTGCTCTTCAGGATTGTTTTGAGTGCACTGACTGGGACATGTTTAGGGAGGCTGCAACATATGGCGAATGCACCGATCTAGAGGAGTACACGACTTCAGTGACTTGCTACATCAGCAAATGCATTGATGACGTCACCACCACTAGAACCATCACTATCAGAGCCAACCAGAAGCCGTGGATGACTCCAAAGGTGCATGCACTGCTGAGGGCCCGAAACTCCGCTTTCAAAGCAGGTGACCAGTCAGTCCTGAGAACAGCGAGGAACACGCTGTCCCGGGGAATCCGAGAAGCAAAGCGCGCACACGGCCAGAAAATCCACAGCCACTTCCAGAACAGCAATGACACATGGCACATGTGGCAGGGCATCCAGGCCATCACCAACTACAGGACTATACCACCTGTCTTTAACAGTGATGCCTCCCTCCCAGATGCGCTGAACGACTTCTACGCTCTGTTCGAGGCGCAGAACAACACAGTGGTGAGGAAGACCACCCGCCCACGTGACGATCAGATGCTTCATCTGATAACAGCGGATGTGAGGAAAACTCTACGCAGAGTCAACCCATGGGAAGCTACTGGACCAGACAACATTCCTGGCAGAGTACTCAGAGAATGTGCAGACCAGCTGGCAGGTGTTCTCACAGATATCTTTAACATTTTCTTGAGCAGCGCTGTCGTTCCAACATGCTTCAAGATGACCACCATCATTCCTGTGCCAAAGAATGCATCGGTGTCATGCTTCAATGACCATTGTCCCGTAGCACTCACTCCTATCATCATGAAGTGCTTCGAGAGACTCGTCATGCAGCATGCAGCAAATGGTAAATGGGCTGTACTTATGTAGCACCTTTCTATCTTATCAAGATACTCATAGCACTTTATACTACAATCTGCCCTCATTTATCCATCCACACAGCACTCTACTATATCTATACAAAGACTAATCAGTGCTTTAGATCATGTTTTTATATATTTCTAAGTTCTATTCTGTGTAACTTGTTGTTTTTATGACCTTAGCTGCTTCCTTTTCTTGATCAGGTGAAAGACGTCTTGATCTCAATGAGTTTTTATCTGGTTAAATAATAAAAATAATAATAATAAAAATAAAAAAAAACCTCAGCCACAGCTGCCCCACTACACATGGAGGACAAAACAAGTGTTTGACTTGATATAGATCTACAGCATATTAACTATATTTGAAGGTTGTGTCTTGAAGAAATAGAGAAAATCCAGCAAAGACCCGAGAGATGCATCCTCCTTTTGTTGATTATTGACCGCTCTCTAAACTCTGCATTTTAGCCAAGGTTCTAGAAAAACTGAAACTGTCAAATCAGAAAGTATTTGGACTCATTTAACATCTTACCTCTCCATCAATCTGGTTTCAGGGAACAACACGGCACAACGACTGCTTCGCTGAAGGTTTTTAATGACATTGTTGAAGCATTGGATGCTAAGGATTATTGTGTTGCACTTTTCTTAGACCCGTCTAAAGCTTTCAATACTGTGGACTATGACATCTTGTGTCATAAGCTCTCAGAAATTGGTTTCTCAGAGCACACCATTGGTTGATTTCTCTAACTCTCTTTTAGATCGGAGACAATGTGTTTAACATAATGGTACTTCCTCTAGGCATTTAACAGTCAACAATAGTGTACCACAAGGCTCAGTCTTAAGACCCATCCTCTTTACAATCTACGTAGGTAATGTAGGTCAGAGCATCCCTGATGCCTCCTTACATTTCTGTGCTGTTGCTACAGTTGTCAAGCTAAAACAGTTGCTAAGGTTTTCCAGCTTTTGACATCATCCAGTCAAATTTGTTCCGTCTCAAACTTGTCCTAAACGCCGACAAAACCAAAGGGATGTCTGTGTGTCTCCTAGTTAGCTTGCCATGGCGGGGTGCTCATCTCATCCATGAATTTTGCTGATGGGGGTGGGGGGGGGGGGGGGAACAGAGACATGTCTGAGCGCAGCTTGTACTAACAGTTTTTGAGCGGGGCGGGGGGAGTTCAACATGAGGGAAGAGGCAATGTGAGTGCTGCCTTTGGCTTTTTAGCTAGAGAGCCTGTATTTTGCGCCGCAAGCTTAGTGATATGTCAGTGCTGGGTGGGGGTGGGAGGGGCAAGTTCAGTTTGGTAGGCAGGGTGCTCAGTCCTGTAGAAGGGGTGGGGCACTCCGCCTGTATAATGGTAGGGGAAACACTGGATGTTTTTTTTCAAACAGGAAATCAGTCTTAGCAGTTCTTCCTCTGATTTTATCCTTGAATGGTGCCTCTATCGAGTTTGTCGATTCCTACAAATATTTAGGTATCTTGGTCGATTCACATCTCTTTTAAGCTCCATGTGAAAAACTTGGTAAGGAAACTGAAAGTTAAACTGGGTTTCTTTTTCAGAAATTGATCCTGTCTAACTCTGAATGCTAGGAAACACCTTGTAACTGTGACTTTCCTTCCCTCCATTGACTACGGTGACATTATTTACATGAACACCCCTACATGCACCCTGCAGATGTTAGATTCTGCCTATCATGGTGCACTAAGATTCATAACTGGCTGTAACTACCGTACCCACCACTGCACCTTGTGTTCACTGGTTAACTGGACATCATTAACTTCACTGGTACATTTTCATCTTTAAATCACCTCTCGGTCTGCTGCCTTCATACATCTCTTACATGTCACTGCGTAAGTGCAGCTACAGCGTGCGCTCTCAGGACATAATTACATGCAGTGTTCCCTCAGTGCAGACTGTACTGGGCAAAAGGGCCTTCTCCTACTCTGCTCCTGTTTCCTGGAATATCTTGACAAAAGATCTGAAGCTCTCAATCTTGACTTCTCTAAGTGGCTTTAAACATCTGTTAAGTTCCTGGGAAAAACCAATGCAGACATGTTCCTGTGTTTAGTTTTCTACATCGCCTTACAACCTAGCTTTTTTTCTTGTTACATTTTCTTTTAAATACCATTTTATTTTCACTTGCTATTCTCAATTTGTACACATTCTTTATGATTGTCTGTTGTCTTTGTTGTTCAATGTTGTCACCACTCTTTGTTAAAACTGGGTCTCTCTTGTAAATGAGTCCCCAAGGCTCAGTGGGATTAACCTGTATAAATAAAGGTTGAATGAAAATAAATGGGAGGAAAGTCGCAGTTACAAGGCGTTTCCTAGCATTCAGAGTTGGACAGGATCAATTTCTGAAAAAGAAACCCAATTTAACTTTCATTTTGCTTACCAAGTTTTCCACGTGGAGCTTAAGAGAGATACAAATCGACCAAGATACCCAAATATTTGTAGGAATCGACAAACTCAATAGGGGCACCATTCAAGGGTAAAATCAAAGGAAGAACTGCTAGGACAGACTTCCTGTTTGAAAACAGCATCCTTTTGGTTTTGTCGGCGTTTAGGACAAGTTTGAGACAGAACAAATCTGACTGGATGATGTCAAAAGCTGGAAAACCAGCAATTGCATTAGCTCGACAATAAACAACAGTATCATCACCAGCACAAAAATGTAGGTCAGAGCATCCCTTATGCATCCTTACATTTTTGTGCATTTGTACATTAGTAGATTCTAAAGAGGGTGGGTCCTAAGACTGAGCCTTGTGGTACACCATTGTTGACCATTAAATAACTAGAAGAAGTACCATTATGTTGAACGCATTGCCTCCGGTCTTAGAGATAGTTCATGAAGCAACAAGTGATGTAAGCTGAAAAGCCAATTTCTGAGAGCTTATGACACAAGATGTTATGATCCACAGTGTCAAAAGTTTAGACAAGTCTAAGAAAAGTGCAGCACAATAATCCTTAGCATCCAATGCTTCGACAACGTCATTAAAAGCCTTCAGTGAAGCAGTCGTTGTGCTGTGTTGTTTCCTGAAACCAGATTAATGGAGAGGTAAGATGTTAAATGAGTCCAAATACTTTTTGATTTGAGAGTTTTATCAGTTTTTCTAGAACCTTGGCTAAAATGCAGAGTTCAGTGATTGGTCGATAGTTGTTCAGTGAGGTGGGGTCACCTCCCTTCAGCAAAGGTAGAACAAAGGCTGTTTTCCAGGTGTCTGTAATGGAGTTTTGGCTTATGGACAGGTTAAAGATGTGGGCCACCGGAACTGTGATGATATGAGCGGCCAGCCAACATGTCCAGTCAATAAGACAAAGAGACCTTCAGAAACTCCGAAAATATACTATTCATCAAGACCACTTCAAAGATTATAAAGTTTAGCCACTTGGAAGCTAAATATAAAGAAAGGAAAGTTTTTATAGCAAACCAAGCTTTTAGGATGTGCACCTCCTAATTCTTTACAGACAAAAGTTTCAGCCACAAAAAATATTCCTTCCAAAATCAGTCCCCTAACCACATCTCCAATACTTTATGCTGGGAACAAGAGTAAGAGATTTCAAAAATAAATAATTGTAATTGTGTTTTTGATGAGAACTAATAAGCACAAGTTGGTTTGTCTCATTTGACTTTCACTCAGTTTATTTGTACTTTTTGGGAGCAAATGCAAGGGTCCATTGTTTTGTCCAATCAGTGTGGCAGTACTAACTCTTCCTACCTTTTGTCTTCCACAGTCCCAGGAATGGAGGGTCCAAGCCTGAGCGATGCCAATCTTACCAACTCTTACTTCAGCAGCAGCTTTATTGGGGTCAATGGGTTCGGAAGCCCAGCAGAGTCAAAATATTCAATGATGCAGGTACAAGCAATGCATATATGTTATCAGCAAAACTACAGCCTGCCAAAGTAATTCATTTAAAAATTCCACCAAAATGTTTTATCGCATGCATCTTTTTTTGTTTGTTTTGTATTATATCTGCAAGATTTAACTATTGTATACTTCTTAGCATGGTTAATAGATCTGTGTGAAGAAAGTTTAATATTTTATCAGGTTGTTTGAATCTTAGGTTATTAGATTGTTGTATGTAAAATATGTGAAAGGCAAACTAAGGATTTAGTCAAATTAAACAAGAATATCTTTTTGGCTCCAAGCTTCGGATGTCAACTTAATTAGCTGTGCATCAGTAAGTGTTAAGTGTGATGTTCTTTTTAAAAGCAGAAGCTTTGACTCTTTATTGGGCTGGACCTTTCAGGTTTGTGTTACCACATTGCCCAAGTGAAAACACATCAACAATGATTTTAGAGAAGCGCTTGTTTCTATCCATAAATGTGAGAAAGGTTGTAAGAACATTTCTAATCAAACCAAAGTTTTATTCTACAATCTGAAAAATACCTCACAATTTGAAAACATTCAGGGCGGTTGCTGATCTTTTCTGGAGCGAGTTTCCTGCAAAGTTCCCCTGCAGGAAGACATGTGCCCCCTTTCAAATTTAAAAACTGATCAAGTTTGGTTTGTTTAACCAATCTTGGTGAAAACCAAACAGCATATCTGCACAAACACTTTCAACTGATCAGCACGGTGGTGGAGGGCTAATGATTTGAGCTTGTTTGCAGCAACAAGACCCGAGTCTTGCTGTTTTTGTCTGACAAAAAGAAAAATATCTAAGTACACCAGCACTTCTACAATAGAAGTTGCTGGGGAAAATGATGAATAATGTGCTGTAATGACCAGGTCAAAGTCCAGCCCTCAACTCAATTGCAATACTTTTGTGGGAACTTGAGAACTGCACAAATACCACAAACCTCAATGAACTGATGCAACTTTCTAAAGAAGATTGGGCTAAAATTTGTTTGCCACAATGTAAAGAAAATAAAAAACTTTGTACCAAAGACAATTGCAAAAAGATATTGCTACTATAATGAGCTACTGACTCATGGGGTTGACTTAGTTTTTCACACGCTGTATCTATTATTTGTTAGTTTTTGTTAAGTAAACCATGACTAGTTGTAAAATGTGTTACTTTCATCGGAAGTTGTTTTAAGCATGACTTGTAAAGCCAGAGTATAGGTAAACATGGATTTTAGGAGGGGAATAAAGAACTACATGTTGTGTTCAGATATTCTTATTAAAGTGGTTGCTGAGTGAAACTCGGCTTTAAAACTCGATTTTTTTTCCATTTTTTTTACCATGTGTGATTGAGTTCATGATAGCGCATAAATGTGGTCTTTTTTTGACATTTATCATCTCAATGCTGCTGTTTTTAGCGAATGACCACCAGCAGCAGCTCTCCCAGTCTTCTCAATGATGGTGCCAAGAACTTCAGCCACAGCGCTCATGGTAAGACACACTCGTGCGATCTTGGTGTTGCAGAAAACACACATCCCTGATTGTTGAGTTATCCTTTTTCAACCCTTCACTCTCAATCCTTCTCAGATCCAGTGAACTCCCCGACAGCTTCACTGTTCAGCGATTTTGGTGCTCTTAGCATTTCTCAAAGAAGAAAGGTGAGCAGATTCAACAATGTTCTTTCTAATGTTTATTACTTTGATTTTGTACGAGCTGGCTGTTGAAACGTAAACTTAATCCTCACTTCCCTCTTTGTATCTGAGAAGAGCTGTTGATTCCTTGTCATTTTTCTACGTTGTCATCAGGCTCCAAACCCGACAGCAAGCGAGTTTATCCCCAAGGGAGCTCCTCGAATGGCCGCCATGACGCAGTCTGCTGTCCAGTCCTTCCCCTCTCCTCTCTTTGCTCATCCTGGCCTCGGGAGCTCCACAGCTGCTGCTCTGGCTCCAGGTGAGGGTTTGATTTAATTCTGTAAAGTGAACAAAACTTAACACTTTCTTCCTTACGCTGCCATTTTCATAATTAATAGGTAATACTGAATGCTTAAATATATATATATTTCACATTTATCTCTGTGTGTAGGCATGTCACTTTCTGCTGGATCATCCCCTCTTCACTCTCCAAAAATTACACCTCACACCTCCCCTGCCCCTCGTCGGCGCAGCCACACTCCAAACCCTGCCAACTACATGGTGCCCACCACAGCGTCGGACCAGGGCGGACACATTATCCAGAAAGAGACTGTTGGAGGAACAACCTACTTCTATACCGACAACACCCCAGTTCCAATGGCTGGGATGGTACGTAGGGAAGTTAGTAACGCTGATATTCCTTTTTTTAATTATCAAACAAATAAGCAGAGTTGAGATCTTAAGATGATTATAAATCTGTACGTTTATAAGATTCTGTCTGGAGCACAGGAGCACTGAGATTCATACATCAAGTTATTTTGAGGCAGCTAAGTGTTGCAGTGTGGTTATTGTATAAATGTTTATGAAACATTCACACTATTGTCATCCATTTTTCTTCTGTTCGTTTTTTGGCGCGATCTTCTTCCTGCAGTTTTGAAGCTATTTCATCAAATCGTTAATCAAAATGTTCAGCTGTTTCAGGACAATCCTGCCATGACTTTTGGTATTGGTGCAACTTTAGCTTTTAGAAATATTTAGCCTTTTCTGCCATTTTATTTCTAATAGAAAATGAATTGAGCTCATTTTACATCCTTCAAATCTTTAGCTTGGTTTACAACTTTTTACTGCTTCTTTCACATTTTGTTCTGGTTCAGCTTCTTTCAGCTTCCTTGTGCAAATTTAAATTTTTTTTCGGCTACTTTAAATTAATTTAAGCTGGGTTTTTTTCATCTGTTTTGTGCTTCTTTTAGATTCTTTCTGCTAACTAGAACATTTTTGTGCTTCTTCTAACTTCTTGCTGCTAATTTCAGCTTGTTATGCTAATTTCAGCTTATTTCTGCAGGTTTCAGCTTTTTCTGCTATTTAAGCCACTATATAGCTGTTTTATTATTTTAGCTTTTTCAACTTAGTCCACATTTTTTGCACTCATTTAAAATTTTTCCAGCCTAGTTCAGCAAAAAATGTACTTTCCCCACTTCCTTCTGGTAATTTCAACTTCTTTCTGAACTTTTAGCTGCTTTTCAGCTATTTATTTATTTATTTATTTATTTATTTTTTGCTAATTTTAGCTTTTTTCAGATAATTTCCACTTTAGTGCTCATTTATGCTTCCTTCAGACTTATTGGGCAAACATGTTCTTTCTGGTTTCTTCTGCTAATTTAAGCTTTTTCTACCTTTTTTTTTAAAGCATTTTTAGATAATTTCAGCTGTTTTCAGATAAATTCAAGTTTTTCATGGTAATTTCTGCTACTTTCAACCTAATTAATTTTTTATGGTAATTTCAGCTTTTTTGCTAGTTTCAGCTTTTCTGCTATTTCAGCTACCATTTAGCTGTTTGTATGCTAATTTTAGCCTTTTCAGCTAATTCCACATTGTTTTAGCTCATTTCAGCTATTTCCACTTCCTTCTTGAAGTGCTTCTTTCTGCCTTTTCAGCTACTTTTAAGTTATTGCTTGCTAATCTGACCTTTTTTAAACTAATTTCTTAATTTTTATGCTAAGTTCTGCTTATTTAAACCTACTTCGGCTAATGTGTTCTTTTTTGCTTTCTTCTGCTAATTAAGGCTTGTTCTTTCATTTCAGCTACAATTCAGCATGTTTATATATATTTTAGATAATTTTAGCTGTTTTTCTGCAAGTTCTTGAGTAATAAGCATTCACACAACATTTTCCCAGGAACTTCTAGTTAATATTTATGTTAACTGCATAACACTTGATTGAGTGTTTAAGCAATAGTTTTCTTTCCTCATATTTGCATCACTTTTACCATTTTAAATAGAAAAAACACATTTATTTTTGACTGCCAACATTTTAATTTCTATGTAAATAGGAAGCTACAGTATGATTTTTTTGTTTTTGTTTTATTGCAGGTGTTTCCTACCTTTCACCTGTACCCCCCCACTGCTCCTCATGTGGCTTACATGCAGCCAAAAGCCAATGCCCCGTCCTTTTTTATGGCTGACGAGCTCCGACAGGTATTTCTCAGTTGCTCCCTTCTGTTTGTATTGTATTGTCTTTCTAAATGTTGTCCTCCTTTATAAAGGGAATATCTAATATTATTTCCTAATGTTCTCCTTCAGGAGTTAATTAACAGACATCTGATAACCATGGCCCAAATTGACCACGCAGAGAACCCAGGTAAACATTTGGTAGTACAAAATGTACTATTTTACCTGTTTGTGTGCAGCAGAACAAAACTGCAAAGACATTTCAGAGTCAGAGTCAGAGTTTCTTTATTGTCATTCGCACCTCATGTGGTACATGTGGTGGAGCGAAATTATGTACACGGGGTCCCAGTTACATCCAACAATAAAATGTATAAGAAAAACAGTAATAACATCTAAGATATGAACTAAGAAAAACATCAACTAAATATACACTAAGCACTCATAACATAAAACATTGAACGTCAGCACAAACATGAACATGAGTCATGAACACATTTCTGCTGTAAATGTAAATTATATTTAAGAGGGGTGATTTTTATGGGCTTTGTGAGTCATTTTTGTTACATGCATTATTTTTTTCTTATTTGGTTGCAATTATTAAATTAGTTGTTTATTACCAGGATTATAGTGCAAGTAAAAACTAATTAAGAAGTAGGTATTTATTGTTGGTCTTGATTAAATGAATGAAAAGAGTTTTAAACTAGATGCATGTGTTATGCAAGTTATGTGAAATGTGTTTTTCAAATTGTTTTTTGACAGATGTACCATCTGAGGTGGACAGCTACCACAGCCTGTTCCCTCTTGAACCTCTTCCTCCACCCAACCGCATGCAGAAGACCAGCAACTTCAGCTACATCACCTCCTGCTACAAGGCGGTCAACAGCAAGGATGACCTGCCCTACTGCCTGAGGAGGATACACGGTAATAACATGCATTCAGCACATACAAATAAAGCTGCTTTGCCGATACATTTATTCGCATATCAGCCCTACAGGAAGCTGCAATTGCAACTATTAACAAATTCAACCAACCCTTGCATATTTTGCTCAGACCTGCAAATTTGGCCAATCACCAGAACTTTTCTGGAATTGTTTCACATCCTGTTCAAGGTGCAAACTTGTCCAGTGTCAGAAAATCACATTTGTCAATAAATATTACGGCTGATATCTGCTCAAGTCAATTTCCTGAAGTATTACATGAACGTGGTGGTAAACTGTTTTTGCAGCTCGTGCAACAGCACAGGCATAAATGGTCACGTTTCTACTGCAAAGCATTATTAACAATGGCTGAGTGTATTTGTTTTCAGTCAGCTGGGCTGGATGCCATCTTCAGTTACAGCCTGTCAGAGTGATAGTTCAGGTCATGAAAAGGTTACATAAAACACTTGGATCTAATTTTTTTTTTTTAAAGCTTCAAAACATCACAACTTTAATCAGAACTTCTATAAAAAAGTTCCTGCAGAATCAGTCATTCTGGGCCACAACAATCACACAGAAAGTTTGCAACATCCTGGAGGGACTGATGTATTGATGCGCACAGTGGATTTATGAAAGAAGCTGAAAAGGGCTGACCAAAACGATCCGTTATATTTTGTTTAAATCATAAAATTTTGATAAGTTGTGTTTAGGTGCTCACGTTTGATTTATGCTTTTAGGATTTCGCCTTGTAAACACAAAGTGCATGATGCTGGTGGACATGTGGAAGAAGATTCAGCACTCAAATGCGGTAACGCTTAGGGAGGTCTTCACCACTAAGGCCTTTGGAGACCACTGTGAGTGTGGGCTGCCTCTGCACATTGACTTTTCTCTGTGAACGGGTTTCATATTAAATTAAGGCATAATTCTCTTGTTTGGCTTCAAAGCTTTATAGTTGAGTGTACGAACCGGATTCCAAAAAAGTTGGGACACTAAACAAATTGTGAATAAAAACGGAATGCAATGATGTGGAGATGGCAAATGTCAATATTTTATTCGTAATAAAAAATAAAATGTAACATTTTAAAGGAAAAATATGTTGATTATAAATTTCACAGTGTCAACAAATCCCAAAAAAGTTGGGACAAGTAGCAATAAGTGGCTGGAAAAAGGAAATTGAGCATATAACGAACAGCTGGAAGACCAATTAACACTAATTAGGTCAATTGACAACATGATTGGGTATAAAAAGAGCTTCTCAGAGTGTCAGTGTCTCTCAGAAGCCAAGATGGTAAGAGGATCACCAATTCCACCATTGTTGCGCAGAAAAATAGTGCAGCAATACCAGAATGGTGTTACCCAGCGTAAAATAGCAAAGACTTTTAAGTTATCATCATCAAGCATGCATAACATCATCAAAAGATTCAGAGAATCTGGAACAATCGCTGTGTGTAAGGGTCAAGGCCGTAAAACTCTACTGGATGCTCGTGATCTCCGGGCCCTTAAACGTCACTGCACCTCAAACAGGAATGCCACTGTCAAGGAAATAACAGAATGGGCTCAGGAATACTTCCAGAAAGCATTGTCAGGGAAGACAATCCACCGTGCCATCTGCCGTTGCCAGCTGAAACTCTACAGTGCAAAGAGGAAGCCATTTCTAAGCAAGTTCCACAAGCTCAGACGTTTGCACTGGGCCAGGGGTCATTTAAAATGGAGTGTGGCAAAATGGAAGACTGTTCTGTGGTCAGTTGAGTCACGATTTGAAGTTCTTTATGGAACACTGGGACGCCATGTCATCCGGACCAGAGAGGACAAGGATAGCCCAAGTTGTTATCAACGCTCCGTTCAGAAGCCTGCATCACTGATGGTATGGGGTTGCATGAGCGCTTGTGGCATGGGCAGCTTGCATGTCTGGAAAGGCACCATTAATGGAGAGAACTATGTTCAGGTTCTAGAACAACATATGCTCCCATCTAGACGTCATCTCTTTCAGGGAAGACTCTGCATTTTTCAACACGATAATGCCAGACCACATTCTGCAGCAATCACAACATCATGGCTACGTAGGAGAAGGATCCGGGTACTGAAATGGCCAGCCTGCAGTCCAGATCTTTCACCTATAGAGAACATTTGGCGCATCATAAAGAGGAAGGTGCGACAAAGAAGGCCCAAGACGATTGAACAGTTAGAGACCTGTATTAGACATGAATGGGAGAGCATTCCTATTTCTAAACTTGAGAAACTGGTCTCCTCTGTCCCCAGACGTCTGTTGAGTGTTGTAAGAAGAAGGGGGGATGCCACACAGTGGTAAAAAAGGACTTGTCCCAACTTTTTTGGGATTTGTTGACGCCATGAAATTTGGAAACAACAGATTTTTCCCTTAAAATGATACATTCTCTCAGTTTAAACTTTTGATCTGTGATTTGTGTTCTATTCTGAATAAAATATTAGATGTTGGCACCTCCACGTCATTGCATTCAGTTTTTATTCACAATTTGTTTAGTGTCCCAACTTTTTTGGAATCTGGTTTGTATAAGATGGGGTAAACTTGACCTTACTACTTATTTTGTGGTGAAATTTAAAATAAATCATAAAGTTTTCTTTTGATTCTAATTGTTTTCTTTTTCCTCCCCAGCGTTGGTCTTCTCTTATGACTTCCATTCAGGTGCAGAAACAATGTTCAGCAGACATTTTAATGACCCAGCAGCAGACTCGTACTTTACCAAAAGGAAGTGGGGTGAGTTCGTCTTCCCTTCCTCCTCCTCTCTGAAATAGAACCAGCATCACCTCAGACCCCATACAACACCCGCCACTTCACACATTCAGACTTTGACTTGTTTTGCTGGTGAGGTCATGAACATGTATTTTTTTGGAATTTCTCTTTCATGTTAGTGTTGTGAGATAGAGTTCGTGTCAGACACTTATGTCAGGTTTAGTAAATAAACTTGCGGTGAATCACAAGCGTCAAGGGTCTAACTTGATGCACGCTCAATGATCCAGGTAACAACGTTAAGTCTGGTCCTCTGGACGTATTCTTCTTCTTGAAATGTTTTGTCTTTTATCCAAAAGACTTCTTCAGTTTGAGGGTTTAAAGCAGGGCTATTCAACTCAAGTGCTCAGGAGGCCACAGTTACTGAAATCCAAGAGCTCGGGCTTGAAATCCAGCAGATGTCATTAATTAAGTTTGTTTTACAGTTTAAAATCTAGTTTTATTTAAAAATGAACCCATTGGTGGGCCAAACTGAGCTCACCAGTGGGCCTGATTTGGCCCCCGGGCCGCCAGTTGAATAGCCCTGGTCTAAAGTGAGTGTTTGGAGTTTAGGTTTGACATTTGTCTCTGTGAAAGAAACTTGGGCATATGGAGGAAACTGTGGCTGAAACTGATCCTAGGCCAGGTGCTGCCTGCCTACAGGAACGACAGACGGGGGAAGCAAAACCACCGAGGCCTTCTCTGAAGCAAAGACTAATAAGAAACTTTAATGTACGAGTCGTAAGAGGAACAAACGCACAAGAGAAAAATTGTAAAGCACGAGGTGGTTTTTAATGTTTTCTGAAATGGCTTTTGGGAAACACTTCTGGCTACTTCTGGACTGCAACTGAAGTAGCTAAAATTGTTTGTTGAAACAAGCAATTACTTCTGTTACGGTCAGGGCAAAACTTATTTATAGTGCAGCACACACCCCATCACTCTGCTGCCTGAAAGTGTTGCTGGTAAGCGAGGTGATAAAAAAAAAATCACAAATGATGAACAGTTTTTTGTAACAGGGCGCTGCTTTTTGTCACGTGCATCTTGTTCATAGTTAAACGCACGTCGTACACAATAATTGTAATAAATGTAAATGAAATCTTCATCAGATGACCTCATAAAGTTCAACCTAAACGGACTAAATAGGATTCTTCTCGGTGACATTGTCTGTAAGAGGCAGCTTGTTTTGAAGATTAGAGGAAGCTCATGGCAGTTGGAGGTTGAGGCTGTGTTTTTGGGTGATAAAGTGTTTTTTTCTTTAAGGTCAACACGAACCTCCGCCGCCGCGGCAGCATGCAGGTCTGCTGCCGGAGTCTCTGATCTGGGCCTACATCGTGCAGCTCAGCTCGGCCCTGCGCACCATCCACACTGCCGGTTTGGCGTGCCGGGTCATGGACCCCAGCAAGATTCTCATCACCGGCAAGACCAGGTACAGACACAAATACCTGAGCAGAAAAAAAATACCATTCTGTATGTTTGGGTCTGTTCCTCATTAAATACTACTCGTAACCTTAAATTGCTTTGCAGAGAAAATTGTTAAATTTTTTGTAGATAGGACTTCCTGTAAAATGTGCCAAAACAAGAAGCGTATTCTCAGTCCAGGCTTCCTTTTTTCACAACCGCATGATGCGACACCTTTAAGCACGCACGCATACAAGCTAATGATGCATCTGATCTCTTATCTCTAAAGGCTACGATTAAACTGTGTCGGCGTGTTCGATGTCTTAACGTTTGACAACAGTCAAACCAATCATCTTGCCCTCATGCCACAGTACCAGGTACTTAGAAAAATATACTTTGCATGCAAAAGTACTTCATTTAGAATAACGTCAGTGCCTCACAGCTGGATCATCTCTGGTTAAAGTTTAGTTGGAACTTATCAAACTGTGGATATGTGTGTTGTTTTTTTCACTCAGCAAGCAGATCTAGTGTCGCTGGGCAAGGTTGTGCTGGCTTTGGCGTGTAATTCACTCGCTGGAATTCAAAGGGAGAACCTGCAGAAGGCCATGGAGCTGGTGTCTATAAACTACTCCTCAGACCTCAAGAACCTGATTCTGTAAGAGGGGCGGATGGAAATTAGACATTTTCAGAAGTAAATGTAAACAAACCACCTCTATAGATTGAGCGTGGATTAAAAACAAAACAGGAAATAAAGTGTTTTTGAAGTAGTGAAGTTAAAAACACATTGATTGTATTTTATGGATATTAAACGTCACGTCATAATTTCAATTTAAGGTAGATTTCAAAAGTAATTTTTAGTGCTCATTTAATCCAACTATTATGACTTAAGATAGTATTGCACAAAAAGTGGTTGAGTTTTTTATTTTTTTTTGCATTTCATAGGTTCAGCTTGTGTCGTATACATACTGAACTCAATGAAGCTCCTATTGGACAACCAAGAAGATAACTGTTTTAAATAGAGAAGTTAAAGCTTATTTTTGTAAACCACTGCTGTTGCAGGATTATGGACTCTAAAGCAGACCTGGTTTGTAAAGTTTAATGAAAAAACTAGGGCTGCACAATATTGGATTTTTGGCCGATATGCCAATATGTTAAAACTTGTTTGGCCGATACCAAAACCGATAGTTTGTTTCCTAGACCTACTTACAAAGACTACATAGCTTTCTCTGCTGTGGAATTAAAATACTACATTATTCTGCATGGTCTTGGTCAGTTTGGCCCGCTACCAAATGTAGATGCCAAAAAGGAGCTGAAAATGATGCAACACTTCAACTTAGATTTACTCAAACAGTGCAAATTTTAAAATTTTCACAAATCTGAACTCAACAGCGCACGTGACGTCATAACGTTGTGCTGGCGCTGCAGGCATCCTTGTCACTGGGTTATACAAAAACAGCGCCTTTTATATCGGTGAGTTATTTTGATGGAATGGCCGATGTCCAATATTTAACTTTATCGCTAATATCGACCGATACCATGCCGTTAATATCATGCATCCCTAGAAAAAACTGTTTGTAGGTGAAGAAATGAAGGTAAAACGGGAAGGTTATGTCTTCCTGGGAGGCTGTCTCGATGCTTGAAACACTGAATGTACCTGAGATGTAGAATGTTTTGAGTCTTCCTAAATTTTTGAAAGAAGGAGGAAGTTTTAACTAGCCCACACTAGATCCTAAATTGAATAACACCGAAAACGTTTAAACAGTTTTGAAATCTGCCGTAACAAAAAAAACAACATAAGTTTGAGTGTATATCAGTAGAAGAGCAGCAGACAGTTGATGCTGTTTTACTGTTGAGGATTAGTGATAAGTACCATTATTTGTGTGAGCTGAAACCAAAATTTGATAATTAGCTTTTTGTTTGTTTAAATATGACATTGAGAGGATTTTAATTCTCGTGTCTTAACTTCTTATAATGAACCTCATACTGAGCTTGAAACTTGTCAGTTAAATATATTGTATAAAGCACTGTGCAAAAGTCTTTAGTCAGACCTCAGACCTTAAATCTTTTGAAGACTAATAACAATCACCCAATATCATAATATTAAAAGTTGAATGTCCAGTAAAGAGCGGATTGCCACAACTAATAATGACAATAGAACGTTTGTTCAGCGCCTTTGGCTGTTTTTAATTTTTGCATTAATGCAGGTATCTGCTGACTGACCAGTCTCGCCTACGCAGTGTCAATGACATCATGCCCATGATCGGAGCCCGCTTCTATACACAGCTGGACGCATCGCAGATGAGGAATGATGTCATTGAGGAAGACCTTGCCAAGGTAATTTGAAGGATACAGTTTGTGTTGCACAGTGTGCTTGCAGCAGGCATGTGTTTACCCACACTGTTCATTTAAATGAGGTATTCTGGGATGCTGCACAAAAGTGATCTCCTTTATCGAAGAGAAGTTACACAGGATGTTTTACAGTACAGGTGCTGGTCATAAAATTAGAATATTATGAAAAAGGATTTTTTTTCAGTAATTCCATTCAAAAAGTGAAACGTATGCTATATTAATTCAGTACACACAGACTGATATATTTTTAAAATGTGTATTTCTTTTAATATTGATGATTATAACCGACAACTAATGAAAACCCCAAACTCAGTATCTCAGAAAATTAGAATATTGTGAAAAGGTTCAATATTGACGATACATAGTTCCACAGTCTAAATAGCTAATTAACTCAAAACACCTGCAAAGGTCTTTAAATGATCTCTCAGTCTAGTTCTGTAGGCTACACATTCATGGGGAAGACTGCTGACTTGACAGTTGTCCAAAATACGACCACTGACACCTTGCTCAAGGAGGGCAAGACACAAAAGGTCATTGCTAAAGAGGCTGGCTGTTCACAGCTCTGTGTCCAAGCACATTAATAGAAAGGTGAAGGGAAGGAAACGATGTGGTAGAAAAAAAGTGTATAAGGAATAGGGATAACCACACCCTGGAGAGGATGGTGAGACAAAACCCATTCCAAAATGTGGGGGATATTCACAAAGAGTGGACTGCAGCTGGAGTCAGTGCTTTAAGAACCACCATGCACAGACATATGCAAGACAAGGGGTTCAGCAGTCGCATTCCTTGTGTCAAGCAACTTTTGAACAAGAGACAGCATCAGAAGCGTCTCGCCTGGGGACTGCTGCTAAGTGGTCCAAAATTATGTTCTCTGAAAGTAAATGTTGCATTTCCTTTGGAAATCAAGGCTCCAGAGTCTGGAGGAAGAGAGGAACAGAATCCACGTTGCTTGAGTTCCAGTGTCAAGTTTCCACAGTCATGATGGTTTGGGGTACCATGTCATCTGCTGGTGTTGGTCCACTGTGTTTTCTAAGGTCCAAGGTCAACGCAGCCGTCTACCAGGAAGTTTTAGAGACTTCATGCTTCCTGCTGCTGACCAACTTTATGGAGATGCAGATTTCATTTTCCAACACAGTTTGGTACCTGCACACAGTGCCAAAGCTACCAGTACCTGGTTTGAGGACCATGGTATCCCTGTTCTTAATTGGCCAGCAAACTCACCTGACCTTAACCCCATAGAAAATATGATGTATTGTGAAGAGGAAGATGTGATACATCAGACCGAACAATTCAGAAGAGCTGAAGGCCACAATCAGAGCAACCTGGGCTCTCGTAACACCTGAGCAGTGCTCAGACTGATCAACTCCATGTCACGCCGCATTGCTGCAGTAATCCAGGCAAAAGGAGCAACAACTAAGTATTGAGTCCTGTACATGCTCATACTTTTCATGTTCATACTTTTCAGTTGGCCAACATTTCTAAAAATCCTTTTTTTTAAAAATTGGTCTTAAGTAATATTCAAATTTTCTGAGATACTGAATTTGGGGTTTTCATTAATTGTCAGTTATAATCATCAACATAAAAAAAATAAACATTTGAAATTTATCAGTCTGTGTATATGTGGATGTAATATACAAGATTCACTTCTTGAATTGAATTACTGAAATAAATGAACTTTTTCATGATATTCTAATTTTATGACCGGCACCTGTATATTATAGGACCTGTAGACTGGTCTTAAATTTAGTTTTCTCAAGTTCTAGTGTGAATGTGTGAAATGACAGACACGGCACCAGCATTTTCTTATCTGTCATGCATCAACTTCTTTTTTTCATCCTTTGCTGTAATACACCTACACAAGAAGTGTGCAGTGGCAGGTTTTTTTTTTTTTTTTTTTGTTGTTTTTTTACATCTGTCTGCAAATTATTCAAATGTTGTTTCTATAAGATGCTAAGCTTGTCTTAGTTAATACAAATACCCAGTTAAAATGGTTGTAACAGCAGCATCATTAGAAATGTGCACAAAGAACAAACAGTCAGCAGGTGTCTGTGATGGCGGGACAGCTTTGCATTTCTCCATGGGTTAAATGCAGAGAACTAACTTTGTCATATGGGAACATACAATGATGACAGCACACAGCACGTTACACACCCAAAAATATATAAATATTACATTCCTTAAAAAAGGACTTCTATCAAGTATTCTAAAATATAATAAAAATAAAGGGTAATTTAAGAGGAAATAAAGTTTCTTACTATTGAACTGATTTTAGTCATGAATTCTCATTTAGATGAACTCCAACAGTGGCGATGGTGGTAGAGTTGCAAAAGCTGAATGCGTGCAGCTCAAAAACTTGACTTTGTTTTCTGTAACTACAGACAGGATCGTGAAATCTGATCGACATCAAACGTGAACATTTGAAAAAGACTGTTTTAACCCTTTAACTTTCTGACTATTCATGTTCCTCAGGGGGAAAATCAGCCACCTTACTTATAACTGCTTAAAAATATTAGTTTTAAATAAAAAAGACAACAAGTTCAACGGGCAGTTAATGTTCAATCCACACTGGTAAAACAGTTTGAACCCTGCTCCAATGCTGCGAGCTTTGCTGCCCTTCCACTTGGTCTCTTGGACACATAAAACGTCTACCTTCCTTCTCTGCATCATGTCAGCCAGCTCTCTACCTTTGCCCGTCGTTGTTCCCACATTTAGAGTTGCCACCCTCAGTCTTACATTCTTGACGCTGCTCTTCTTCCTCTGTCTCCTGTCACGTTTCCCTCCTCGTAGCCTTTGACTAACAGCTGCACAATTTCCGCCAGCACCCTGTTTATCAACAGCACCGGTGGCGGTCGTTGTTAACCCGGTCCTCGACCGATCCAGTATGGTTTCGCTTTGATGAACTCGCATTATAGTTTTGGCAGAAGTGTTTTAAGTCGGATGCTCTTCCTGACACGACCCATACCAGGCTTGGGACCAGCAGCACCAGAGGTACACTGGCTTGTGCTCCCTAGTGGCGGTTTCTTTAACAGGACTGTATCCAAATGACATCATGACACTTCTTTTAAATGTGACCGTGGTGAACAAATAAGTCTTTTAAATGATGACTAATTATTGAATGAAAAGAAGATGTGTCCATTTAATTAAGTTAAAGAGAAAGTATTTGACATGATGAGTAGATTGTTTTGAGGCATCTATTTAAGGAGATGGGTGGAAGTTTAAAACCACTCTGACAAGTCCTACGTTTCTATTCGAAGAAGCGAAGCAGGACTGGTTGATGATGATGATTTTCACTTTGCTCAACAGTGCAGAAAGCGTTTGACAGGGTGAGACAGGCAGAGAGGAGGAAGAGAAAAGCGAGGCAGGAGTAATTTATATCTGCAGAGACCAAGGTGAGCCATGACCTGCTGCGTTAGTCCCTGGAAGCTTTCCACCAATATTCAGCTCGGTATCTAGCTTTAACACAAGTTTCATGACGACTTAACTGTTAACCTCGGAGAAGATCTCAGAAGCAGATTTAGCAAATCTTCCACTTGAGCTTTATTACTTTTTAGCTCTGACCTCAAGGTAATATCCTGAATCTCTGTACCAAATTTCATAAGGATTCATTTAGGCATTTTTGCGCAAAACCTTTTTTTGGGGGGATTTATAGCGCCCCTTACGGCTCAGGGTTTATCAGAATTTGTCCACTAGCTCAAAATTAGCTCCTAACAAATAAGACATTCGTCCTATCAGCCATTATTGTTTAAAATATAGACATACCATATTTTTCGGTTATAAGGCACATTAAACAAAACAAAACCACCACAGGAACACTTCCTGCTTTTTTTTTTTTTTTTTTTTTTTTTTTGTGAGCTGTGTAACCACATAAAATGGGTTCGAGGTCAGTAAGCACAACCAGAATTAATACAGTGCCTTGTGAAAGTATTCGCCCCCCTTGAACTTTTCAACCTTTTGCCACATTTCAGGCTTCAAACATAAAGATATAAAATTTGAATTTTTTGTGAAGAATCAACAACAAGTGGGACACAATCGTGAAGTGGAATGAAATTTATTTGATGTGTCAAACATTTTTAACAAATAAAAAACAGAAAAGGGGGGCGTGCAATATTATTGGGCCCCTTTACTTTCAGTGCAGCAAACTCACTCCAGAAGTTCAGTGAGGATCTATGAATGATCCAATGTTGTCCAAATGACTAATGAAGATAAATAGAATCCACCTGTGTGTAATCAAGTCTCTGTATAAATGCACCTGCTCTGTGATAGTCTCAGGGTTCTGTTCAAAGCGCAGAGAGCATCATGAAGACCAAGGAACACACCAGGCAGGTCCGAGATACTGTTGTGGAGAAGTTTAAAGCCGGATTTGGATACAAAAAGATTTTCCAAGCTTTAAACATCCCAAGGAGCTCTGTGCAAGCAATCATATTGAAATGGAAGGAGTATCAGACCACTGCAAATCTACCAAGACCCGACCGTCCCTCTAAACTTTCATCTGGAACAAGGAGAAGACTGATCAGAGATGCAGCCAAGAGGCCCATGATCACTCTGGATGAACTGCAGAGATCTACAGCTGAGGTGGGAGAGTCTGTCCATAGGACAACAATCAGTCGTACACTGCACAAATCTGGCCTTTATGGAAGAGTGGCGAGAAGAAAGCCATTTCTCAAAGATATCCATAAAAAGTGTTGTTTAAAGTTTGTTACAAGCACCTGGGAGACACCAAACATGTGGAAGAAGGTGCTCTGGTCACATGAAACCAAAATCCAACTGCTTGGCCACAATGCAAAACGATATGTTTGGCGTAAAAGCAACACAGCTCATCACCCTGAACACTATCCTCACTGTCAAACATGGTGGTGGCAGCATCATGGTTTGGGCCTGCTTTTCATCAGCAGGAACAGGGAAGATGGTCAGAATTGATGGGAAGATGGATGGGGCCAAATACAGGACCAGTCTGGAAGAAAACCTGTTTGAGTCTGCAAGAGACCTGAGACTGAGACGGAGATTTATCTTCCAACAAGACAATGATCTAAAACATAAAGCCACATCTACAATGGAATGGTTCACAAATAAACGTATCCAGGTGTTGGAATGGCCAAGTCAAAGTCCAGACCTGAATCCAATCGAGAATCTGTGGAAAGAGCTGAAGACTGCTGTTCACAAACGCTCTCCATCCAACCTCACTGAGCTCGAGCTGTTTTGCAAAGAAGAATTGGCAGAATTTCAGTGTCTCCATGTGCAAAACTGATAGAGACAAACCCCAAGAGACTTCAGCTGGAACTGCAGCAAAAGGCAGCGCTACAAAGTATTAACGCAAGGGGGCCGAATAATATTGCACGCCACACTTTTCAGTTTTTTATTTGTTAAAAAAGTTTGACACGTCCAATAAATTTCATTCCACTTCTCGATTGTGTCCCACTTGTTGTCGATTCTTCATAAAAAAATAAAATTTTACATCTTTATGTTTGAAGCCTGAAATGTGGCAAAAGGTTGAAGAGTTCAAGGAGGCCAAATACTTTCGCAAGGCACTGTACATAAGGCACACTGTTGATTTTTGAGAATATTAAATGATTTTAAGTGTGCCTTATAGTCTGAAAAATATGGCAACTTGTGCATTTTGTAAAATAATGACATATTTTCTGACAACCTGTAGTCAACATGCTATCTAGATTTAATTTGTTGAGTTTCATGGTGATTGACCTTGGAACTTTCAAAAGTTTCAAGAGTATTTCTTTGAGCCTGAAGTCGTAGTTGGCGCCATATCATACCAAAGTTCTTTGGGATTCGTGCTGCAAGATGATTTTTGACTTATGGAAGAAAATAAGAATAAAAAAACATAAAAATTCACAGTGTTCCATGCTCCGCTGTATAACCAGTATAAACTAGATCACATCAGCTTTTCTTTACATTAAGAACGTCTTGATTTATCTTGATCATTTCTGAGTGAAGCTGTCGGGGTTCAGAGGAAGTGTCCTTTGCTTTGACGCCTTGTTTGAACAAATAATCACTTTTTAAAATGTTTTTGTTGCATCACATTATTGCTTGCCACAGCTGTTGTTTTGCATTTTGAGTTTGCAATGGTGCAACTCCAGTATAATTTCTTCCAGTATATGGCGTGTAAAATTCTCTTTTTTTGATATTTGATCAGATAAAGATGTTTATGACTGACCGTACAGTGACACAGTTGTTTTTGTTTTTGCAGGAGGTACAAAATGGTCGTCTCTTCCGCCTGCTCGCCAAGCTGGGCACCATCAACGAGCGTCCAGAGTGAGTCATGCGGCTCCCGTTCAAGGTCGGAGTCTTTTGTGAGGTGGTTTTGTGTTTCTGTTGCCACTCCGCTCTCTTTGTTTTGTCAAAATCAGGTTTCAAAAGGACCCGGCGTGGTCGGAGACGGGCGACCGCTACCTGCTGAAGCTTTTCCGGGATCACCTGTTCCACCAGGTGTCGGAAGCGGGGGCGCCCTGGATCGACCTCAGCCACATTGTTTCCTGCCTCAACAAAGTCAGTCAAGTCTTTGAGAAACCAACAGCATGCAGTAAATGATAGATGTGTGGAAGCTTAACTGGTGTCCTCAGAGATGAAGAATCTTCTCCATGTTGTTTTGAATTTAAACTCAGAAATATGAACTTCTGTAATGACTAACTTAATTTCACGCTTTTTTTTTTTTTTCACCTATTTTGTTCCTCATTGTACCGAGGCCCTTTTAAGTGTTACTTCTTGTACTTGACAAATATGTCACAATCAGACGAATGAACCCTGTGACCGTACAAAAGTTTATACGGTCAAAGACCTCAGCTTTTTGGTGACTATCTCAGAACGTGACCACTTTTTGACAAAAGTGCTTCATTTCCTTACGATTTCTTGCAGTAGCTCATGATTCAATCCGTTGTTTGTTTACTCAGCTGGACGCGGGCGTTCCTGAGAAGATCAGCCTGGTTTCTCGGGACGAGAAAAGCGTCCTGGTTGTTACCTACTCGGACCTGAAGCGCTGCTTCGACAGCACCTTCCAGGAGCTGCAGGCTGCTGCCGCCGGCTCTCTGTAGCGCCCTTCTTGGGCCCAGGGTGGGACTGTCCGCACCTGGAGCACGCAATTGCACTACAGCGGAGGAGCAGGCTCACGTATGACATCAGCACACAGCAAAAAGGCAGCAAGGCAGGGCTTTGTGGACCTCAGTCACATACACTGACCCCTGTCCACCAGGAAGGCTTTTCTAAAGTGTATTTTTCTTTGTTTTTCTAAACCCTGCAGCTGAAAATGCAAAACAAAAAGAAAAAGAGAGAGACAGTTAAAGAAGCTGTGATAAACAACTGTTTTGTTTTTTTTTCTAAATTTGGGGAACAAAAGGAGAGACGACGAGGTTTTGAACTGTTTTCCTTGATTTTATTGTTTATTTCTACAGCTGGGGTTTGTTTTTCTGAGGAGGATGCACTAAGGTTTTAATTTTTCTGTCCAATTTCTTTACTTTTATGAAATTGTGTGAGTGGCCTACAGGGTGCACAGAGAGCTGAAGTCTCACACACACACGTGCGCGCGCAGGCAGAAACGCCAACTTAAAGAAAAGAAAATCCAGCTTTCTGTTGACCAGGTTTCTCTGCCGGTTGGAGATCACACCCTTTTCATTCTTACGCACTCGGAGACGGGACCTGTGGTGCGGTGGGCCGGCGCCTGTTTCACAAATCGGGCCGGCCCACCTCTGCCTCGTTTGTTGGTCCCCTTCGTGAAAGGACAAACCACTGGGGGTGGGTGGAAGGGTTTTTAAAACTGGAAGACAAAAGGATTTTTGACGTTTTGTGCAGGAGATTAAGGCTCATATTTTGTGAGTGGGTAGGCTTGGACTCGGGACCAGGTTCTGTGGAGGGGGGGTGGGGGGGTTCTGTTTGTACTGAGGAACCGTTGTCTTCTCTGTTTCTTATGCAGCGACCACCGTTTGGTTAATGGACACTTGTGACATCAGCTGCTCAAAAGGTTTCAGGTCAGCACTTGTGGAGCCTCAGCTGCCTCTTTGTAATATGTCCTTCATTGCCGCCCCCCCCCCCCCCACCCTCTTTTTCTTTTCCTCTTTTCATCCTGTCATCCCAAACTTCACTTCCTGTCAGAGAAAAAGTGAAACTTTGTGACTTTTTACCAGCTGCTTTTTCTCTTCGCTCAACTTTGTGCAGAAATGCACGACGGGACACGGGAGGGGCCGGTCGAGTTTTTCCGCACTTTTGCTCTTTTAAATATCTGTGGACCAATCCCAACAGTGGTTTTAGGTTAAATAAAGGGGGGGGGGGTATTGTAATTTGTTTTATTTGACTTTTTAAGATCATGAAAAGGACACTCGAGTGGCGCAGGCTCTTGCGTTCACCTCGAATCGCTTGGATTTCTCTCAGGATGACAAGAAGAAGCTGGAGGGTCTCGTGATTGAATGTTTTTGGCTCCGCCCCCCTAACACACACTTTTTTTAGGCAGATTGATGAGCTTCACTGGAGTGGGCAAGACATCTTCAGATGGAGGTTTTAAGAGATCATGTTGCCCTGAAGAACAGATCTTTCTCTTAAGTTGTAAAAAAAAAATCTATTTTTTTATCTAGTCCAAATCTTTTCAACCCATAAGAAATATCAATCATCTGAATGTGAACAAATACAAGGAACTGAACACAAATCAATGCAGAGCCCTAAATTTAGAGCCTTTTGAGTTGTTGGTCTGTTCTTGATGGCAGCAGATGTGCAGGGAGCCGGGTCAGATCATGTTCTACTTCCTGTTTTAGTGAAAGTAAAAGGTCAAATTATGGTGAATGTGCTGCTTTAGAAACTCTCCAACACACAGGCTCACCCCTCCTCATACACAACGTCAGTGAACACACACACAAACACACACACACTCCGGTTAATATTAAGATGACCACCCTCTCCTTCCCCCTACACATCTACAATCACCATCTTTCTATGTTTTATGCCCCTCTTGTGTTCTTGTCTCAGATTTTGCAATATTTGTGTGTACAGCAGTATTTTAATAAAGAATATGAAAAATAATGGCATGTTTGGATTTTGCTTCAGACACGGGGCACGTTGATTATTTCTTAAAAAAGATCAAATGGATTGAAAATCGGGTAAATCTTATTGTGTAGTAAAAACTTCAGAAGTAAATGAGAACAAATATAAAGTGCAGCTGTTTTTGAATTAAAGAAATGTACTTTATTGGAAATCGCTGCAGAGGCTCGGAGAAAATGCAACATGTAAGAAAAATATCTGCAACTATTCTAAAGGGAAAAAATTACCGTATTTTTCGGACTATAAGGCACACCGGATTATAAGACGCATTAAGTGAAACTAAAACATTTTGACAGGTTTTTGAGCACATAAAATCTGTTCGAGGTCAGTAAGCACAACCGGAATTAATACGTACACTGTCGATTTTTGAGAAAATTAAAGGGAGTTTATGCACCTTACTGTCCGGACAAAATACACACAAATGAAACAACCATTCACTCACCTAGGAACAATTTAGTTACCAATCAGCCTAACATGCATTTGGTCTGTGAGAGGAAACCCATGCATGCACGGAGAGAACATGCAAACACCCAGATTGGCCCCCTGGCCGGGATTTAATCCACGACCTCGCTGAGAGGCAGCAGCTCTACCAACTGCACCACCATTTAGCGCCTGCTAACTCGCAATTTAAAACCAGCGTAATGAGCTTTATTGTCATTGTATCAAAATACAGAGATTATGAAAAAAAAATGCTGAGTTGCAAATGTTTTTTATTGTAATTAACATTGTACAAAACATCCTAATAAAAAACTACAAGTAAATAGAAAGCTGGTTATGAATGTTGACATGTTAAGTGATAAAATATTATTTAAGAGGACGTGTGTCTTGTGTATATAAAATTCAAATACTGGCATTAAAACACTTAAGTATGACATGATAAACTGCATTATAAAACCAGGTGGGAGTTACTGATTAATGAAAGCTTAACTTGTAATCTTATAAATAAAACGTGTGGATTACAAAAAGGAAAAAACTTTTGATCCTTGCGTATTAAATATTTTTGAATGTGCTTCAAAAACAAGTTTTTACAAACTAAAACTAGGTAGCAAATAAGCACTAAATTAATGAAACAGTTTAGCTTAAATATTTACAATCAAATAAAACTGCAAAATTTCAACAATGTTCACAAAAAAAAAATCATCTTTCATCTTATAGCTTTGCAGAGACTGCACATTTCATGCATGTGCATCCTTACTCCACTAAAGCTGTAATTTACAACATCCAGGCTTCCAAACTAAAATAAATACAGATATACATTCTGCCTAATGTGAATATAATGGAGATTAAAATGTATTCCAGCATATAGTTGTGTAAGAGGAACAGACGCTTCAGATCCTCCTCACAAAGCTCCGAGCAGGAGGTACCAAGACTTCAAAAGTGAAACGCTGCAGAGAACACTTAGGAGAAGACCGCTCGTCGTCGTGGATTCTAACAGGATACCTGCAGGGATTATACTGAGGTAGAGGAGGCATACAGCGAAGAGTAAAGGCAGAGGACGGTTTGAAAAGTGAACCCGTATGAAGTTTGAACCTGAAGCTAAAGGGACGGGTAGAAGAAGGCAGAGTTGTAGTCGGGAGGAGGAGATCCGCCTTCGTCGCACTCCCAGTCGCACGGCAGCATCGAGGGCTTGTCGTCATGGAGATCGGTGATGTCACTGCGCAAAAAGGGCGCCGGGTTGTCTCGACACTTGGAAAAAATAAAAAATCTAAGAGAAAACACAAATAAGAGGCTTTTCGAATATATTGTCACTTTTTTCTTTCCTGAGGCGCATTATTAAAATCTGGAGTTCACCTGCTGAGTTTTTTGTTCTGGGTGTTATTTCTCATCATTTGGTCCAGCTCCTCGGAGGGAAGAACCATCCCACTGTCGCTCTGCTCGTCCTAAAACGATTCAAGCGTTCATCTTTTATCAGAGCGACGCGGGATTTTTCAAAGGAAAGTCATTTTCGTCTGAAGCTGTTTTTATCGGTGTGTGGGTCTTACATCGGGGCTGCCTCCCTCCTCGCAGGTCAGCTCGTCAAACGTCTGAAGCGTGGCCATACCCCTCATGTAGCTGGACAGAAAGTGTTACACAAAAAATAACAAGCTGAAACTTCTCAGATTTCTCAACCTGTGTTTCATTTTCAGTCACCTCCGCTCTCGCCCACCTCTCGATACTTCCTTGTTTGTGTTTCTTATGTTTCAACGGCACATCTCTTCATTTAAAGATGATTTGTGTCTTACCTCAGGTTTGTGACTGCGAGCGGGTTTTCTTTGAAGGCCTCGCTTTGACTCCCGTCTGCGTTCCTGAACGAGCCCAGAGGAATATAATCCTTCCCCTCCTGTTGGAGAGAAACAAATTGTCGTGTTTGTCCGATCAAGTCACCGAGAGACGTCTCAACCTGAAACGTTTTGATCTCTGACCTGCTGCACCCTCGCCTGTAGCAGGTCTCCCAGTGTCTCCACCAGGTTGGTGAAAGTGGGTCGGTCCGAAGGACTCGCCTCCCAGCATGCCAGCATCGTGCTGTAACTGTACAGACAAAAACCTTACTTTTCAGATTAAAAATCACAATTCATCAGTTTAATGTTTACGTTAAATGCTCAACGAGAGCTTGAACTCTTAGAAATGAAGTCTGGTGCTTGGCGTGTTCATCCAGCTAATGTGATAAAAACGTACTTGTACAAATAAAAGTGTTGGTAAATACATGTATCACTGAGGTCAAACCCAGATGACTGAGGAGCAGCTGAGTCTATTCTGAGATTATAACCATAAATGAGCAGCTGCTTGTATTTAAAAATGTAGCCTGATTGTTCTGTATGTCATTGTTAGGATAAATATTTACCCAGTGGTCCTAACTTAATGTTAATGTGTGTTTGTCAGGCCTGTGTTGTACTAATGGAAATGTCAACCCACATTTCAGGCGTGCTGTACTCTGGCGCTCGCATCCTGGTTCCGTTTTTCAATCGGTGGCAAAACTCCTCGTCGATGTGAAGGCCGGGGTATGGAGAGGCTCCTGTTGGACAAACACACACATCGATGCACGACTGCAGCACGTAACACACAATCTGAACTACATAACTTGCATTTCCTGTGAAAATGCAGCTGAGAAAGCTTATGGCTGAAAAACAGCTGAAATGATCTAAAAACATGCTGAAATGGAAGAACAAGCCTAAGTTAACAGAAGAAAGCAGAAAGAACACATATTTGCTGAATTAGGTTTAAATCAGCAGACATTATCACAAAAATTAGGAAATTAGCTAAAAAAAGATGAATTTAGCAAAAAGTAGTTGAAAAGTAGCTGAAAAGGCAGAAACAAGCTTAAAACTACCAGAAGGAATTGGAAGGAACTGAAATGAGCTAAAAAAAAAAGGTGGAATTAGATGAAAAAGCTAAATTTAACATAAAACAACTAAATAATAGCTGAGAGAGCAGAAAAAGCTGAAACTAGCAGAAAAAAGCTGAAAGAGTGCAAGTTGAAATTAGTAGAAAAATGTTAATTAGGCTGAAAGTAGCAGAAATTAGCACAAAAAGTGGAAATTATCTGAAAAAAGTGGAAATTTACAAAAAAACCCAGCTGAAAAGTAGCTAAAAAGGCAGAAAGAAGCTTAAAATACCAGAAAGAAGTGGAAAGAGAACATTTTTGCTACATTATGCAGAAAAAAGTTGAAAGCAGTGCAAAAATTGTGGCATTATCTAAAAAAGCTAAAATTAGCATAAAACAGCTAAATAGTAGCTGAAATAACTTAAACTAGTATAAATAAGCTGAAAGGAGCATAACAAGCTGACATTAGCAGAAAGAATCTGAAAACAGCTCAAAACAGCTGAAAAAAACAGCTGAAATTAACTGAAAATAGCTTTTAAAAAGTTTAAATTTAAACAAGGAAGCTGAAAGAAGCTGAACCAGAACAAAATGTGAAAGGAGCAGTAAAAGGCTGTAAACAGATCTAAAGATTTGAAGGATGTAAAATAAGCTCAATTTATTTTCTATGAGGAAAAAGGTGGCTGAAAAGGCTAAATATTTCAAAAAGCTAAAGTTGCACCAATACCAAAAGCCATAGCTGGATTGTCCTGAAAGAGCTGAACGTTTGGATTTATGATGTAATAGCGCAAGAATTGTTGAATGAGAAAGATGCTGAAAAATGCATGGAAGAAAAATGGATGACAATAGTGTGAATGCTTCATGAACATTCACACGATAGAAAATCTTCGCATGAGCTCAGCTCACCCAAAGAAAAGATCTCCCACAGCAGGATGCCGTAGGACCAAACGTCACTCTGGGTGGTGAACACCTTGTCAAAGATGGACTCGGGAGACATCCACTTCAGAGGGAGACGGGCCTGTGAGCCAATCAGAACCACAGGATTTTGCAGGATTAATACAAAAAACCCAATGTGCAAAAACATGAGTGAGTAAAGTTGTCCATATGAGGCCAAAAGTAAGATAATAACCTTTTTTCTGTGAGAATATAAAAAGAACAAGTCTGAGTTCTCTCTTTAATTGCTATAATTAGGAACATTTCACTTTTTGAAACAGAAAGACAAGACGCTCAAGTGTGTTAACTTCCTCCAGAAAGCTCGTGTGCACTCACGTCTCCTTTGCGGACGTAGTCTGGGTCTTTGTAGATGTCTCTGGCCAGGCCGAAGTCGCAGATCTTCACCACCTTGTTGTCAGTCAGTAAAATGTTCCTTGCAGCCAGATCTCTGTGAATACACTGATGGAGGTGCACAGAAAATGCAAACAATCACATTGATGAAACACTTCCTGGATGCAGGAGGCAGCAACAAACCTTGCGAGATGCCAGGAACTCCATCCCACGTGCCACTTGAAAGCTGAAGGAAATCAGATCCTCCAGGAACAGTGGGGATTTGGTAGAACATTTAGGATCTGGACAAATAAAACCGCAGGGAAAAATTAGTTACTAAATAAAAAATAGGTAAAAAGGAAAAACGTCCCAAAAACTGAATTTTTTACCAAGGTCAAGGTCTTTTTCATTAAGCCCTGTTTTGATGCTGCTGACACAACTCGGCCCTTCGTTTGTTCCTCCTTCTGCCTGATTTGAGGATAAAACAATTATTTTATATCAGAGAGAAAGAGTTGAATTTGCTTTGGTTAGAATCTAATGTTAAATCAATCAGTCAATTCAACTTTATTGTCCATAACATTCAATGACATGGAGATTTGACTTTGACATCTGGCTTATAAAAACAACACAAGATAAAAATGTGATTTAAAAAAAACTTTAAAAACTTTAAAACCAAGCATCCTCACTGGTGATTTTTGTCACAAAGGCTCTTTGTTCTGTGAAAATAGCAAAAGTTGTTTTTACGTTTGTACAAACCCCGTGAAACAATTAAGGAAGTTGAAGTCCTGCTCTGTAACTGATAACGTTCTCAGACCTCAAACTGATTGCAAAAGCAAGTTTCTGCGTTGCAACTGCACATGAAACAGGGGTGTTTATAATGTCTTCCAATCACAAAAGGAGCTGTAGTTTAGTCCACGCTGACATAAACACAGTGTGACACAGTTTTCATCATGACCGAGGACAATGCTGAGCTTACCCGTTTATGTGAATAAACATCTCTTTTATTCTTTAAGAAAGTTGAAAGGTTTCCAAAGCAACAGTACTCAACAATGATCATCAGTGGTCCTGTACACAAACCCAAGAGGGAGAAGTTTGAAGGCACAGCATGTCGTTTTACATATAGGTGGACAAATGTTAAGAAAAACACACCTCCTGGCTTGGTGCAGGCTCCCAGGAGGTTGACCACATTCAGATGGTTCCCAATGTGGTTGAGGATTTTCAGTTCGGTCATCAGAGCCTTGTGTTCGCTGGCTGTGGCTCCCTCTGGTGGACAAAACAAAGTCAAACAAGTGGCAGGACTGTGGTTCAATTAGCAAACAAAGACGCCATTTTTCTTATTGACTATAACTCGGTCACTGAGAAATTGAGCTGAATCTGGTATGGTCGTAGCTGAGAATGAGTTGTTATACATTCCTAACGAAAATAAAAAATCCAAGATGGCCACCTTAGGTAAAAGGGGAAAAACATGATAACTCTGCTATTTTAAAAGATATTGAGCTGGAATTTGGTGTGGTGGTAGCTGAGAGCAGTGCCCAATAAATACTGAATTCAAATAAAAAAATCCAAGATGGCCACCATAACTTAAAAAAACATATATATTTTTTTTTTGCTGTGTTGAGCTGAAATTTAGTGTGGTGGTAGCTGAGAGCAAACCCCAACACAAAGTAGTCAAATCAAAAATGTTTAAATGGCTGCAACGTGGCAGTCTCGTCAAAGTTTCTGCAGGAACTTTATAGTTATATTTTGTTTTTGCAATAGGACATGATGTATTTAGTACCTTTGAGCATCTTCACAGCTACAGTCCTGCAGCTGGAGCAGTTGCTGATCCCAAACGCAGCCGCCTGCATCACTTTACCGAAAGCTCCACGACCGAGAAGCTTCCCTGTGAGGGCGGGAACGAGAGGGAAACACGAGGTGTGCCAATTAATTATTATTCACATCCATTCCAGAAGGGAGAAGCTGATAGCACAAGACTTTCAGACCACATCACTTGTCCATCTAAGAAAATCCCACCCTGATGATAATGGGAGTTGATTACTTCCAGTAAACACGATTTAAATCCACCCACCGTGCTGGAGCTGATTAGCTCAGAGCAGACAACACAGACACAAAGTCTGATTAATGGAATGAGAGTCACTCCCAATAATAACCAGATAAGACCTATGAGAAAATCCTTCTATCAGTGATGTGATCTTGAATACCTTCCTCCTCCGTGCCCTACCACAGAAATTTTGACTCTGCTCACAAAAGAGAACTGTGAAACACATCAAAATTAATTATTTTTTGTCAATTAAAAGAACTGTACCTAATTTCAGGCGCTCCCTGGGGAACTCCCACTGGTTGGGGTCATACTGCAGCCGCTCACACTGCTCCTCTATCGGCCCGTCTCCTGCGTCCAGTATGATTGACAGGTATTCTGGTTTGGAGTTTGAAACGTTGGACTTTTGGGCAAAAAAAAAAAAAAAAGAGAAATGTATTTTATTGCAAAAACTTATTTTGCTGCGGAAAATACTCAAGATGAGCGCAAAACTCATCAAAATCAAATTTGGAATCAAGGGAGGAGGCTGCTGCAAAAACTTTTGTTTTGTAATATGGTCACGATGAAATGGTGAGAAAATGTTTCCATGTTTGGCCCTCCTGGTCAAAATGACCCACGAGTCCTCAGTCTTAACCTGCAGCATTGTGGGTCGTTTTGACCTAAGGGCAGCAGGAGGGTGAAGCGAAAAGAACCTATTCCAGATTATGGTTTGTTTATTTATTTATGTTTATTAGTTTTTTTTAAATGACACAAATGTATGGATTCTCAGCCCAGGTGATCCTTGGATTTTTTTTTTTTTTTAGGGAGATTGGACTTCTTTTCTGAAAAGTTCAGATTAAAAAGCTTATAAACTGTTGTGAATTCTGAGTTATTTTGAATAATTTTCATGTAATTAAAGGCCCAGCTGGACAGGCGTTACAAATGAACTTATGATATAAATGTTACGCTACGGCTCAACTTATAACTATATAAATAAACCAAATTATATATACAGTAGTCCCTCATTTATTGCGGGGGATCCATACCCTGAAGACCCACAATAAGTGAAAAACCGCGAAGTAGGAATAGTAGTACAAGTAGTAGTTTATATATATATATATATATATATATATATATATATATATATATATATAAAGGCGTTTTAAACTCTTCCCACACTCTTGATTTTTTCTAAACAATGTTTCTAAACTCGACACACTCAAAGAGCACAGCATGTCATGATTTCAGCTCCCTGCCTCCTCTGCTCTTTGCCACCTGCAAGCTTTCTTGGCCACGCCCACTTTTCTGCTCTGCAGTGCATTGTGAACAGCTGATCAGCTGCAGCAGGAAGTTTATCCAGCAGTAAGGGCTGCACAAAGGTGCAGCAGGTGCTAAATAATTTTAAATAATTTCATCCATCCATCCATTATCTTTACCCGTTTATTCCATTTTGGGTCACGGGGGTCGCTGGTGCCCATGTCCAGCAATCACTGTGCGAGGGGCGGGGTACACCCTGGACGGGTCGCAAGTCCATCACAGGGCCACATAGAGACAAACGAGACAAACAACCATTCACTCTCTCACTCACACCTAGGGACAATTTAAAGTTACCAATCAGCCTAACATGCATGTTTTTGGTCTGTGGGAGGAAACCGGAGTACCCGGAGAAAACCCACGCATGCACGGAGAGAACATGCAAACTCCACCCAGAAAGGCCCCTGGACCGGGGTTTGAACCATGGACCTGTTCGCTGAGAGGCAGCAGTTCTACCAGTTGCGCCACCGTGCTGCCCCTTTGGTTGCTAATTAAATATTTTTTGTTGGACACACTACTTCTTCATTTTGGCTTAGACTTAGGTAAATAACACAATGAATGCAAACTATCCTGCATTCTTGTCCATTTTACGTCATACGTCATACCGCTTTGAAGACTTGGTAGGGCTCAAATGTTTTTAATATGGTGTGACACATAAACCCATAAATGTATTCACAAAAACAATTAGATACAGCATTTCAGAAAGCAGCAAAATGAAAAAAGAGGAGGTGAGAACTTAATGGAAACACATCTACATAGGGATGCACGATATTGGATTTTTGGTCGATATGCTGATACGTTAAAATTTATCTGGCCAATAACCGATACCAATACCAATATTTTTCCCTTAGACCTACTTACAGAGACTACATAGACTATTTTCTCTGCCATGGAATTAAAATACATAATCAGAGTCAGAGATTCTTTATTGTCATTCGCACCTCATGTGGTACATGTGATGGAGCAAAATTATGTACACAGGGTCCCAGTTACATCCAACAATAAAACAATAATTTTTCTGCATAGTCTTTCTCAGTTTGGCCTGCTACCAAATGCAGATGCCAAAATGATGTAACACCAACTTGGATTATGTTTAATGTCAAATTTATTTGACATTTACTCTCTCTAATACAATGACAACACTCGAACAGTGCAAATTTGTACATTTTCACAAATCTAAACTCAACCTGTTCACAAGCGACAAGTGAAAAGCACATAAGTAGTGGTGCATTAATAGATATACTTGACAATTTCTTAAATGAACAATTAACTTAAAACAGAAGCGCTTTATATTGGTGAGCTTTTTTGATGGAATGGCCGATGTCCGATATTTAACTTTATCGCTAATATCGGCCGATACCGATACGATGTTGATATCGTGCATCTCTACATCTACAAATAAAAACGATAGAAATAAAAACTCTTCTCTTGTCTGCTCACCTGCTTCAGTTTACGAATGAACAGAGTGAGTAAGAGCCAGAAGAGAGTGGCCACCACACAGGTACAGGTTATAGTGGGAATTTCCAAAAACGAAGCTTCAGACACACCTGGAAGTGGAAACACACACACAGATGTGTTGTATCTAATCAGTGAACTTTAGATCAATTGTAAAGATTAATTATATTTCTGATGTTCCTGTCACAACAGATTAATGAGGGAATCTGTCAAAACTCCACTGTCTAATCTACCCATTAACTCCCTTAGTGTGTTATTTATTTTTAATGGGATGATGAAGAAATGCCCAGCTCACTGTCTGCTTCTTGGAGCCTCTCTGAGAAGCAGGCCGGGCCCTTCCGGAGGAAATAAAAACGGGAGACGGCTTCCTTCCTGACCCATCAGAACACAACTCAAACACTACTTCCAAACCTGGATTGGGAAGCGAGTCCGCCATTACGGCTTCCAGGGAGCTCCTCCTCCCTCCTTTACCTCCGGATGTGTGTGTGTGAGTGTGAATGAGAAAAAAACAAACAAAAGACTGAGAGCGTTTGTGTTAAGACCATCTTTGATCAATGTTTACTCAGAAATTGACGTTCATCATCTTCCATTAATAGCACTGACACACCACTGTGTAAGAATACTACATGAAAACAATGTGATATACTGTACTACGTGTGTACTACATGTGTGTACATCAGGTTAAAGAGCTTAGGAACAATGCACAATGAGAAATGGTCATATACCTTCAGGCTTCAGCAGACGTGCTGCAGGAACACATGCTGTACTTACTGTTGACCCATATGTAGGCAGAGCTCTCTGCAGACCCCCTCTCATTGATGGCCAGACAAGTATACAGACCCCGGTCCTCCACTGTGATTCTGTCAATATGGAGGCTCCCATCTCCTGCTGATATGACGATACCTGACGATTGAAGGGATAAACACCTTTAGATACCAGATTACAGCAGCTGAAGCATTTAGAGTTTGTTTTTACCTGATCCCTGGCGTAGGGGGCGCTCATCTTTATACCACTTGATGGTTGGAGGCGGGACCCCTTGAGAGGGACAGCTCAGGGTCACCGAGCTGCTGGCGTTGACAGTGCAGTCTGTCAGGTTACTAAGCAGCACAGGAGGCTCAAGAACTGAAAGGACGAATGCAGAGCAGTGATTAAACGTTAGTGTGTGGAATTTTGGCAGCTAATCAGACGTGCAAGAAACTCTCAGAATGCAGGCAGGACTTGGCTCAGCACCAATTAATGTACAACAAAAACATGATTCATCAGCCCAGACAACATTCTTCTCCTGCTGCACAATCTTCCTCTGACAGTCGGCTGACAGAGCCGACATATCGCTGCTTCTAACGCATCAGCTTTAATAAGTAAATGGTTTTGACCTAAAATATCTCACTTTTTAAGGAAACTAATCATCCTGGCATCAACTCTCAGTGGTTTTAATGTTATGGCTGACTGACCAACAGACCTGGAAGCTTTCATTTAAAAAAAATCCAAGCACTTTTATTGATTTTTTTTTTTTTGTTCAACACACACACACACACAAAAAAAAACGACAACAAAATCCCTTCCCATACCAGACCAGCTACACAGACATGTGACAACATCAGACAACTCCTGCCGTTTTTCCCAGAGCTGCTGGAAGAGCTGTCTGTCTCCTGGCACAGAAACCCCTTTAAGGAGAAGCACCCAATGGCGAGAAGTTTGGTGCTGGACTGTGTGGCACGGCACAAATGCCTCCAGCTGAGCCGGCAAATGTGGCGCACTTGCACCCGAAGTCCTCCACGTCGGCGGGCAGCACCGCTCTCCCCTCCAGAGTGGATCCTTTTCAGTCAGGCCTGACAGAAAAATCATGTGAAGCGGCTGCGCTGTCAGTCCGTGCTCTGAACGCCTCCTCCATGCTCATGACTTACCAAGCAGAGCTGGAGGAGCAGCTGACCACCTCATCAGATGCTGCATTATTGGGATGAAGTGTGCATCATTACAGATCACTGTCTCCAGCTGCACAAAGTGGTGATTCAGGCTTTGGGCAGAACCATGTGACTGATGGTTCTGCAGGAGAGGGTCAGGAGGCTGAATCTCACCACTCTTTCCAAAAAAGAGAAGGAGGACCTCCTCAACACTCAGTCTCACTTGGCCAATTTCTACTCTGAAAGCCGTAATGCTATTAGCGACCTCCTCTCTCACCGCTTGAAGCTCACCCTTAATAAAGGCGAGATCTTCTGCCAGGGCAACCTTCATCTCCAATCGAATTATCACCAAAACGTCTGTTTTTTATTGAAGCCAGAATGTCCGACTTCAGGGCAGCATCGTGAGAGCGGAGCTGATTCTGGAAGCACCGTGGGTCTAGGAGATGTCCGGCCCAGCGGTCGTAGAACCCGTAGCTTTAAATTTCTTAACTTTTGATGTCATTTTGCAGTTCTGCCCAGTCAGTAATATGACAACGTCGACTCCTGGAGCATCCAACACAGACGCGACAAGATTATCCTCACGAAAGGCTCCCCCCCCCCCCCCCCCATTAATGACGGGAGCCCAGTAAAAACGCAACCTAAAGCATCGCCGCCATCTTGTCCCCCTCCATTTGCAATGCTCTTTATTGTTAGCTGCAGAAAAATGTTTGCTGAAAATAAAGTGTGTTCGTTTTGACACAAGTTGTTCAGCCAGGGCAGTGAACAACCAGCTAACAAGCACGCAGCATTGTTTTAACACAACAGCAGTGGATGAAGGCCAAAAAATAATTCTCATATAGTCATACAAAAGGCAGCTCAAACTTGTTTAATTACTTTTCTTTCATTTGTCTTGCTCTGCTGAAACGTGACAAGGTGCAGCACCTGATTGTCGATAAAACAATAGTGGAGGAAAATTAGAACAGAGATCCTGTTAAATAACCTTCCTTTGAATGCAAACGTTCTGCAGCCATTCTTGAAATGGAAACCGATGAGTATCTTAAAGGATTGTTTTGTTTACTTTATTAAAATACCGCAACTGATTTAGTGAAATAGTATTTTAACTGTTGTGAGTCTTAAATTAACAAAAACAACTTGAAACAGAGTTTGTTTTACGTTGTAGGATTTGTTTTGCCTACAGAAAATGATCTTTAAAATGTGTTTGTCACAAAAAAAAGTACAAGTTATTAATAGAATAAAAGCGAATAGTGTTGAAATAAAACTTGAGCTATTTTCTTCCCACACTTCCTGGAACTGAGCCACTTTTGCATAATTGGTGACATAGTGGTAACAAAGTGCACTTGTTTTCAACCCGTGACTCAGCTCTAGTTTTGAGTCCTTTCTGTGAATTTCCTCACCGACAAATCCACCGTGACTAAAACTCCTTTCCATAGAGCAACAATTATGTGATTTAATCATCAGGATATTTTAGGGCATCTCAGATTCACAATGAGTTGCAGGCCGATCCTCTTAAAGGTGTACTATAACTGGACAAGATGACTGCATGCACCTAAATAGTTTTGTTTATCCCCATAAACCTATATATTTCTCCCCTTTTCCCCCATTCACCCCCACCGACCACATTCTCTCTCTAGCAATTCCCTTGTGGGGGTCCAAAGGGAGGAAGTTGACGTGTTGAGCCGTGATTGTGTGGAGAACAGCAGTAAAAGACATGAAGAAAAAGTCACTTAACCCCCACGACTGATTGTTGTTTCCCCTATTTTCCTCCTGGACAACAATTGATGATTGTCAGCGGGGGCCGGGGGTCCTGACAGTGTCTGATTGGCTGATTGTTCCTCCGTCTCTGTGCAGGGGTCTGTAAATGTGGCATTGTGGGAAGTGCCATTGTGTGCTCTTCCTCCATACGGGAGCTCATTCCCACGTGAAAGAGGTGCTTTGCACAAGAGCAAAGCTCAAAAAGTCAGGTGGGGCCCCAGGAAGTCGAGGGGGAACCCGAGTCCCAAGCAGCAAGATCACAAAGAATGAGCTCACATGCGCAATTAAAGTCATTAAAGTATAAAAAATTATTTGGAAGTACACTTGACTAAAATAAACAATTTGCGTAAAAGCTGAGATCTGCATGGCGGAAAATACCTTTACAATTCTACTAGTTAAAAACTAAAGGGCGGGTTTTAAAATGGTAGAAAATTACTTGTACCAGAATTTATTTTCCACTGTGAATGAGAAAAAGGAGACTTACAGTACTTAAAAGAGTATAAAGTACTCACTTGTGACCACCACCTGCGTGTCCAGGTGTGCTTCCTGCCCGGTGATGACGTGGCGCGCTGAGCATCTGTACACTACAGAGTCTCTGGAAGTCAGGTTGCTTAGCAACAAGATCAGAGAGGTGGAAAACTCCCCCACGGGGGGCTGATAAATATTTAAGCCAGTGATAAGGGATTCCTCTGTGATGTTTACTCCTCGCCACGACAGCTCTGTATACAAGTATTTATTTGCCGAACAGGTGATATGGAGGTCTCCGCCCTCTCTGGCCTCCTCCAGCTGGTTTACACTAAAGCCTCCAGGAACATCTGAACAGAAAGAAGGTGAAGAAATAAATCAAAAGAAGTATAGCAGGAGAGGAAGTAACGCACAACGCTTCACCCATCTCCTGTTTGACACAAATCAGCCTTCTCAGTGTCTCGACTTGAAGCCTGAAACCAGGAGAGTGGATTCCACCAATCCTCCACTTTCCAAACCTTTGATGACAAAGTTGAAGGGCTATTGTGGGCAAAAACAGCTAGTGGAATACAGTGAAGACTTTTTATTTACTTTAGCCATTTGAAACTTCCCGTGGAAACGGCTTGAGAGTTTCCTGATGGCAGATAGTGTTTATCTTTACCGAACACCCCAAGGCCTCCAAAAATAAAGCGGACCTGCCAGACCAAGGAAGTGCGCTGCTTGGGGAAGTGGAACGATAAGGGCTTTAGGTTCCTGTTTCGCTCTAGTTCACATACAACCAGACACACAGACTTATTCACATTCCTTTACACATTCACAAAAAAAATTAGTTTGACCTGCATTACTTGTGACCCAAATCTGGATTAAAATTACAAGGAAAAAAACGACACTATATTCAGCGTGTTTCCACTTCAGTTAACATCTCTGCACTTTAAAATATCCTGTAGTTGACGTACTGGGAGTTCTTCCTTCCTTCATTTGTGGTCAGTTTCACTTCTGTTATTGGGCTTTGTGCTGTGCTACAAGAAGAACTGAGTTTTTTTGTAAATTTTAAAAGCAAAATTTGGTCAAAATCCAAATCATAAAGCATCATTACTATGTTCTCATGGTGCATTCAAGTTCTGCTTCAGTTTTAAACTTAGTTTGAGCTCTGCTTCTTAGGTCATTAAGGTCATTTTTTACAGCACAGAAGTGACCTTGGTGCAACTAAAATATGTTTTTTTTTCCAGTGACCACAAAATATTTAAATCCCCTAATCCTGCTGAAATATTGGAAATAAATATTTAAATATCAAAGAATAGCATGGCAGCAATATACTCTCAAAATAACCTCTTTTACAATAATTTACTACTAGTGGGAAAGAAAACACATGATGACTCTATTGTCTGAGATTACCTGTGACGTAGAAGGGGATGTCTAGTTGATCTGTGTCTAAAGAGTTGGAGGCGATGCAACGATAAACTCCAGACACTAAAGCCTCTGCAACAGTCAGAACCCCCACAGTCTGCAGACAGCAAAAACATCCTCATGAGCAAGGCATGACATTTTCCATGGCCGTAATAAACACACAATAGAGGTTTCTGAGCTGGAAATCCTGCCTGATTACAACCATCCTACAGCATTCAAGCTGCCTTAGTGTAGTTTTGTTTATTGGATTCTGTTTGCAAAGGTGGAAGATAAAAGTTGTAAACTATTTAAACAAATGTGCTTTCACCGTGTTGGACAAATTTTGCGTCTTCTGCATGTGTTTTACCTACCTTCTTCTTCCCCTGAAGCACTTCCTGTGCGTGTGTAACACTCAGGATGGGGTTGTATGCAGATGAAGCCGAGAGACTCTCGTTCACGGGGCTCCACAGGGAGGAGGATGTCGGACATACACACCTTTGAAGGGAAAATAGGACCAGGAGAGGGACAGATCTCAGCTGTGTTGATAGATATGATTCCAGGTGTGTGAGTGGGTGTATTTTCCTCAGCTGTGCTCAGCAGGGGATGACCTCAATCCCAGGAAATGTCTTGATCGTAGGTGTTTAATGTGACTCACTGAAACATTTTTATAAACAGCACCATGTCCTCCTTCCATGTTCTTCAAGCTGAAGTTGGACATTGGGACTAAGGAGGATGCAGGGGTAGTATTGTCATCCTGTCTTTTAGCTTCCTTCTATTCTTAAGACATTATCCCACATTTCCAGGACAAAAGTTCCTGTACCTCAATGACTACAAGTCTAAATCCATAGATTGCGCACCAGAGAAGCTGTGGGAACTGGAGCTTACGCAAAATACTTTGGGGTCATTACGTAAATCCCCCCATGATTAAAAAAAAAAAAGAAAAAAGTGAAGTCATGCAAGAAAAAGAGAAAGAGCTGAACCCCACCCCCCAAAAAAATTAAATAAATGGCTGGATAACTGAATTTAATATCTGAGGAGAAATTAATCCATGGTAAATATAGAAAATGTTGATAATTTTAAAATAGTGCAGCTGGTTAAAAAAAGTGTTCACCTGCATGTTTTATACAAACCGGATTCCAAAAAAGTTGGGACACTAAACAGATTGTGAATAAAAACTGAATGCAATGATGTGGAGGTGCCAACATCTAATATTTTATTCAGAATAGAACACAAATCACAGATCAAAAGTTTAAACTGAGAGAATGTATCATTTTAAGAGAAAAATCTGTTTCCAAATTTCATGGCGTCAACAAATCCCAAAAAAGTTGGGACAAGTCCATTTTTACCACTGTGTGGCATCCCCCCTTCTTCTTACAACACTCAACAGATGTCTGGGGACAGAGGAGACCAGTTTCTCAAGTTTAGAAATAGGAATGCTCTCCCATTCATGTCTAATACAGGCCTCTAACTGTTCAATCGTCTTGGGCCTGCTTTGTCGCACCTTCCTCTTTATGATGCGCCAAATGTTCTCTATAGGTGAAAGATCTGGACTGCAGGCTGGCCATTTCAGTACCCGGATCCTTCTCCTACGTAGCCATGATGTTGTGATTGCTGCAGAATGTGGTCTGGCATCATCGTGTTGAAAGATGCAGGGTCTTCCCTGAAAGAGATGACGTCTAGATGGGAGCATATGTTGTTCTAGAACCTGAACATAGTTCTCTGCATTAATGGTGTCTTTCCAGATATGCAAGCTGCCCATGCCACAAGCGCTCATGCAACCCCATACCATCAGTGATGCAGGCTTCTGAACGAAGCGTTGATAACAACTTGGGCTATCCTTGTCCTCTCTGGTCCGGATGACATGGCGTCCCATCCATCCATCCATTTTCTTTACCCGCTTATTCCATTTTGGGTCACGGGGGTCGCTGGTGCCCATGTCCAGCAATCACTGTGCGAGGGGCGGGGTACATCCTGGATGGGTCGCAAGTCCATCACAGGGCCACAGAGACAAACGAGACAAACAACCATTCACTCTCTCACTCACACCTAGGGACAATTTAGAGTTACCAATCAGGCTAACATGCATGTTTTTTGGTCTGTGGGAGGAAACCGGAGTACCCGGAGAAAACCCACGCATGCACGGAGAGAACATGCAAACTCCACCCAGAAAGGCCCCTGGACCGGGGTTTGAACCAAGGACCTGCTTGCTGAGAGGCAGCAGCTCTACCAGTTGCGCCACCGTGCTGCCCACATGCCGTCCCAGTGTTCCATAAAGAACTTCAAATTGTGACTCATCTGACCACAGAACAGTCTTCCATTTTGCCACACTCCATTTTAAATGACCTCTGGCCCAGTGCAAACGTCTGAGCTTGTGGAGCTTGCTTAGAAATGGCTTCCTATTTGCACTGTAGAGTTTCAGCTGGCAACGGCGGATGGCACGGTGGATTGTGTTCACTGACAATGCTTTCTGGAAGTATTCCTGAGCCCATTCTGTTATTTCCTTGACAGTGGCATTCCTGTTTGAGGTGCAGTGACGTTTAAGGGCCCGGAGATCACGAACATCCAGTAGAGTTTTACGGCCTTGACCCTTACGCACAGCGATTGTTCCAGATTCTCTGAATCTTTTGATGATGTTATGCACGGTTGATGATGATAACTTAAAAGTCTTTGCTATTTTACACTGGGTAACACCAATCTGGTATTGCTGCACTATCTTTCTGCGCAACAATGGTGGAATTGGTGATCCTCTTACCATCTTGGCTTCTGAGAGACACTGACACTCTGAGAAGCTCTTTTTATACCCAATAATGTTGTCAATTGACCTAATTAGTGTTAATTGGTCTTCCAGCTGTTCGTTATATGCTCAATTTCCTTTTTCCAACCACTTATTGCTACTTGTCCCAACTTTTTTGGGATTTGTTGACACTGTGAAATTTATAATCAACATATTTTTCCTTTAAATTGTTACATTTACTCAGATTAAACTTTTGATCTGTCATCTATGTTATATTACGAATAAAATATTTTTGTTTAGTGTCCCAACTTTTTTGGAATCCGGTTTGTACATTTCAGCATGTTTTTGCTAATTTCAGCTGTTTTTCAGCAAGTTCTTCTGCAGTTAGGGACAGATGTCTGCAATTAATTATTCACATTGCATTTTCGCAGGAAATGCAATTTCTCAAGTTTTGTATGATTTTTCTCTCACAGCTTTCTATAAACTATAACTGTCCTACTCACTTATCTGCTTTGACAAAGCTTTTTTTTGTTATTTTAAGTTTAAATGAAAGCTGCACACAATAATTAGGATTCAGCAACTAATGTTCAAAAATACATCAAGATTAAAATTATTATATTAGTATGGGTACAGTTATACAATATTATTACTCAAAATTTTCTGGATTTTTGTTGAAATATTGAACAAAAGCAGTTTTTTTTTCATGGTTACTGTTTCAGTTTAATAAAAATATCTTCTGCCTGACTCCAGTTTTGCAAGACCTTATTTAATTCAGCAATACTTTATTTTTTCAATAGTAAAATTCTCTCCTACTACATTAAGCTAATTAATTGGCTAGCTGCTAACGCTAAAGTTTAAATTTTGGAAAAAATATGTCCTTTCACTAGCTAAATTTAAAAATATATTTTTAATTATTTAAAACGAGTATTCACAATAGACTTACCTTAACGCGTTTTTTTCCCACAAGATTAATTTTTTTATTTAAACGTCGTATTTTTCTTTCAGATTTACTGAATTTCAAACAGACTATGCTAAGACGCTACTAGCTAAAATGGAATAAACCAAATGAACTCAACGGAGAGGGGGGCTGAATTGTAAACTTTAGACTTAAATCGATAAGAAACGAGAACAAACATGTCTGTCTTGGAAATCTTAAGTGAAAATGTTATTTAAAATGCTTATTATGACTTTAAATTTAATTAATCTTTTTTTTTTCAATTTGAAGTGTGTCAGACTGGATGCGCCCCCCTTAAAAACAACGTGTTTAGTGCCAGTATTAAAATGTCCTAGTGACATTGAATGCAACAGCTTTCATGTTTTGTTTTTTTTTAAGTTATTTTATATTTTCTTTTTTTTTTACATGTAAAAAAAAAAAAAGTTTTGGTATCTTGCTTGGGAACTGTCACTGCTGAACCAGTACAGCCAAATAATAGATATAATAATTTCGAGGATCCTACAAAAAGGAAAAATAAACAAAATGCACCTTCATTATTTTGACATCCTCAGTGTAAAGTATAATTTCCACTTTGCTCACTGATCCTCTGCCTGTTTAGGGATGTGTCACCGGCCCTTGTTGCTCCCTGCCTCATCGTCAATCTTTTCTGGCTGTCCTGGCCCCCTCCCTGTTTGGCTCCTTTCAGCTCCCTGATTGCTCTTCCTCTTGGCATCGAAAAAGTGCGTGTGACTAAGAAAATGACCCACCCTGTGCACGACACCGCAGGCCTAACACAGACACACACACAAACATGGTCAGCAAATATGCACCCACCTCAGATTAACCGACACTCCCACGCTTCACAGGAAAAATCATTCTCACTCAAAGCTGCTTTCAGACCAACAGATAAAATTAGTGGGATGGATGTGAGGACATGGATGCTGTTAGAAACAGAAAATGATGCATGCATACGTCCATATTCACACAGTGTGTGCCTGCCAACAGGGTGAGCAGCCTGAAAATATGAATGGACCGCTCTAAGATGTGTATCAGTGGTCATCTCCTGTCCTGTCCTGTCCTTCTGCCCGAAATACACGTTTACCTCTGTCCCTGGAAGTTCCCGTCCCCGGCCCAAAAATAATCACTGGACTGTACGAACCAGTACACAAACGTAAGCAAACTTTAATGCAACACAAACAAATGATATAACACTTCATTACATTTGAACAGATCCATACACAGTTGGCAAATATAGACATTCCCCATATGTAAGTTAGTGGTATAAAATTATTAAATATTAGATTCATATATTAATCATTAAACATCTGTATACAGAGAAAGAGTCACATTGGCAGGCACCCGTAAAATGGGATACGTGCATACACACATTTTTAAACAACTACACACTCTGACCAGTTTACTCATATAACGCCCCCACCCCCCCTCCAAAAACCCCCACAAATGACACTTATTCTTTTAAAATGGCTTATAATATCAGGCATACATTTAGATATTAATTAACTTTCAATACAAATATACCAGGGCTGTTATACTGACATCATTTGACACATGAAGAAGACATTTTATTTGGGACAGTGGAAAACACAGGATAGTCTCTGGTCTGTGCAGACCTCCTACATGGTAGGCTTCTGCCAACCTTTGGTCCTTTTAATAGAGAGCTGAAGGCATCCCTTAGAGCAACACAAAGCTTGTCCTCTCTTGTTTCACCCATCCATCCAAGGTGAGCGTGTTTATCCTTCAAACCTGCGGCTACAAACTGAGACAGAAACTCACAGCTTTTCGTGGATGCCTGAATCAGGTCGGGGTTTGTGACAGGTGCGGTTCATGCACCCATTATACGTAGTACCACTCTAGGACACAATAAAAACATAAAATAAAAAGGAAAGCAGCTCCAGAAATGCAGTCAGTAGACAGATGGAAGTACATTTGTTCTGGGTCATAGTGTCTGTGAAATGCAACAAGCACAATACTACAAGGCAGCCTGGTGTGGGGGGGGGTAGGTCATGAACTGGGCAGAAATAAATAAATAATCAGTAAAACTGGCGTCCATTGGTTCTTAGCATTATGATTTATTTAACTCCTGTGCCTCCTGGTCTTCACTGCTCAGCAGTGCTTGTGTCTCTTTCCTCAGTTTACAGTTTAGCAGGCACAGGATCATCACTGAGGGTTTTGGCTGGGGGGGGGGGGGGGGGGGGGGAGAGCGGAGGGGCGTGGGAGGGGGGGCGGGGGCGGGGGGGGGGGGGGGGGGGGGGGGGGGGGGTGCTCATCATGAGTTGGGAGAAGGAGGTAAACTCCAGGGTGGAAGACCATGGGGAGTTGCTCCTCTGGAGAGATGGAGGTTGCTGGGTCAGAAGAGGGCAGAGCTGGTGAAGGAAAATGTTGGAGAGGTATGTGATGGTGGGAGGCAGCAAGGTTGCAGGGGGGTGGGGGGGAGGGGGGGGGGGGGTGCACTCAAGAATAGATCAAGCTCTTGAGGAAGCGGACTGTGCCACGTTTGAAGACGAAGGGACAATCACGCCGCTGGGAAGCGTCTCGCGTCGGAGAGGAAGCCAAACAACGAGAGGAAAAGCGCTCTGATTTTTGCACAGGAAGCCCAGCGCGCCTCCTGCCAGGGCCAGATAAGAGCGCAGCGGTTCCCAGGGCCAGACCCCAGGAGTGGACCCTGGACCCAGGCGAGAGGCCACCCATCACTCTGGGCCTGCCTGGCCCACTGTCCCCGGGCCTCCTCCGGCACGGCGTCAGGCTCGTGGTGCAGCCGGGCTGCAAAGAACAAGGGGCCCAGTGAGGATCCAACCAAAACCACTGATCCAAAGACACACACTGAGACATTTACAATGAACCAGAACAGAGCTTTACAAAGGACCACAAGTGAGACAGTGAACAGGCCAGATGTAATCTGCTAAAACATCACAATCTGCTGCAGCTCTCAACAGATCTTCTATGAGTGTTTACATCTTTCAACATTTAATGCCAGATTTGAAGCTGCAAGTCGTTTTTTAAAGTGAATTGAACACTGAAAACAAAAATTTTGACGTGGTTCACATGCAGATTACGTCTGACATCTTTAAAGATAAACACGCAGGATAAAAAGTGTACATCTTTTATCATAGGTTAAGTTTATAACAATGACTGTGTTATATATATATATATATATATATATATATATATATATATATATATATATTTCATATGTGAACTATTTCGGATGTCATGACTTGGTGCCACAGAGCCAGGGTCACAGCTCATGTACGCCAGTGATGTCAGCGTGTCTCAGGGGAGAAGAAGGTCCTACGTACGGCTGCTGTGGCGCTCTCAGGTAATACTTAACCTCACTGACTCGGTCGTAAGGAACACAATAAGCGTCTCAGCTCCAAGAACAGCTCAATCAGAGCTCCTGCCAACAGACTGCTTTAACACTCGCGTGTGTTTTGGGCTGACTCTGTTTCTGTCCCGGTGCATCACTGGGTTGGGCCATTTCTCATGAGAACTTTGTATATAGAGTGTGTGTCAAATATAAGAGAAAAGCATCACAGGATGCACTGTGCAATCACAATAATAAACAGGCCCCTCACTCTGCGTCCTGCGCAGGAAATTCATTAAATCATAGCGTTTGATTTGGAAACCAACAAATCGTGACTGAGAACACGGAACTGGCTTCTATTGATGTGATTTTTTTTCTTCTTCTTCTTCTGTTCTTTCAAGTCTGATATGAACCGTGTTCTGTCTGTGAAGGCACACACACAGACATGCACTCTCTCACACACATGCACACACATATATATTTATATGCACTTAACAAACATGTGGAAAAGAACATGTGGACAGTATGAGAACAGACATATGGGAAAATAGCTGCATGAGCAAACAAACACACAAACACAAGCATGACAAAAACACACCCACACATAGGTGGATGCACACACACACACACACACACACATTCTGACACATTCCAGCACATAAAAGGCCCTAGAAGGCATCTGTTCTGGTTACAAGAAGGAAACGCTGTCTGACTACATGCTGACATAGACAAAACATGTCTCGTTTTTTTATTTATTTTTATATAAAAATCACACAGACACACTAACAACAAACTCACAGTTAAAAAAAAAAAAAAAAAAAACATTCCTGAGAGTGTGCAAGTGTAGCATTGCATCACTTTTAGCCTTACAAGCTCAAATACACTAATCTAAATAAACAAAATCTAATGAAATCTCTACATGCGTTTTATTTTGCTGCAGTGATTTTAGTGAAAACTGTTGCATCGAGACACAAATAACTAAAGAACGGAGCTCAGTTTAGCTATTTAGTATAAATTAGCCAAGATTGTGCTACTCTAACATTAACTTTATTTATTGCTTATGAAGCATTCACACTATTGTGATCCTGTTTATATTTATTGTTGCTACTTTATCTATTCCGTACATTTTTTGGCATCTTTCTCGTTCCGCAATTCTTGTGCCATTTCAACAAATTGTATCAAAACATTTAGCTCTTTCAGGACAAATCTGTTATGACTTATGGTATTGGTGCAACTTGAGCTTTTTGAAATATTTAGCCTTTTCTGCCATTTTTCCTAATAGAAAATTAATTGAGCTCATTTTACATCCTTAATATATTTAGATCTGTTTACAACCTTTTACTGCTCCTTTCACATTTTGTTCTGGTTCAGCTTCTTTCAAGCTTCCTTGTGCAATTAAAAAAAATCAGCTACATTCAGCAAATTTCAGCTGTTTTTTCAGCTGTTTTGTGCTTTTTCCTGTTTTATTCTGCTAACTACAACATTTTTGCACTTCTTTTAACTTCTTTATGTTAATTTCAGCTTGTTATGCGCCTTATAGCTGATTTCTGCAAGTTTCAGCTTTTTCTGCTATTTCAGCTTCTGCTATTTTGGCTGTTTTTATGCTAATTATTGCCTTTTCAGCTAATTATACATTTTTTTTCCACACTCATTTCAATTTTTTCAGCCTAATTCAGAAAAAAATGTGCTCTCTCAATTTCTTTCTGGTAATTTAAGCTTCTTTCTGCCGTTTGAGCTACCGGTACTATTCAGCTGCTTTTTTATGAGTGCAAATTTCTGCCTTTTCAGATAATTTCCACTTTTTTGTGCTCATTTCTGTTTCTTTCAGCCTAAATGGGAACAATTGTGCTCCCTCCACTTCTGTCTGGCAATTTAAGCTTCTTTCTGCCTTTTTTGCTACTATTCAGCTGTTTTTTGTGTGCAAATTTCTGCTTTTTTCAGCTATCTTACACTTTTTTGTGCTCATTTCTGCTTTTTTCAGCCTAATTTGGCACATTTGTGCTCTCTCAACTTCCTTTTAGTAATTTAAATTTCTTTCTGCCTTTTTAGCTACTATTCAGCTTTTTAAATTTCTGCTTTTTTCAGTTATCGTCCACTTTTTTGTGCTTATTTCAGCTTCTTTCAGCCTAATTGGGCGCAATTGTGCTCTCTTCATTTCCTTTTGGTAATTTAAGCTTGTACTAAATTTTCAGGTATACTTTCATTTTTTTCATTTAGCCTTTATTTATACAGGTAGTCTCATTGAGCCACGAGAACTCATTTTCAAGAGAGACCTGTTTAGGGAGCACATGGTGGGGGTTAAGGGCCTTGCTCATGGGCCCAGAGTGGGGCAAATGAGGGTGGGGGCAAGTGTGGGTGTTTCACCTACCCCACCCACAATTTTGATGTTGTCGGGGCCGGGGCTTGAACCGGCGATCTTCGGATCACAAGTCCACCTCTCTAACCTCTGCGCCACCACTCCCCAGGTATTTCAGGTATACCTTTTAAGAATTTTTAGCTAATTTCAGCTGTTTTCAGATAAATTCAAGTTTTTTGTGGTAATTTCTGCTACTTTTAGCCTATCTAACCTCTTTATTATTTATTATTGCTTTTTTATAACTGTTTATTGTTGTTGCTGTTGTCCATTGTTGTCATCTTTCTTTGTTGAAATCAGGTCTCTCTTGTAAATGAGTCCTCGAGGCTCAATGGGATTTACCTGTATAAATAAAGGTTGATTGATTTATGCTCCTTTCAGCTTTTTTCTTTAAACTTCTTTTGGACTTTTCAGCTACTGTTCAGCTATTGTTTGCTAATTTCAGCATTTTTTTAAGTTAATTTCAGCTATTTTTTTGCAAATTCTTCAGCAATAAGCATTCACACTGCATTTTTGCAGGAAATGCAATTTCTCTAGTTACAGCTTGTGGTTTCTTAAAATATCTGAAGTTTTTAATATACCTGCAGCACTTCTGGTCTAAATCTACTTACAGGCCTTTAGGCGGGCAGCGGTGCCAGAGCCACTGAATGTGAGGTGGAGGGACGCCGTGGGATGTGCAGTGAAGCTTTTTTCTGCTCCCTCGAGGCACGGAGACGGGGTTCTGCGACGACACTGCTTTCTCCCCAATCTGAGGGCTCACTGGGGTTCACGAGGCAAACACAAACATGCAAAAAGCAACGTTCAACAGCTGCAGGGAGGAAAGACAACCAGAGCTGGAGCCTAACTGTCACATAAATAGCTCATCTGTTGTGGCTCACCATTAACTACAAGTGTGAATGTGAGGTTCTGGTAGAGTCCATGTTGCTGGATGTGCACATGGACAGTGTACTCTCCAGCATCCTCCTCTGCAACATCTCGAATCACGAGAGAAGTTCCATCCATGTGATATCTGGAGCACTGGTTTGTTGCAACCATGTTGTCCTTCCACCTGCAAAGATTCAGAGGCATCACTGTAAATTAAAGCTGAATGGAAGGAAATTTGGTTAAACGGCAGGAATTTGTGACATCATTCCAACATTTTCCAAAATATACAGGGTTGACTTAGACTTTAGGTAAGATAATGTAAAAAACAAGTTACGAGGCAAGGCCAGCAAAAAATAACTTAAGAGGATTTCTGATTTGCAGTCATGAAGATAAATAATTTCCTCTTACCAGATAACTTCAGGGGCAGGGAATGCTCGCAGTTTGGGAGAGATTTTGTAGGATTTCTGTCCCGCTTGGACCAACAGCACCGATCCATTTCTGGGCTTCAGTCGGATAAACGGACGATCTAAAACCAGGGAGAGACACAAACACATTCATGCAGGCTTCAGGGAGCAAATGTGGGATCATCATCGGTCCGTTTCAGCTTGTAATGGAAACTGGGACAGAAAAGTGACTCACGATGAGGTAATCTAAGCATGTGATTGCGACATCAGGGCATGTGAGGGAAGGTGACTCACCGTAAACCATCACTGAGACTTGCTGCTGTTTACGTTTCTCACCGCTGGTGACGCGGCAGGTGTAGAGGCCTTGGTGTGAATGCTGCAGCTTTGGGATGGTCAGGATGCTGTAGAACAGCATGTGCATCGGGTGTCTCACCAGCCGTCTCGAGCTGGAGCCAGCGCTGATACTCTGAGAGGGAAAGAGAAACAAAATGTTAAAATAGCTTGATATGCTGTCATTTTATCACTAAGGCAGGGGTTCTGCAATCTGCGGCTCTGGAGCCACATGTGGCTCTTTGGTCCCTCTGCAGCGGCTCTTTCAGATTTTCACCAAAACTCAAATAAAACTGAATTTTATTGAAATTATTGTCAACAATGAAAATGGCTAGTTTTAGCAGATTTCCTGTCATTTTCAAATATGTGAAGGATAGTACAAATAAGGCGTAAAACATGTGGGCTACATCATGCTAGTCGTTTGTTAGCCACTTTGTTACATCAACTTCCAGTCTCCCAGCGTGATCTTTCTCTCAAAACCACCAGAATGTTTTAGAATATCTTTAAGACAAGCTGCTGAGAAGGGATATTTTATAATACTAAGAATAAAACACAAAAATCAAAGTCAAAGTGAAGAAAAGTATTTATTTTTCTTTAAAAATTAATTAAATATCCAACAAATGGGCCTAATTTTATTTTGTCTTTAACGTAATGCTTTAAGTAGGATACTTAATTCTTCAACAATTAAGAGAACTCACATCGGCCTGCAGAGTTCAGTGTTTTAAATTTTATAAAATTGTTAAAAAAAAAATTTTTTTCTTTCTTTCTTTACATGAATCTGGTCTTTTCTTTTGTATTAAAATGTAAACATATCAATAAATATTAACACTAGTTAGACATTTTTCATTTTATAATGTCACCCCCACTGGCCGGACAATCCATCTCCAACAAACTTGTAGAGGTCCACGGGTCACCAGTTGATAGTACATAGTTATAGCAGGTTCTGCGACTCCGGACATTGTAATTAGTAAGCAAAGTGGCAAAAACGGGGCTAAATAGTTCATTAAAGGGGCTTCCTATCAATTTATTAAATTATTTAAAGCATTTTAATTGATATTTTCATGCGATAAAGTATGAAATGCTACAATATGCTATAAATGAGTCCATATTTGTTCACTTATTAGTGAGAATCTTCCGCTTCTCCTTTATAAATCTGATTTTGCTGTAACAAAAACAGCAGATAAATGTCCACATCTTAACAAATAATATAAATATTCATGATTAAAGTTGTTACTTGGACACCAAACGTACACCAGTCTGCCAGGTAGCAATCTATTCTCGGATCAGACTGAGTCGAGGTGTGCCCGGTTCCTCAGAAAGTCTCCGGTCCAAACACAACCACGTGCTTCTGCCTCGCTGAGAGCAGGTCTGACCTTTCCAGGGTAGTCCCAGGTGATTTTGACTCTGGTGTTCAGCTCCGCCGTGGCCGTGCAGTTCAGGACCAGCCTCTCCCCCTTCAGCTTCTGCACAGGCCCACTGGTGTTCAGGTAGACCTCAGTGATGTTGCTCACTGGAACAAGAGAGGAGAAGACAGAGGGTTTGGAGCAGGAAGCTCGTGTTTATGTGATGAACGTGCTTGAGCTGAGGCTCACCTGGTCTGTACACGATGTACGAACGAGAACGTTTGACGCCCTCTATGACGGTCTGGCAGTAAACGAGGCCGACGTAGGAGAGGTTGGGAGTTTTGATGATGAAACCTTTCTTGCTGTCCCAAATGATGTTCTTCCGGTCTGGAGACAGAACTTGGTGGTATTGCTGTGAGGAGAAGCAGGAAAAGGAATCACATTTAAATGTTTAATAGTATAGATGAAGAAATCATGAAATGACTCATTGCAGAACGCTGTCCCGAGTTCTCTTGTGATTTATTTAAGGATGTAACAGTTTATATAAAGTACTGCGCAAAAGTTTTACATCACTCCCTAATGTTCCCTTTAAGAAGCCAGACCTAATTTACATAATTTAAACTGGTCTAAATCAGCATCTTTCAGGTATATGAAGTTTTTATTTATTTATTTATTTATTTATTTTTATGTTTGCTGCTTTTTTACTCAAGCTGTGTCTTGTATCACAACCCTGAGAGCACATTGTGCAGTTTGGGTTTAAAACATAGGAAAGTTGACAAAAAGAGGACAAAAAATAAAAATAAAAACTGAAAATCATATATTTTCCCTACAATGACTTGTGAGATGCTTCAGCTTCTGGTCAAACATCAACTATATGGTGAGCCCCATCAATAAATACTACATTTTATCTATCAGCTGTGGTATGTTTGATGTTTTTTTAATAGATTCAGAAAACAAACAAACAGTGGAACCAATTGTGGTTTTTGTGACAGACTGCTAGAAACAAAGTGCTTAAAAACCCAAATTAAAATTGGCTCTTTTCAAAGTCTGTTGTTAAACATGGACACGCTTGTTCATTTCGGAGCCTTTTCGTGCCAGAATGACTCATAGGTCAAAGTCAGGTGGCTTAATAAACAAAACAAACCACAAAAAAGACGTTCAGAGGAAAAAGAACCGCAGCTCTGAAAAGATGCGGAAAACGTAGCCTAAAGAAAAACTTTGAAAAACACCAAGTCCTCTAGAGAAAGTTCCAAGAAAATCTGACTCTGGAAGCAAAATATTTAAAACATGAGCGATGACTCAGAGCGTTTGCAGCATGTGAGCAAACAAAACGTTTTATTAGCTTTATTTAAGATCCCAACAAATACAGAAACATACAAAAATCTGATGGCTGCAAATCTCATTGAATAAAAAAAAAATCATTGTGGCGATCTAACTTAAGTTGTAAGAAAGTCACGTCCTGTTCAACACGTGTCAAACTCCAGGCCTGTGGGCCAATTCTGGCCCTTGATGACCTTTAATCTGCCCCACCAATTTGTGACAGGTCGCTGCTGCTTCTCATTTTGCTTATAAAACTGAGCATGCTCATTGGCAATGATTAGCTGATTAGTTAACAGTAAACGGATTTTGTACAAAGCGTTTATTAGGTTGTGTGATGTAAAGCTAAGTGCTACATCAGCATCTTAGCTAGCATGTCTGTATTGCGTGCCGCTAGCTTAGCGCTACGTTAGTGCCGGCAGTTGTTAATCGGGTTTTTTTTAGGATGTGTGAGAGAAGTAGAGCGTGCTCTGATCACACAAGGAGAGCTGTTGGTCAGGCTACTTCTTCATTCATTCATTCAACCTTTATTTAGACAGGTTAATCCCACTGAGCCTCGGGGACTCATTTACAAGAGACCTGAAGCTCTCTACAAAAGTTACTGAATCAAGTGTTTACTTATGTAGGTAAATGTAGATATTTAACAACCAGTTAAAATATACCAGAATGCATGAAATGGCATCTACTTTATCCAAAAATTTCTGGGGGAGGACCCCACCTCCCCTCCTTCAGTGTGTGTCCCCTTACATTACAAATGCTTTTGGCACCAATGGCCACTCAAGCCAAGAGTCAACACTGGGGGCTAAGCACCCCTAACAGTCAAATTCTAGAATCGCCCCTGCTCGGTGCAGATTAAACCAGTCAAAATAAACTGGATTTCTTTTTAGTAATTTTTGATCTCGACGCAGAAAGAGTGACAGAGAAAGCCAAACGAGACCGATCAAAACGCTCGTTGATGAACTTGCAGTCAGGTAAAGATGTCAGAGCAACAGAGTCTCACAAGAACTTACAGCAAATGTGTCTTTTTACGTTTAATCTTTCTTACACATGTTCTAAACGCTACGTAAAATGCATTAGGGAAAGGCCATTTGTATTTCTTTGAAGACGTTTTGAAATATTACAACTGAAAACCAGGCTAATTTTTATATGTTCCACCAAATACTGACCATTTTTAATTTAGCTGCTCTTGTGTAACTCATTATTCTCGATCATGGACACGTGTGTAACTTATTTAAGCTTGTTGTTGTCTTTGAGGTATATAATAGGACATGTTTTTTGTGGCATTGTGGAAGCCCACCCTTTCTCGAGGGAAAATATAGACCCCCTCCCACCCCTTTCATCTCACGCTGCTGCATTCCCAGTGAGAACTGCCTTGTAACCCCCCACCCAGAGTGAGGTGACCCTCCAAGACACCACTGATTCCTTTGTCCTCCCCCTCTCAGGTCCAGTGCAGTCCCTCCACCTCCTCCGCCTGAACTCACTGACGTCTGAGCACGCTCAGTGCCCTCCGTGCCCCTCTTCCATCCATCCTACTGTACACAGAGACAAGGTGACGATGAAGGTGGCAGAGGAGGAGCAAAGGAGTCAGGACATGTGAAACGTGACTCCAGTCCATCTCCTCACGTCCTGTTACTACAGGACATAGACATTTCGACTGGAGCCGCAGGTCAGCCTCGTCATCCCGGGCCTCACTTTCGCGGCTTAAGCGAGCGAGCAGAGCCTTGTGGGTATTGTTCGTGCTGAGAAGGGTCAGAGCAGAGACCTCGGCGAAGTGCAAGTTCCTTCCAGGAAAAAAACACTCCACAGGCTGTGACAGTGAGAAGACTCCTGGTTCAAACCGGCCAGCGCAGGGGAAGAGGTGGGAGATGAAGGAAGAGGAGGAGAGCTATTTTTAGACTGATTGCCTTCGTCGTTCCAGATATTTGTCAGGAATTGGAGGCAGAACAAAAACATGTGTGAAGACATGACATGCACGACCTGGAGCAATACACCTCCTTTATCTCAAGTATTTAAAGCTCCTCGACAATTCCTTTGTTTTGTAATGACAACAGAATAGTCCTGTTTGGTGCAGACGGGTATCATTGTGGCTAAACTGGACACCAGCTCATTGGTAGACATGTTTTCTAGTAAAACTGACAGATATAAATTTTAAATTGGTTAAAGAAAAGTCTCCAGAATCAGTGGGTAACCTGGACTCTTCCTACACCGGAAGTGTTACAGCTAGCCGCTACGATTTGTAAATAAACATAAAAGTTTTTGCAACTAATTGTGTAAAAGTGGAAAGGTTTATAAAATAAAGATAGCACATGGACGTTGTTAAGGTCGATCCTGTCACAGTTAACCTCTATTTCTACAAACTGAGGTCATTCAGAGAACTACCTACAACAGGTAAGATATTAATTGTTCTTAACCTTTTCACCAACCCCCTCGTTCATCGAGTTATAATTATTCGTAACAAGACAATACTGTGGCAGCACCATCCTATCATATATTCCTAACTCTAACCAAGCACAAAAACTGAAAACATGATTAAAACTAAAAGTCTTGCTGTCCTTGAAGGAATGCACATCGCCCGCTACTTTGAAACAAATGAGGAAGTTCCAGCTCTTGTGGCCAAATCTCCATCAGTGTTTGGATTGTCCTTATCAGAATTTGTTACATAAGTTTTTGCAAGATTGAAAACTAGAGTTAAATTTGTCAGGGCCAACAGTAGCCACAGCAACTTCCTGTTTCAGCCCTGTCAGCTGTTTAAAGCATCACTTAGAGAAAGTTGTCAGCTTTTATGCCCCAACGAGAAGTGGAGGGTATAAGGTGTGGGAAGGGGATAATGGCCTGAGGCCAAAAGGAGCACGTCCTGTTTCCCCGAGAGGTAAACCAGTGCCAACAAGGATCTGCGTTTCACCGGAAACGGGCACCGAACGGTACACAGCACCACTTTACGCAAACACAGATACGCGTGCAGACAGCGAGCACTCTTCAGGCTCTCCTCGTCACTCAGCACTCGAGTGCCAACACTCACAAACATATCCGCGCACACTTTCACACGTATCCGCAAACGGACACAAACAAATGGACACACACGCCACAGTGTGATGGGCTGCCAAGAACAATGTGGTGAATGATCCTGACGAGGAGGAATAGTGTGCACAAAAAAAAAAAAAAGGGTGGCAAAAGTTAAGGATGTGTGCAGAGGTGTAACAGAGGAGGATCAAGTGTTGTGCACTAACCTTGACCAGTGTGGTGGTGATGTTGGGGTGGGTGACCCTGCAGGGGATGACCAGTGGCTCGTTCACCTTCATGTACAACACATCTGGACTCATACCCTCATGTTCTACAAATGGCTGCCGGCTGTCTGAAACCCAAACACTGCGGTCAGGGACACAAATGGTGCACACAAAAAAAGCTTTATGTGTGACATGCATCATCACTTAAGCAAATATTTTCGATTCCAACCCTGTCTTCTTCATTAAAATACGGCGCTCTGCTGCGTAAATGGTTGTCGTATGTGCATCATCAACCGTGCACTAGTTCATTTTTGTGCAACTGGAGCGATGGGATTTAATGGAACTGTTTTAGGATTTCCTGTTTCCACATTAAATGACCAAACTGAAACTTTTTCTTTTTTTTTTACTCCACCTTCAAGCAAAAACCTTAGCAAGCAAAATGAAATGTCAATTTGCACATTTAAAATTCTTTGTTTTCAATAAACGTAAAAGTTGTGCATAACCTGAACTTTCACACACATGAATAAACGGGGGGTTGTGGATGTCTGACTTCTCTCGCCGACACACAAACCAAGAACTTGCACATGCACTTCCAAGCAGCTCAACAATAAACAAAAACAGACGCGCACTCCAAAACATACACTGTCCCCCACACCCCGCTCACAGAACACCCGTTGAGCAGATGACAGCTTGTGGTCAACAACAAACAAACAGATTGTTTAGAAGCAAACAAACAAACAGCCTCTCTGTTTTCTCTGCTCGGCCACAGTCAGACTTCTGTGCCATTCAAAGGTGTGGGTGTTGCTCACTGTATTGTTTGTGACCAGAGGGTGTTATTCTAGGAAAGCACATCTCTGAACCTTCGAACAAAAGTACCCCAAGGACTAGTAGACCTGAAGGCTTCCTTCTTTTTGATTCCTGATAGAAGACTTGAGGAGGGAGGCAGCATCTGAGCTGCTGGCCAAGTCTGATGCTTAATGGACATGGTGACCCGAGCGATTCATGGCCCCCCCGAGGGCCCTGTTGGCCAAACAGCAGCATGCCCTGTGACCCTGGCATGCAGCCCAGCTCTGCTGCTTGTGCAGCTCGAAGCGAGCCGGCGTCACCTCCAGGACAGGGAGGAGCTGCCGGGGGCAGACATCGTGCCTCCTCTGCCCCTGCATACCATCAAATCACGGGGCGTTCTTCTCATCCCTGCACACGCATGAAAACACACTTCCAGAGAGACACGGCACCCCCACCCACCCCCTGAGCACAGGATGCTTCAAGCAAGGCTGAGAGGAGCAGATAAGGCTGATGCCCTGGGAAACTCTGCCCAGGTCTGAGTCCTTCCAGCAGCTGGGCTATTCCTGGCCACGAGGTAGCACGTAAATGAAAGTAAGAAAGCTTTTATATAAATAGCTCAGAGGGGGGGTGAGCCTGGAATGAGAAAGGAGAAGCAGAGGAGAGGGGGTGCTTAAATGTCGGGATCATCTTGAAATGGGACAAACGGTGTGGCAATATAACCGAGCTGGGCATTGATTTACGTTTAGTAGATCTTTACTCCCTGGGGGTGGTAAAGAACAAGAATCAGCTGAAAAATGTCAAATGAAAGGTTTAGCATGCCAACGTTTTCAACAAAGATCTTATACACAGATTAGTGCTCAGAGGATCTTTTGCGAATGACTCTCAGCTACAACCACACCAAATCTTAGCTCAATATCTCTAACACTGACTGAGCTGTAGCCATTTATAGGGTTTCCAGTATTGATTAGCTGTGGCAGCCATCTTAAATCACATTGAATCCAAAAGTTAGTCAGTTGTAGATGCACATTCTGTAATTGCATCCTGAGAGTTTCATTAAAATTCATCCAGCGAGTCACAAGATATTTTGCTAACAGACACCTGACACACAGATCCATGAAAGGCAACAGGAGAAGCATAATCTTCGTAATATGTGGAGTTTTCTGTGTCTTACCTGTGACAAACACATAGACGGAGCTCTGTTTCGTGGGCCTGTGTTTGTACCGGCAGCGGTACGGGCCGGTGTGTTGGGCCTGGCTGTGGCTCACAAGCAGCTGGCTGCAGTAACGGTGGCTCGTCCTCCCACAGCGTGATTCAGACACGTCCAACTTCGACCTGTCCACGCCCGCGGGGAACGCCCAGGACAGCTCCCAGCGACCACTGGCCACACGGGTCACAGAAAACTGATCAGAACTGTGTGACCCTTTAGATCCATTTGGAAGAAAACCAGTGTTCAATGGATTTAAATGAATAAAAAGGAACACGAGGGCTGGAATTAACAGCCTTTATTGGTGATTATGAAGAAACTCTAATTTGCAAATCCAGACTTACTCACTTATTTTAATCAAACTATTTCACAATTTATTTTACCATTCAGTCACATATTGTAAAACTCAAATTTGACTTCTCAGCTTCAATTCCTCTGAATAAGGTGGAAAAGAATGGAGGGCTTGTTGTTTTCTACCATTTCTACATATTTCCAAGATTTTATGGGGCAAATAAAAAAAGGGAAAGTGACGATGTTAAAAAGTCTAAGAGCATCAGCCGAGCGTTTTGATGGCGATGTTTGGTTCACCTCACCTGCAGTTGAGCAGCAGTGTCTGGTTGACCTCCAGGACCAGCTGACGACTCGTCACGTCCAGGACAGGGACGTTGAACTTCCCCTTTTCTGCCGAGGTTGGACAGAGAAGTGGCGTTACAGAAAAATTCATTTTAGGTGACTAATCCCTACTGTCCGCCCCATCCTCCTCTGCAGAGCCACAGAACCAGTGGCTCTCCTCACATCACACCTCATGGTGGGAATTTTCCACTTCTTGAAAGCACGTTCCTGCTCAAAGAACTTTGTCCTTTTCTTTCACCCGCAGGCTCAAAATCCTGCAGCTCTCCGGTTAGTTTGTGACTTTTCCACACCTTTGCTCCCAGTGGATGTCCAGCTGAAGAGAGCTGAACTTCTATCACTTCCTAAACTATTCCCTGGAGTTTGTCAGAGTGTGAAAAGGCAACAAACAAGCCCAGAGGAAAGAGCAAACAGAGGGGAGGTCAGCAGGGTCCTGTGCTGCTATTTCAACACCTCAAGTGCTTTAAACATCACAATCTTACTTTAATTTCTCAGGAATTAATTACAAATGTTGAAATACTTTTGTAAGATAGTGTCTAATACTTTGAATTTCAATAAAACAGATGCGTGGGCAAGCTCAGGCCGCCGAAACCAACCAGTCATCGTTCCATAGAGGAAAGGCCTCCACCTCGTGCTTTTACAGTCATCACTTTAACATCTATTTTATTTTATTTTTTTTGTATTTTAAGGTCACTTGCGAGCTTCATATCTTCCAAGCGAACAGCAGATATTATATAGATTTAATATTTGCACATTTTAACAAGCCTATCTGAGAAATGATTGATCATAAGGAGTTGTTACCCCATACAGGCTGCTTAATTATAAGGAATGTGCAACTTTGTGATACTTAAATCAACATTTCTGCATCTAATTTCATCATCCGTACAGATAAAAACATTTCTGGATGATTAATAAGTTCAATTTTTGAGAAGGAATTTCTTATTTTAGCATTCCTGTTGAGTGAAAAGTTTCTTATAATTGCAGAATTTATCAAATGAATTCAACCAGGTTTTTAAAATTAAATAGTAAGACGACAAAAAAAACAAAAAAAAAAAACCAAAGATTTTAGCAAATGATTAAAATGTGAAATACACAAGATTCAAGGTGATGATGAGCATCAAATAACTCACTGATCATTTTGATACAAATTATATTTAATTTTGCATTGATCACTTTAAACCGATCGTTTAAATTGTTATATTACTTTTTATTGGAATTTTATGATGTGTTCTTAAGAAAACAAAAAAGAACACAATAAAAATAAATGACCAATAAAGCTACATTTCATTTAAACTTGCTAAAATTCTGCATATTTAAGTTTCTGTTTGAACCAACCCAACAGAAAGTTGAAATTAAAATTGACAAGTTTAATTTACAAAAGGCATAAAATCATTAACAATGTTCAAAATCTTTTTTTTTTTCGTTTTTTCGATTTATTATTTAGTTAGTAACTACATAATTACGTTTAATTATTCTGCATTTTGACCAAGGGCAAATTAATAAGTTGATTTAATTTATGCGCAAACATTGATTTTTCAAAGAACAAAATGATGTTTCTTATTTCTCTGTCTGCTTATAATAAACATTAAGTCATGCAAGGTCGATTTTTAAGTTCCTGCATGAATGTTTCCCTCCCAGTTAATCGTGACCCCACTTTCCTTCATATTAAATCTGCAGCATTCGGGAAATAACGCCCTTGGTGTGTCAAACGGGGCCAGGGCGCAGGGCGCACAAGGAGCCGGAGCGCATCCGACCTCTCCAAACACCCAGGGCTGCACTTATCTCCCTCAGCCAACTCACAGCCTATATCTGCGAGTACCAAAGACTCGAGTGGCTGATAAGGTGAGCCTTTGGTGTACTCCAACTGCTGATAAAGGACTTCAAACGACAGGAGTCGTGCGTAAAAGCGCAAATTTATCGGAACAAAAGAACAAAGAAGGAAAAAGAAAAGGGAAAAGAAAAGAACAACAGATCAGAACTCACGCGCGAGCATTGCACTGAGTGAGCAGCATTATTAGACACACAGCAGGTACTTTGGGAGATATTTTCCACGAGCTAAAGTTACCTTTTCCGAAAACGCCGTACAATCCAAAAATCAGGCAAACGAGGGCAAAAATCTTCATATTTTTGGGCTCCAACGCAGCAGGCTTTGAAATAAAACACGCAAAAATAAAGATGTTATTCCTGCTCGTGAGTGGCTTTTCTCCTCCACAGTTATTAAAGAAGCAGCAGCGCAGGCGACTGTTGCGCACTCCGGGACTGATGGTGAGTGGGAGATGGTGGATTTGTCTCTCTCTCTTGCTCTCTCGAGATTAGCTGCGGGAAATCACGCAACAGGACGCCACGCTTGAACTCGAGTGCAACTTTTTCCCATCGTCGCTGGACTGTGGCGCCGATTTATAACGCTTCCCACAGTCCAGCCACCGGAAAGTGAGCTTCCGTTACGTCCACCTCCACACCCACTGTGCGTAAAAGGAGTATCCTTTCCCCAGTTGACAGGCAACCACTGAGGGGTTGATGAGAAACCATTGTGGCATTCAAATGTACTCAGTTTTCCTCCTCTTTATATGCACATCACTTCAACTTGTAATTCTCACAAGAACCTGAGTGTTATTAATTCCTGCTCCTCATGATAAATCAGAAATCATGCAGCATGCGCTCCCATCGTGCACCCTGCTTGGGCTGACGGGTTGAACAGCACGTAGGCACAGACACATTAACCCGTGGCTTCCTTGTCTGCAGCGTGTCAGATGAGTTTCTCACATTGGGGACTAAAAATATGTTCCAAGAAAAACAATGGAGCCGCAGGTGAGCGCGTTTGGATGTAACAGGTTGCCCGCACGCATGACAAGCTGCTGAATGTGCTCAGTGAGTCTGAGGTGAGTCGGCCTGCCTTCTTCTTAGTAAAAAAAAAAAAAAACAGACACCAATCAGGTGCAAATATTTTCTAATCAAAATAGATGAGGAAATAAAAAAGGATGCAAGTAAAAAAGAAGAGATTTTGTAAAAAAAATAAATAAATAAATAAATAAATAAAAAATCCAAACACCAACGCTGTTTCAATGATAATGTTCTGTTTTTAATGTACCAATAAAACAAATCTGTGATAAAACTTTGCAAGGTGCATCTTTTCTTCAGCTGCAGTGGTGCAGGTTGGCCACCAGATGAGACCAGAGCTGAATCAGAGAGGAGAAACCTCAATACAGCAAAACTGTCCCACGTTCAAAAGGGGGCATTATGATAAATTAAACCACGCTAAAACAGAACTAATCTTTAAATCACTAAAATATATTCAACATGAAGCTATGGCTCAGGTAAACTCACATACAGAGCTCATATTAACACATACAGTACAAAAAACTGTGAGGGCAAAAATAAACTTCAGTGATTTTCCATCCATCCATCATCTTTTACCCGCTTCTTCCTTTTTGGGTTGCGGGGGTCACTGGTGCCCATATCCAACAGTCACTGTGAGAGAGGCGGGGTACACTCTGAACGGGTCACATGGCCACATAAAGACAAATGAGACATTCACACTTACGGACAATTTTGAGTTACCAATTAGCCTAACATTTTACACAGTTGTAAAAAACGATTAAACACAAAAAGTTTATCTTTAACAGGAAAAGAAGTCAGGATAAGTACATAAAAAAAAAAAAAAACACCTTAATTTTACATAAAACAATGGAGGTAAAACCATAAATTGTTTGAGGAGGAGGAAAAAAGGTTTGGAATCTTGTAAAATATTCATAAAAATGGCTGAAACCTGATTATGTTTAACTGAGTCAAAGCAAAGTGAAAAGTGGTTTATGCCACAGTCCAGCTCAGATCGTTGTTTATGTGATCAATGGAAATAAGCAATGCTTGTTCAATGACATTAGGATGACAGATGATGGATTTATGTTCAATTTTCCAAAAGGATCAAAACAAGTCCCCAAAGATTTAAGTTTAGACCTGATTTTTCCCTCTATTTATTTATTTCTTAAAGATAAAGTGCACATTTATGTAGATGATACCATCTTTTATTTTGCTGACCTTCAATTTGCCTTTAGGCAGCTGTAGACAACATTGTTTGCTTGATGTGAATAAAACCAAAGTTATGTTAAATCTTTCTCTGGACCCAGATTATATTGGCAGTTCTCCCCAGGAGCGGACTTTATTGAAACAATATCATCCTACAAATATTTGGGGTCTTTGGCTGGATGAATATCTTTTTTTTAAAAGTGCATAATAACCATTTAGTCTGTATTGTATAGTTATTTATGTTTAATAACAAAATTGTTGCATAGTATGCATCACCATCTATAATCTGGTTTCTTGGCCCACTTTAAGCTTAAACAGAAGCATTGGGATGTATTAAAGTATGAAGTCATGTTAGGTATCTCGTCAAAGACTTGTTAATGGTTGTTCAGTGCTAACAGATTTTTCTGTTACACAGCTCATATTGTGTTTTAAACGCCTTTATCTTTGTGCGTTACATAAAGGGTATGTTTTTAATGAGTAAAAATATATAAAAAAGCTCTTGCAGTTCCTAAACTTCTTATAGTCCAGATTTTTCCTCCTTTCAAAGTTGCAAAGTGCAAAACTGAAGGTTCTAAAACTTCTCTGGTTGGAAAACAATGGTTTAAATTATGACACTATCAAAAATAAAAAAATAAAAAAGTTGGCATCTATACAGAACAATTATTTTAAAGTAATGGACTATAGATCACAACTACATCGGTTTCTGCACATATATTGGTGCTTTTGTAATACATCATAATTTTCTCATATGGGTAAATATTGACCAATAATTCAATCTGTAATAATTCATCCCAAACCAAAAGCTAATATAGACTTTTTTCAGTCTGGTTATATGCAACAATTCAAGATTTATTTAGTCAAAGAACATTTTTTGTGCAAGTCATCACAGCTGCTGATGTTATTGGTAGAATGTGAGGAAATGGGACGATGGGCCCATCTGCTGCACTGAGCACATTCCTCTGACTCAGTGGGTCTTCGAGCAGAAACTGCCGTCCTGGTTTTGAATTCAGTTGCTCATGAGTCACACCTGCCCTTTGGTCTGCTGACGGATCCAGTCACTAAACCTTACCACTTGTGTGTATACGCCGGGGCGGTTCTGGCGTGCACAGCCTTCACCCCAGCTTACAATCCCTGCCAAGAACCACCGCTTGCCTCGCTCCAGACACACCAACGGACCCCCTGAGTCACCCTGAGGATTATGAAAGAAAACACGAATAAATGGATTCAAAGGGACAAGACACAGAAGAAAAGTATATATATATATATATATATATATATATATATATATATATATATATATACTGTATATATAATTATGCAATTAATGCTTACAGTTTACATTAAAGTGATAGTTCAAGCCTTGAAAATCAAAGCTGTTCACACAAAAACTATCTTATGAACTTTTACATTTCTGTCATTTTTGTGTTAGACAGTTCGATGTTTCTTTGCAAACAGCAACAGCTAGCTGTAGCACTGATAACTGATAACATTGCCTGAATGATCCCAATAATGTTTGCTAGTTCTGTTTTGACGCCTCCCATCCATCCATTATCTTTACCCGTTTATTCCATTTTGGGTCACGGGGGTCGCCGGTGCCCATGTCCAGCAATCACTGTGCGAGAGGCGGGGGACACCCTGGACGGGTCACAAGTCCATCACAGGGCCACATAGAGACAAACGAGACAAACAACCATTCACTCTCTCACTCACACCTAAGGACAATTTAGAATTACCAATCAGCCTAACATGCATGTTTTTGGTCTGTGGGAGGAAACCGGAGCACCCGGAGAAAACTCACGCATGCACGGAGAGAACATGCAAACTCCACCCAGAAAGGCCCCCGGACCGGGGTTTGAACCAGGGACCTGCTCGCTGAGAGGCAGCAGCTCTACCAGTTGCGCCACCGTGCTGCCTTTTGACGCCTTCCATTCTATTTTATTTATTTATTTTTTGCAAGAAACATGTCGTTGATTTGGAAATAGATGCTACAGAGGAGCAGGAAGATTGCACATTATACACATAAATTAGCAAAACTTTGAAATAATCTCTTGGGACGTGGAATGTCACCTCACTGGTGGGGAAGGAGCCTGAGCTGGTGTGTGAGGCTTAGAGGTTCCGGCTAGAAATAGTCGGACTCACCTCTACGCATGGCTCTGGCTCTGGAACCAGTTTCCTTGAGAGGGGCTGGACACTCTTCCACTCTGGAAGAGTGAGGGTTTGCTGGGAACGCCTCGCAGAAGAACCCATCAGAAAGATCTTCAACTCACACCTGTGGGAGAGCTTTAACCACATCCCAGCTAAGGCGGGGGCATTGAGTCTGAGTGGGCCATGTTCCATGACTCAATTGTTGAGGTGGCTGCTTTGAGCTGTGGCTGCAAGGTTGTTGGTGCTTCTTGCAGTGGCCATCCGCAAACTCAGTGGTGTACACCCCAGGTTAGAGGGACTGTCATGCTAAAGGAGTCCTATCAGGCCTTGTTGGCTGGTAGGACTCCAGAAGAAGCTGAGGAGTATTGGAGGGCCAAGCGAGCAGCAGCCTTGGATGTTGCTGAGACAAAAGCTCGGATGTGGGACATTCATTTGCAATGGAGATGGGGCAGCGCCACTGGATTGGCAGACTGGGGTGGTGGTTCCCCTCTTCAAAAATGGGGACTGGAGGGTGTGCTCCAAATATAGGGGCATCACTCCTTAGCCTCCCTGGTAAGGTCCATTCAGGGGAACTGGAGAAGTGAATGCACTTGTTGGTTGAACCTCAGATCCAGGAGGAACAATGCAAGTTCCATCCTGGCTGTGGAACACTGGACCAGCTCTTTACCCTCACTAGGGTTCTTGAGGGATCATGGAAGTTTGTCCATCCAGTCTACATGTGTTTTGTGGACTTGGAGAAGGCTTTCAACTGCGTTCCTTGGGGTTCACTGTGTGGTGTGCTCCGCAAGAATGCGATTGGGGACCATTGTTATGAACTGTTTGGTCCTTAAACAAGTGGTGCAACAGTTTTGTTCACATTGCCAGTCAGACCCCTTCAGGGTGGGAGTTGGACTCTGCCAGGGCTGCCTGTTGTCATCGATTCTGTTCATAACATTTATGGACAAAATTTCTCGGTGCAGTCAGGGGGCGGATGGTTTCTGGTTTGGTGGCCTCAGGATTCTATCTCTGCTCTTTGCAGATGATGTGGTCCTGTTGGTGTCATCATGCCGTGATCTTCAGCTCTCACTGGAGTGGTACGGCTGGGATGAGAATCAGCACCTCCAAATCTGAGGCCATGGTCCTCAGTCAAAAAAGGGTGAATTACTCTCTTCGGGTCAAAGGTGAGGTTCTGCCTCAAGTGGAGGAGTTCAAGTATCTCGGGGTTTTGTTCACGAGTGACGGAAGAATGGAGCGTGAGACTGACAGACGGATTGATGCAGGGTCTGCAGTATTGTGGACTCTGTGCGTGTCCGTTGTGGTAAAGAGGGAGCTGAGCTGTAAGGCAAAGCTCTCCGTTTACCGGTCGGTCTATGTTCCTACCCTCATCTTTGTCCACAAACTCTGGGTAGTGACTGAAAGAATAAGATTGTGGATAACTGCAGTTGAAATGTGTTTCCTCTGCATGGTAGCTGGACTCTCCCTTAGAGATAGGGTGACAAGCTCAGTTTTCTGAGAGCGACTTGGAGTAGAATCACTGCTCCTCCACATCAAGAGGAGCAAGCTGAGGTGGATTGGGCATCTGGTAAGGATGGGCACTTCCCTGTGCATCTCCCTAGGGATGTTCTTCTGAAATTTCCAACTGAGACCCCAGGGAAGACCCAGGGCACGCTGGAGACACTATGTTTCTTGGTTGACCTGGGAAAACCTTGAAATCCTCCCACAAGAGCTGGAAGAGGTTGTTGTGGAAAGAGATGTCTGGGCCTCCCTGCTCAAGCTGCTGCCCCTGTGATCCGATTTCAGAACAAGCGGAAGATGACGGACGGATGGATGGATGGATGAGTGGATACATGGATGAGTGGATGGGTGTATGTATGTGTGTATGTATAGATGTATAAATCGATGTATAGATGTATATTAAGACAGACAGACAGACAGACAGACAGACAGACAGACAGACAGACAGACAGACAGACAGACAGATAGATAGATAGATAGATAGATAGATAGATAGATAGATAGATAGATGGATAGATGGATAGATGGATAGATGGATAGATAGATGGATAGATGGATGGACGGACGGACGGACGGACGGACGGATGGATGGATGGAATATTCTACTCTATTTATTGAGTCTGACTTCATGAGAATCACCATAAGGAGATTATGAGTTACATAAGACTTAAGTTCATTTTCAGACAGATTTATTTTTATTTGTTTATTAAAAACGAACCTGGCAGGCGTCCACTCCACCCTGTAGGTTCCCAGCACAAAGCATCCTGGGAGTTACGGCGTCATCATACAGTTTGTTACAAGTGTTCCTGCTTATGATCTTCACTGAAGCTTCTTGTAGGCGAGAAGCCAATTCACCTACAATTAACAAAAACACAAAACATAATCTTTTTGTGGGTGCAAGGTTTTTTAAGTGAAACACCATTTTCGTATGTTATTGTTGAGTACCACCTACCATCCTCCATCAAAACCCCCCAACCTGTGACATAGCAGCTGGTCCCAGTGATGAAGACATGTGAGGCAGCAGGAACACACACAGGCTGCACCAAGTCGTTGAAGAAAACAGGCGAGCTGAGCTCCAGCAGAGCGATGTCATAGTCAGACGTGAACTGGTCATACTGCGGGTGGAGGAGAATCCGGCGGATCAGTCTGGTGGCCGCTCCATTGTTTCCACTGGTCATCACACGCATTCCCATGTAAGCCCGCCAGGCACGGACGTCCGAGTATCTGCAGACACCAGGAGCGTGAATACACCACCTAAGTGAGGTGAAGCTCCAGGGGAGGATTTTTGTGTTTTTCGTACTTGATGGCATCTGAGTCTTGGAAGCAGTGAGCTGCAGAGAGGAGCCAACGACTGGAAACCAGCGTGGCTCCACAGACGTGACCGTAGCGATCCATCTGGAGGCTGACCTGCCAGGGCCATGACCCCACCACAGCATCAGACCCTCCCACTATCTTGGTTCGCTTCCTGGGTTTTGTGCCACAGCCTGGGTAAAAAAAAGGAAGACATAAAACTGTCAAAGATACAAAGTAAACATCAGGCACAAAAACATGGTGGTTACTGAGTGAGTGCTCACTGCAGCGCAGCTCGTCAGATCCGTCAGAGCAGTCCTTAACTCCATCACACTCGGGGTTGACCTTACTGACGCACTTCCCGTTGGTACATTTGTACGAGGACGAGGAGCAACCTTTGAAATCTAAAGAAAAGTTTATATAAAATTAAACAATCTCTAAAGGTGTCTACGTGCGATCAAACCTATAAAGGTGCTCACACGCTCTGGTGCAGTTGAGTTCATCACTGCGGTCTTTGCAGTCAGTCACACCGTCACACACTGATGACTTGGGCAAACACACCTTGTTGGGGCAAACGTGGTGGCATTTAACTCCTGAAAAACAAAGACGGCGCCGCACGAAACGCATGAGGGAAAGCAAACACAAATACCTGCACGAGTTGCACAAGCGTGCGCACTCACCACAGCTTCCCTCCTCGCTGCTGTCCGCACACTGACTGACACACTGGCTGCTCTGAGGCTTGCACTGACCGTTGGCACACAGCACTTCTCCTGGCCTGCAGGAGGCTGCTTGTTTCACATGCAGGTTCAAACACAAGTGGCATTAACAGAAAACACTTCAAAAAACCCCATAACGGGTCTATCGTAGTTTTCGGACTATAAGGCACAATTAAAATCCTTTAATTTTCTTAAAAATGGACAGTGAGCCTTATAATCAGATTTTATCTGGTTTTTGTGAATGAGTTGAGTAAAGTTTGACATAATGCGCCTTATAATCCAAAAAATACGGTAATATCTTAATGAGGCAGATAATTATCATATTTGTTGCACTAATGAGGTGTGACTCAGTCAATTAAATTTAATAACACAGGACTAGATTGGCTCTGACTGTCCCTAGGCCTTGTGCAATTAGACTTACAGCATTTAGCCTCGTCCCGTCCATCTGAGCAGTCCTTTACTCCATCACAGACGCTTCTCAGAGGGATACAGCGCCCATCTCCACAGCGAAACTGGCGAGGGCAAGCTTGGAAATAAAAAGGAAAATGTTCAAGAATGATGATCTGGTATTTATGACAAAATCACAGGCGCTGCTGTTCTGTCAGATTTCTGTTTTACTTTAAATTGTGGACTTTTTAAAGTGAAATAAATCTATACTTTGCTTTTGCGTTTATTCTAGAGAGAAATCATGTCTTACTGCCCTCTGGAGAAAAGGCTCGGTACAACAAGTAGAAGCCTTTGTGAGTGAGAGACTCATCAGAGTGGAAGTGGATGGAGAGTGGAGAGGAGTAAACCCGCTTTTTGCTGCTCTCTGATACCAGATTACACAATCTAAACACAAAGCAGCAAACCGTACGAGTTCAATGCACATTGCACCACGACCTTGTCCTAAAAATATAAGAAAGAATGTCAGCAGGGTTACAACTCACTTCACCCCACCAATGTCCAGCCAGTCCTTCTCACACCCATCAGACGATGGAGACTCCTGGATGTCCATCATCACAATTGTCAGTGAAATCAGGTAACCTGGCAGTGGCACCTGATGAAGTAACCACAAAAAGTTCAAAGAAAACACATCAAGGTGGAATGTGGTCATGCTGCATGACTGTGGTGTGTTGGTTTTTGAGTCATGCATTTCCGTATCTTTGTTTTCAGCACACCCTCTCAAACTATGTCTATAAAAACAGCCTCACGTGTCTCACCCGTAGCGTCCATGTACAGTCTATGTTTGGAGGGTAGAATGAAGGGTAGTAAGGCGAGGAAATGGAGCCGTTCCAGGAAGAAATGGATCCTCCACAAACTGTAGGGGGAGGTAGTGACACAAGTAAATACTCAACAAACCCAACACAAGTTTTGTTCTGTGGAACTAACTCAAACAGACTTCGTTATACAACACCAGCTTTGAAAAAGTTGCGACACTATGAAAAATGTAAATAACTCATAAACCCATATTTTATCCACACTGGAACTTTGTAAATATATCAAATGTGCGAGCTAAGAAATTGATCCAAATTTAGAATTGTATGGCAAGTAAACATCTCATAAAAATTGGAACAGGAGCAACAGAAAGTTGCAAAATTAAGTGGTACAAAAAAAATTGGAAGATTATTTTTGGAAATAATTAGGTTAATTGGCAACAGGTCAGTAAAAGCACAGGGCCCATCAGGCAAATGTGGGTGCTTCACCTATCCCACCCACATTTTTGCTATTTCAATTAGGGGGGATTTGAACTGGCAACCTTCCAATTGGAGGCTCACCTTTTTTAGCCTCAGTTAGAGCTGTCATTTCTAACACCGGCCTGAAGCCCGGTCCCGCCGACCCGAATTTGGGGCAGGCTGGGCCATAAAAATGTGCTGGATGGGCAGGCCGGGTCGATGTCGAACTTTTGATTGTGTCAGCAGATCAGCTGCGATCCAATTATATGGCAACATGGCTTGCCAGATAATAATATTCAATTATATGGCAACATGGCTTGCCATACTTTCACCAGCCACATGCAGCCATTTCACTGCAAGCTGACCGCCCTCGAAAGAGGTAAAATAATGTTCAGTTAATCTTCAGATGGGACTATACTGCCAGGAAGCGATCCATCAGTCCAAATGATGTTCAGCTGCTGCACTCAGTGGACGCGCGTGGCCGATGACACAAACAGGTGAGATCCCAAAGCAGACATGTCAGAGCAGGGTCCGTGTCTGAATAATGCAGAATGAAGGCAGAAGCAGGGATTTAATGCGCTTTGACGATCATGAAAAGACAAACACCCCCTCAGCTCCGATTTTCTGCCCTTTATTCAGCCGCGCATCCGCCAACCATTAATAACTATATAAGCAGTCAACGCTTCATTTTCTCTTTCATATCCAGTAAGAGGACTGGATATGAAAGAGAAATTTATAAAGGTAAGTAAAAATGGTCAGAGGTTGATCAGTCTGTGAAAATCCTCAAGTAAAAATTGGAAATACTTTCATACCATGTTATATAAAGTTCATAATATCATCAAAAGGTTTTAAGGATCTGGAGAAATCTCTGAGCTGAAAGTTAGTTTTTGATGCCTGTGATCTTTGGGCCCTCAGGGACCACTGCACTGAAAACAGATCTGATTGAGTTGTTAATGGCACTGCATGGGATCAGGAAAACTTCCACAAATCACTCAAATCACTTCAACGCGACACCCACAAATGCAGATCAAAGCTCTCTCCTGCAAAGAAGGAGCCATATGTGAGCACCGTCCAGAACCAAAACTTTTTAAAATGTTATCAGCACACAGTTCAAAATCCTGCTTCTCTGATGGTATGGGGGTACATAAGTACCTTAGGAATAAGCGGCTTATAGAACAGCAAAGGAGCCACCAAGAGAACTTAAACATGTTTCAGAACATATAAAAAAGCTATCAAAGACCCAGCACTGTTGAACAGCTATGATCCTCTGCCAGACAAGAATGGGACAACATTTCTCTTCAAAAGCTCCAACAAATGGCCTCCTCAGCTCCTACAGACTGTTGTTAAATGGAGAGACGATGCTCCATAATGGGAACATGGTCCTGGAACAACTTTTTCAGAACTGGGATTGGAGTTTTATTCTTTCATGAGAGACCTCCAACCTGCTTTTGGGATGGCTTGGAAGTAAGCTTTAAAGACAGCTCCATCTCTCTGTCTGCTGAAGGAGAAGGTGACCAGCATCACATTTCCAGAGGATGTCAGCTTCATGACTGGAGACGAGCCTGAAACAGGCAGCCCACACCACCTGAAACATACACCTGAATATTTAACGCGAGTGGGTTTTACAGACGAAGAAATCGTGCCATGAAATGTTTTCAACCTCGCAATGATCTTGTTCTGTAATGGAAGTAAGAAGTCGTAGGCTGAGAGCTTGTGAGCAGCACAGCTCCCTGGGGTGGCACCATGAAGGGTGAGGACAACCAGTCGAACGACGTGACCCGAGGGCACACGGAGACGCCACTGGTAGTATGGCTTCTTTGGATTCACAAGACTCAGGGTGCGGTTGTTTCCATATTTGGCGTAAAGGTCAAAGGACATTGCTAAACAGAGAAAATACCATATTATCAAGATTAAACCAAACATACAAAGATGAAGGTAGAGGTTTTCAACTCTTCCAAGATAAAATAAGATAAGATAGAACTTTATATTATCCTAGAAGAGTTGAAAACCTCGGCCTTCATCTACTGCCAACTCAGATGAGCACTCCCCTCACCTTGAAATCCAAGCTGCCATTTCCCACCTTGAATACTATTCTGATTTTTCATTTTGTCCGTTCTATCTTCTGACTGAGAATCATCTGTGTCCAAGCCTTCAAAACACACAGAGCGAACGTGAAATCACTCAAATACACAAGGTCTGCATGAGTTCAAACAGCAGAAGCCTCTACCCAGCAGGTGGAGCATCTCATTGTCTTGCTCCATGTAGTAGCGTTGCTCGTTCCGACTGTCCCGCTGCACCTTGTGGCTGCCAGGGAGCCTGCGCTGCAACCTCTCTGGACTGTACCTCTGAATTTCCATGGCAACATCATGAGGAGCAGAGAATTTACTCCAGTAGAAAACACTGAGGCCCTCTTCTCCTTCACTGCAACACAAACATATTGATTATGTGTGTGTGCGGCTGAGAAAGCTGTCATTAAGAAAATTGTATATTTTTTGTTTTGCCAACCTGAAGGCAGTAATTCCTGAGCGCAGGTAGTAAGAACTCCACGGGGTGGACTCGTACAGATTTGAGAACTGTTTTTTTGAAAACGAGCAGGAAAAAAACAAACAAGTGAGAACAATTGAGATAATTTTTCATATTTAGCTGACATAACGTTTTGCAGGTATAATAAAAGAACAGTTAAGAGGCTTTGAAGTCTGTAAAAAGGTTGTGAACAATTGTACCTCTTTGATCTGCCTTAATTTGGAGTTTAGTTCCAAACAGAATGATGAGCTAACAACTGCTGCCATCCTAAAACAACCTCCAATCAAAACTGTTTGATAGTGGATCATGCAAACACTATGTTTTAAACGTTTGCAACATTGTTATTGTCATATTATGTGGTTATTCTGGCAGAAATAACGTGAAATTCCTGCAGGAAGTACTGTATTTGCCACCGTATAAGTCGCATCAGTCCAAATATGTGTAATAAAGTAGAAAAAATATATAAATACGTCGCTTCGTCATATAAGTCGCATCTATTATGCGCCACCAATGATGCGTCGTGCTTGTTGTGCGTCACTGCTGACAACCCGGAAATGTGGGCCGGTGTTGTGCCAAACATCGATTAGCTGCCAAATGGCGGCTGCGGGAGTGTGCACAGGAGGACCCTAACAAGAATTTAACTAGATTAACACAAAAACAATTGTTTGCTCGAAATTATAACAAAGGTGTGTCTTAGTTGAACTTTTCCTTAATAAAAGGGCTTTAACGATCAAATCAGCTGCATTTCAAAAATCAATTTGAGGCTGTGGGAGTGCGCAGAGGGAGGACTCGCTGTGCATTTCGTTGAAATTTAACAAGATAACCGCCTAAAAACAATTATTTGTTTGCTCGACATTATAGTAAAGGTGTGTCTCAGTTGAACTTTTCCTTAATAAATGCACTTTAATGGTCAAACCAGCTGCATTTCACCTGGGCGGCGCGGCGAAATGCAGCTGATTTGACGTTTGCTCCAGGAGTTCTGGAGCGAGACGAAGGTGGCTTAGTATGGCAAGCCAAGTGTCTCATTAATATCCACTTTTACCTATTAATGAGACATTTTTTTCATTCAACCTTTATTTAGACAGGTAATCCCATTGAGCCTCGAGGACTCATTTACAAGAGAGACCTGATTTCAACAAAGAAATATGACAACAATGGACAACAGCAACAACAATAAACAATTATAAAAAGTCATACTGCAGTTTTTTTTTTTTTTTTTACAAATAGGATGGCTAAAAGAAAAAGGAAACAAAAAAAACAACAAAAAAAACCCAGCTAGATTCTAAGGCGAATGTAGAAAACTAAAAACAGGAACATGTCTGCGTTGGTCCCTGCCAAGAGTCCAACAGATTCTTAAAGACACTTAGAGAGGTCAAGGTCAAGAGCTTCAAATCTTTTTGTAAGATATTCCAGGAAACAGGAGCGGAGTAGGAGAAGGCCCTTTTGCCTAGTTCAGTCCTCATTGAGGGAACACTGCAGGTAATAATGTCCTGAGAGCGCACGCCATAGCTGCACTCACGCAGAGACAAGTAGGAGGAGATGTATGAAGGCAGCAGACCAAGAAGTGATTTAAAGACGAAAATGTACCAGTGAGAGAGTCTGCGTGAAGTTAATGATGTCCAGCCAACCAGTGAATACAGGGTGCAGTGGTGGGTACGATAATCACAGCCAGTTATGAATCTTAGTGCACCATGATAGACTGCATCCAACATCTGCAGGGTTCTTGTAGGAGCGTTCATGTAAATAACGTCACCGTAATCAATGGAGGGAAGGAAAGTCACAGATACAAGGCGTTTTCTAGCATTCAGAGTTAGACAGGATCTGTTTCTGAAAAAGAAACCCAGTTTAACTTTCAGTTTCTTTACCAAGTTTTCCACATGGAGCTTAAAAGAAAGATGTGAGTCGACCAAGATACCCAAATATTTATAGGAATCAACAAACTCAATGGGGACACCATTTGAGGATAAAATCGAGGAAGAACTGCTGGGACCAACTTCCTATTTGAAAAAAGCATCCCTTTGGTTTTGTCAGCATTTAGGACAAGTTTGAGGTGAACAAATCTGTGTCTGGATGATGTTAAATGCAGATTTCAAAAGCTGGAAAGCCTTAGCAACAGTTTTAGCTTGACAATAAACAACTGTGTCATCAGCATAGAAATGTATGGATGCATTAGGGATGTTTTTACCTACATTATGTATGTAGATTGTAAAGAGGGTGGGTCCTAAGACTGAGCCTTGTGATACACCATTGTTGACTGTTAAATAACTGGAGGAAGTACCATTAGGTTGAACACATTGCCTCCGGTCTGAAAGATAGTTAGAGAACCAACCAATAGTGTGTTCTGAGAAACCAATTTCTGAGAGTTTATGACACAAGATGTTATGATCCACAGTGTCAGAAGCTTTAGACAGGTCTAAGAAAAGTGCAGCACAATAATCCTTAGCATCCAGTGCTTCAACAATGTCATTAAGAACCTTCAGTGAAGCAGTGGTTGTGCTGTGTTGTTTCCTGAAACCAGATGGATGGGGAGGTAAGATGTTAAATGAGTCCAGGTTTATTTGGCTTGCCATCTTAGTTGAGGGCCCTCTAGTGGCTGAAAATGGTAGTGTTCAATATTTTCCATGTCAGAATGAATGAAATCGTCAGATCTCAGCCAAAAATTGGGTTATAAATATGGAGACAAAAACATAAATACGTCGCTTGCTGTATAAGTCACAGGCATGCTAATTTATGCAAAAAACTGCGACATATGCAGTGAAAAATACGGTACTCATTGCTGCACTGAATTGAGACATCTAGCTGCTCCTACAACTCTTTGCACTTGCAAATAACCATGCAGTTTTTATGTAAATTACTCTGTTATGCAAAATTTCAAGTGATGTAAAGGTTTATGTGACAACATTTGCATGTACTGCTAGTAAATGTTTATTTGCAACAGGCAAGACATTAACTGTTCATAACCTGTCCACAGAATCTCACATGAAACATCAGGATGATGGCTTTAAACTACATCAGAGAATGGGAATTCCTTTCTATCATCATGACCTTTTGCTCCAGAAATCCTCCTCTGTTCTCTCGTTTTTATCTCCATCCTTCTGTCATCCCATCTTGCCCTACTACCCCGTCACTGAGGGCAGGTTTTCCTGCTCTCTGCAGCACACATATAGTGGTTGATTGTGTGAAAGGCACACAGACAATGTTTTTATTGAAGGTCTGCTCTTCCTCTCACTCTTGCTGCTGGGTCCTAGCAAGCCTCACAAATGCCGGGCTTGTCCTCGGCCCTGAAAGGATCCTGTCCCTGGGGGTCCTGGGCGACTCACATACACACACACTATGTACAGCTCCTGTTTCAGCTTTACATTTAACACCGCTAGAGAAACACACAGATAGGGGCAAGAAGGAGGCAGAGAAGTGCACAAAAAAAGAAAGAGAAAGGAGGATAGAGCAGATAAGAGGAGAGCATCAAATAAGAATGCAAGTGCAGAAAAAAAGAAGGGCAGCAATGAAAACCTCAGCAGAATGGTGTAAAGAAGCACATCAGCGTTAGAGCAGAAAGATCCACTTTGACCCGGGAGTAGGGAGGTCATGGATCACTCTAATATGTCACCCAGAGAGGATGTATAGTGACAGAGTCCCACCTACATAATGGTTTAAAGCCTGGGCCTGCAGGCGGAACTGTGGGAAGGTGGAGTCAGCCAGCTCTGAGGAGAAGCTCAAGTTTGGGAACTCCACGCTGCCTCCGAGGAAGAACACTGAACAAGGCGGAGCTGCGTGGGGAAAGGAGAGATTTGAGACACTGTGGAACTTCGAGTAAAAAACACTTGAGAGGTACTGGAGCTCTGCGAGAAATCATAAATCCCCCTCCTCTGGAGCAGGTCTGCACTCACGTGTTAAGTAGTGAAGAGTCAGTGCAATGGCAGCAGTGAAGGGAAAGAAAGGCAGGAGACCCAGCATCCATCTCCTCCACGAAGAACAGGAGGAAGCCTGCAGCCCCTCCACCTTTTGGTCCTCGGGCTTCATGGAGGGGCTCAGTGACCAGGTGGGCTCCCTTAACTCCCCATCTCCCTTTCAGAGACAAAGACACAACTCAAATAAAGGTCTGGAATTCTTTAAAGGAATGCATATCACCCACCGCCTTCAATGCCCGAGTTTTTAACTAAAATCATCTTGCATAGAGGAACAACTCAGAGTGGCTTGGGTTAAACCTTGAAATTAACACTTACAACCTCATGCATAGAGGATAACCAAGTGATTTCTTTAAAAGTAGTTCAGTGGTTGATGCGATATTTTTCTAACAGACAGGCGTACAAAAACACAAACACGAGCAAAAACATTATTGCTCTGCCTCAGATCATAAATCTCACTCACGTTTTCAACGCCTGTTCTCTAGCTGTCGATTTCAACATGAGCACAACAGAGGGGCAGTAAATGAGATGCTTCCTCTGAGGCAAGAATCAATGAGGGATAGATTTTTATGGCCGAGCAGAGAGTGGTTTACTGACAGGACTGATGTACATCTTTCAGATCGAACCATCTCAAACATTAGAAGAATCTCTAGAGGAACTTGGCTGAAGGGGTCTGCTTTCCCACGACCTGCAGTGTCAGCATTCAGTCATCAGAGGCACATACCGCCGCAGATGGGTTTTTATAATCAACACGAGTCACTTTCATCCTCATTTTATTGAAAAATAATCCTAAAATTGAATTAAAATATTAAATTTAAGATTAAAAGAGAATAAAGACAAATACTGGCTTTTACGCACAATGAAAGGCACACAGTGATGACTTACCTGTGCTGCTGGACAGTGTCCACGCACGGAGACGCAGTACACCTCGCAGGTCTTGCTTCTGGGCAGAGTCCACATAGCACTGTCCCGTTTAGGTTTGGAGAGGCGATATGCAACAATAACTCTGGCATAGAAACGATGGAGAGAGAGGAAATCCCTGTGGTTGCTTCCTCTGACAAAAAAAGAAGGGGAAAAAAGGAGCAGGAGGGCATTCACCGCCTCCCGTTTTACCTGAACAGGTGTCACACGGAGCCCCAGAATGCAGTGCGGGGACAATGGGACCACTATGAAAGGGTACAATTCGCGCAACCATCTGTTGGACAGATATTTGTGGGCAAACTTGTTCAGTGTGCACGTGGGGCTTGGGGCTCTTTGAGGGGACAAAAGAGTGTTTGAGGGAAACGTGTGAGATTTTACAGATGGAGGGGTGCAGCTGGAGGAGAGAAAATTGCTGCAGATCTGATAGAGTTCACTGAAACACAATAAAACTGAAGGTATACCTCAAAAAGGGTTAGTTCAGATCTTTTGAAATGGGATTTTACAGGGGAAATGGTCAGTATCTTACCTGTTGCAGAAAGCCCTGTTGACCAAGATCTCAGTGAACCATTTTAGTCTTAAAACTACAATCTTAAATATTTAATGACAATTTATCCATCTCTTTCTGTCTCTCTCTGTCTGTCTCTCTCTGTCTGTCTCTCTCTCTCTGTCTGTCTCTCTCTGTATCTCTCTCTCTCTCTCTCTCTCTCTCTCTCTCTCTCATCTACCCATCTATCCATCCATCCATCCATCCATCCATCCTTCCATCCATCCTTCCATCCATCCTTCCATCCATCTTCTGCTTGTTTCAAAGTTAGGTTATCTGGGAAGCAGCTTAAGCAAGGAGGTTCAGACATTTCTTTCCACAGCCACCTCTTCCAGCTTTTCTGGGAGGATTCCAAGGCGTTCCGAGCCCAACTGAGAAACACTGTCTCTCGGCATGTACTGGGTCTTCCCTGAGGTCTCCTTCCAGTCAGACATGCCCAAAGCACCTCCCTAGGGAGGCGCCCAGGAAGCATCCTTACCAGATGCCCAGACCACCACAACTGTCTCCTCTTGATGTGGAGGAGCAGTGGTTCTACTCAGAGTCTCTCCCAGATAACAAAACATCATCCTATCTCTAAGGGAGAATTTAGCTACCCTGCAGAGGAAACATTTCAACTGCCTGTATCCACGGTCTCGTTCCTTTGGTCACTACACAGAGTTTGTGGCCATAAGTGTGTGTAGGAACACAGACTGACCGGTAAACAGAGAGCTTTGCCTTACAACTCTTTGCCACAATGTACTGCACAAAGTCCACAATACTGCAGATGCAGCACCATGGCCTCAGATTTGGAGGTGCTGATCCTCATCCCATCCGCTTCACACTCAGCTGTGAACTGCTCCAGTAAGAGCTGAAGATAACACCACGATGACGTCAACAGGACCACATCATCTGCAAAGAGCAGAGATGGAATCCTGAGGCCACCCAACTGGACTCTCTCCTCCTTCTGGCTACACAGAGAAATTCTGTCCATGAAAGTTATGAACAGAATTGGAGACAACGTGCAGCCCTGGCACAGTCCAACTCCCACCTTGAAGGGGTCTGACTTAGTGCCAGCAGTGCAAACCAGTATGCCAATCCAGTGGCACTGCCTCCAATGTCCACATGATGTTGTAAAGGAGTGTCAACCAAGACATCCCCACAACATCTAGAGGCTAGGAAATCAGGATGGATCTTGTCCATTCCCGGAGCTTTTTAAATACAGATCAACCCCAAAGTCTGCCAAGTCAGCATCTTCCATGGTGGATGCCCTGGTGAGATTGAGAAGGTCCGAGAAGTATCCTTTCTATCTCCTGACCACATCACTGGCCAAGATCAATAGCAAACCACCTTCATTGAACACAGTGTTATAAAATTGCTGCTTTTCCCTCCTCAGCCGCCTGATGGTTTTCCAGAATTTCCTCTATGCCAATCGAGAGTCTCTCCAAGACCTCACCAAAATCCTCCCACATCCAAGTTTTTGCTTCAGCAACAGCCAAGGCTGTGGTCCTCTTGGCCCTCCGATACTTCCTGCCTCCCTAGTCCCACCAGCCAACAAATCCTGATAGGACTCCTTCTTCAGCTTGACAGAAACCCTAACCAGGGGTATCCATCACCAAGATTGAGGATAGCCACCACAAAAGCACCAACAACCTTGCAGCAACTGCTCAAGGCAGCCACCTCAACATTTGAGGCATGGAACATGGCCCATTTAGACCCAATGTCTCCCGCCTCAGCTGGGATGTGGTTAGAGCTCTCCCAGAGGTGTGAGTTGAAGATCTTTCTGCCAGTCATTCTCAGCAAACCCTTACTACACATTTAGGCCTACAAGGTCTGTTCCAACATCTTCCCCACCATCTGATCCAACTCACTACCAGGTGGTGATCAATTGACAGCTCAGCTCCTCTGACTGTCCAAAACAAATGGACACAAATCAGATGACATGAATACAAAGTCAATCATTGATCTACGATCTACTATGTGCTGGTAGCAAATGCACTTATGGACACCCTTATGTTCGAACGTAGCGTTTTCGATGGACAAACCATGACTAGCACAGAAGTCCAACAACTGAACACTACTCAGGTTCAGATCAGAGAGGCCACTCTTCCCATTCATCCCCCTCCAGTTTCACACTGTCATTACCCACGTGGGCATTGAAGCCACCCAGCAGAATAAAGGAGTTCCCAGCTGGAGCACCTTTCAGCACCCCCACTAAGGACTCCAAGAAGGTTGGGTACTCTGAATTTCCATTTGTTATGTAGGAACAAACAACTGTCAGAGCCAGTCACCCTAACTGAAGACGTAGGGAAGCTACCCTCTCATTTACAGGGAAAAACTGCAACACACAGGCACAAAGATAGAGGGGGTGAGGGAGGGAGTCTAAACAGTAGACCCACACCAGCTCAGCATCTCACCATGGGAAAATCCAAAGTGGAATAAGGTCCAGACCCTCTCAAAAAGATTGTTCTGGAACCCATGCTGTGCATCGAGGTGAGCCCAACTATATCTAGTCTGTACCTCTCAACCTCATGCACAAGCTCAGGCTCCATCCCTGTTAGAGAGGTTACAGTCCATGTCCCAAGGGCCAGCTTTGGGATGCCAGGGTCAAAGTGCCAAGGGCCCTACCTTCAGCCACTGCCCATGGTGTCATACACCTGAATCATATGGCCCCTCCTGCAGGTGGTGGGCCCACAGGAAGCCAAACCCATGTTGCTTGTTAGGGCTGAGCCCGAACGGACTCTATTGGTAGAGATCCAGTCACTAGGTACTCACCGACGAGCCCCTCCCCCAGGCCTGGCTCCAGGGTGGGGCCCTGGAAACTCACGACCGGGCAAGGGACACTGAGCTCCTTGCTGTTTTCTGTCCATTTGTGTTTTTGGAATCACTCTTTGTCTGGCCTGTCACCTAGGACCAATCTGCCTTAAGAGACCCTACAATTGCCCCTGACAACATAGCTTCTGGGATCATCCAGGCACACAAACTCCTCCAACACGAGAAGGTGGTGATTGGAGAACTAACGGAAATGCTTATTTGTAAACTTGCTATTTCTAGTTCTTGTTCTAGGGTTCTAGTGAGGCTATGTGCTATTTTTGCATCAGACGGTTATTCCAGTAATTACCATGATATTCCTGCAAGAAGTACCCCAGGCTGCACAGGAAGTGCTAGCTACAGCTATTTACAGCACTTGAGAATACCCAAAGAATTAAATGTGAATATTCATTTAAAACATAATATCTGACAGAAAATCAAAACAAGACCAGCAATCCCACAGACGGGTTCCATTACAAGATTTAAACGCCTTCTTCCATGTAAACAAATGTAACATTGCGCTTGTTAAATATCTTGGGAAATAATTTTAAGGTACAGAGTTTTGATTTTTTTTTTAGCTCTTACCTTTCTACTGTATGTGCTCGTCTGAAATTTCCTAATACAGTTTGCACTCATTACTTGTTTAATGCTTAAATGAAAAGAAATGGGACACTATGATTGTGTGCTATGGAGTAGACAAGGCTTAAAGTTTCACAACACTACTGGGCAGACTCTGGTTCCAAAAATACAGCATGGTAGCACACACTTACAAAACCTTGAAGTTTTAATCCTCAATAATGGAAAATGGAGGGATGTTGTATTTACTTGATGGCTGTGGCTGAGTGGTAAGAGCAGTCCTCCTCCAATGTGAGAGTTGGGGGTTCAAATCCATCAGCAGTCACATGCTGAAGTGTCCCTGGGCAAGACACTGAACCCCTCATAGCCTCTGATGTGTGTCCCATCAGTGTATGAATATGATCTAAAGCTCTGATTAGTCTCTTTAGAATGATTTGTTCAATTATCTTTGTAGAGATCTAGTAGAGTGATGTTTGAATGGGTAAATGAGGCACAGATTGTAGTGTAAAGCGCTTTGAGTATCTTGAAATAAGATAGAAAGGCACTATTTAAGTACAGTCCATTTACCATTTAAATTCTTTTTAGGATTTATATTCAAAACAGCAGTCCACATTGGATTTGTCCTCACTCAGAGTAACCATTAGCTCATCAGTCTCGTCAGAATTCTGCTGTTTTTCTTCAAACTGAGATTTCCCAAATAGTTATTTACAAAATGGTAAAATATTGATTGTTAATAACTTTACCACAGAACTCACTTTAAAAGACCTGAACTATCCCTTTAACAATGGGGAGATATAGATCTGCTCAGGATATCAAGTCTCTAGTATTTGAATGTTTAAAAACACCGATAAAACAGACAAAAAGAATGCAGCGTGTAATAATAGATTATTTTAATACAGAATAATGGATGGATGTCATCATGTCAGCTGATATGGCTGTAGATCCAGGAGGTGAATTTGTTCACTCTGGTGTAAACTCCGGGTAAGTTTGGTCTGCCACAGCCGGACCCCCAGCTGACAATCCCGATCAGGAACCAACGACTCCCACCTGGAGCCTGACATGACAATGGACCTCCTGAATCCCCCTGATACAGAAAAGACACATAAAAAAACATCCACAAAGATACACGCCAGCTTGATATATACAGAAGGGGATGAGTTTCAGGAATGCTCACCCTACAGGCGTCTCGCTCTCCTGAAGGGACCCCGGCACATAGCATGCGTGGAGAGATGAGGCCATAAATCTTTTGACACTCGGTCTGAGTCATGACAGACACCTGTGCTTTTTGAAGAACTGAGGGCAAAATCTTATCTGCAGAAAGGTGAGACAATTATTAACTATTATATACTTAACTGAAAGCTCGAGAAAATCAGGCTGAAACGAACAGTGAATATAAAAAGGCTCTGATATAGTTTGCTTTTTTACAAGACAGTGGTGAAACCAGATATGTTGTGTGGTCTGGAGACAGTGGCACTGACAAAAAGACAGGAGGAAGGACTGGAAATGGCAGAGATGAAGATGTTGAGGTTCTTTTTAGGAGTGACAAGGATGGATAAGATTAGGAATGAGATCATCAGAGGTACAGCACAGGTTGAACAACAGCTGTCAGGAGAAAAACAGAGGAAAAACATGGATGCAGCTTGAGAGGACATGGAGGTAGTTGGAGTGAGAACAGAGTGAGATGGTGGAGGATGACTCGCTGTGGCGATCTCTAATGAGAGAAAAGCCAAAAAAAACAACATAATTTTCCGCAAAAATGCAGCCAGAATGTTCAGTGCTTAATGACTGGAGCTGAAATGGAGTTGTTAAAGCTAAAGAAAGCTACTGCTTTGCACCACAAATTGGCAATGACTGTTAAAAATTTGACCTCTTTAAGAGAGAGAAAAAAAAAATCTGTAAAACTTCAAATCCGAGTGGACAGTGGTATCTGCTCGCTGAAGTTCAAACTTATTTTGGTGAGAATAAAATACAGGCAAAAAACAAAATTAACAACATTACTAACCGTCCTCGGATCGGTACCCCCACCCTGTGACTATGCAACGGTGGCTCTCGGTGACAGTGTGGGAGGAGGATGGGAGACACACGGGCTGGACCAGCAGGCTGAGGGAGGGAGGCCAGGCCTTCTTCAGATGCAGCAGGGCTATGTCATAATCAAACGTGTACGCGTTGTAGTATTCGTGCACCACGATCCTCTGGATCTCCGCCACATATTTGGCACTGCCTTGCGTCAGCATGCCGAGGTGGGCGCTCCAGTACCGCGGGTCAGAGAGCCTGCAGGGTCAGATGGCAGAAGTCAGGTAATTACCAGATTTATTATTAGTAAAATAAGTATGTGATTAATTTTCTCAGCAATGAGTGTGGCTGACCTGTCTTTGTTGAAGCAGTGGGCGGCTGAGATGAGCCAATAAGGGGACAGGACCGAAGCACCGCAGTACAGGCTGCCAGCAAAGTGTAGGCTGACCTGCCAAGGCCACTCCCCTTCCACAGCATTAACTCCACCCACAACCCGCTGGAGGTCTGTAGATGAACCTGCTTTCTTTAGCGGGGTGGGGTGACCACATGCTGAGGGTGATGCAGAGAAAACAAGTAGTCTGGGACATTTTGTAATAAAGATCATAAAAAAACCATCAAGTTGCGTGTCGTAGAAGAATTAAAACCTGAGCCGACTCACCACAGTCGGCCTCGTCACTGTGGTCCTGACAGTCAGGAACATCATCACACTTTGCGTTCTTCTTCAGGATGCAGGATCCATTGCTGCACTGATACCTGATCGCGGAGCAGGTCGTTTCTGTCAAAGCATATTAGAGGTTAAAACTTAATAATCCCACTTTGAAATGCAGAAGAAAATGCATACCTTGAGTGCAGTTGATTTCATCTTCGCCACGGCTGCAGTCCTTCTCTCCATTGCACACAAGCAGAGGGTGTGGAGGACTGCTGCTCCCACAGTTCATTGTGGGCCTTGCTGTGAAGATGTGCAACATGCTTATTGTAGGACTTTTACTGTCAGTAGATCCAACCAATGCCTCTCAGGCTTACAATCCACACATTATGTAACTTATAAACCAATTTACAGCAGAACAGCTCATCACTCTCATCCTGGCAGTCATCCAGACCGTCGCAGAGTCGACTCCTCTCCACACAGAGCCCGGTGGTGCACAAGAAGTAGCTGTCTGGACAGGCTGATGAATGAAGTTTTAGGATGGGAGCGTAAAGCATAAAAACACTATTTTGGGTTTGATTTTATGAATGAGTCAGGTTCTTGCCCTGCCGTGCTTACGATGGCTGATGTTGTAACTGCTGTAGGAGGCCTGAAAAGGCTGAACAGAGTTAGGTGAAGTGCAGCGAAACTCCACCTCTGGGCTCTGGTGATCGACCCGAAACACCGTGTGGTACCCCACGTAGATGCCACAGAAACTGGGGAAGGAGAGTCGACGTCAATAAAACCATCAAATACTTCCAGGACGTTGTTGTTCGTTTTGTTCAGGGTGGATTTTCTGCAGCCACCTACATGTCCTCGTTCACTCGCCACCAGCCGTTGTTGCAGCCGTTCATGTCCTTTGATTTCAATGCATAGTTCTCAAAGTGAAGTGCAACTCCTAAACCTGGATTTGGAGTCTGCGTTACACAGAATATATACGTAAAAGAAGAGAAAAACTAACTAATAAATGTGTTTAAGTATGTAAAAGTCTTGACCTTGAACTTCCAGATACAGGAACACTTTGGGGGCAGCAGGCTGGGGTAGAAGGGGCTGTAGATTTGACCACCAGGCTGGGTCTCAATTTGAGACAAACATTCTGAAACAGATTTATTCATTCATTCAACCTTTATTTAAACAGATAAATCACATTGAGCATCAAAGACTCATTTACAAGTGAGACCTGTTTGGACAGACATAAACAGTGGCAAACTGGACACATGTAGGAATTGGAGGCGAAGAAAAAATCCTATCAGATTTTTTTTTCCTTAAAAAAAAGCTTTAGAAATACTTTCAGCTTGACTTAATTTTGTACAGATTACATCGTTGTTTTTTAATCTCTGATATTTAGGACAGGAATAATTATTTTACTGAAATGCTGGCAGCTTATCAAACTATTAAAGGGAACATGTAATGAAAACTACAACATTTTGTGCATTTTAGAGCACACGCTTGCACATTTTAAGTCATTACAAACTTAAAACAAACAGATTAGAGTAGACATTATGTTGGACAGCTCAAAGTATATTTTGTGGAGTACTATCTACTACCATCACGCCAAATTTTAGCTCAGTATGAAGAAGTTTGATGGACTTATAACCATTTTTGTGTTGGCTAAGGTCAACAAGCTGTGGTGGCCACCTTGAACCAGTTTGACTCCAGATGTTAACTAGGGAAATTGTATTTCCTGTGAAAATGCGGTGTGAATGCTTATTGCTGAAGAACTTGCTAAAAAACAGCTGAAATTAACAAAAAACTTTCTGAAATGTAGCTGAAATTAAAGAACGAGCCTAAGTTAGCAGAAGTAAGCAGAAAGAACACCATCCATCCATCCCTCCATTATCTTTACCCGTTTATTCCATTTTTGGGTCACGGGGGTCGCTGGTGCCCATGTCCAGCAATCACTGTGCGAGGGGCGGGGTACACCCTGGACGGGTCGCAAGTCCATCACAGGGACACATGGAGACAAACGAGACAAACAAACATTCACACTCACACCTAGGGACAATTTAGAGTTACCAATCAGCCTAACATACATGTTTTTGGTCTGTGGGAGGAAACCGGAGCACCCGGAGAAAACCCACGCATGCACGGAGAGAACATGCAAACTCCACCCAGAAAGGCCCCTGGACCGGGGTTTGAACCAAGGACCTTCTCGCTGAGAGGCAGCAGCTCTACCAGTTGCGCCACCATGCTGCCCCAGAAAGAACACATATTTGCTAAATTAGATTTAAATAAGCAGAAATGATCACAAAAATTGGGAAATTAGCTAAAAAAGCTGAAATTAGCTGAAAAGGCAGAAAGAAGCTTAAACTACCAGGAGGAAGTGGAAGGAGCTGAAATGACCTTAAAAAAGTGGAATTAGTTGAAAAAGTTAAATTTAGCACAAAACAGCTAAAAAGTATCTGAAATAACAGAAAAAGCTGAAACTAGCAGAAAAAGATGAAAGGAGCCAAAATTAACAGAAAGAAGTTAATTAGGCCGAAAGTAGCAGAAATTACCAAAAATAACTAAAATTTATCTGAAACCAGCTGAAATTAGTTGAAAAATGCTTAAAAAAAGGTAGCTGAAAAGGTAGAACGAGCAGAAAAAAGCAGATAAAACAAGCAGATAAAACAAGCAGATAAAACAAGCGTTTACCCAATTAGACTGAAAGAAACAGAAATGAGAACTAAAAAGTGGATATTATCTGAAAAATGCTTAAATTAGCAACAAGGAGTTGAAAAGTAGCTAAACATTTCTAAACAAAGCTTAAATTGCCAGTAGGAAGTGGAGAGAGCACATTTTTGCTGAACTAGACTGAAAAATATTGAAATAAATGCAAAAAAAATATGGAATTAGCTGCAAAAATAAAATTTGCATATTAGCAGCTAAATAGTAGCTGAAATAGCAGAAAAAGCTGAAACTTGCAGAAATAAGCTGAAAGGAGCATAACAAGCTGAAATTAGCAGAAAAAAAAAGTTAAAAGAAGCCTAAAAATGTTTTAGTTAGCAGAATCTAAAAGGAGCACAAAACAGCTGAAAGTAGCTGATTAAAAAAAATGCACAAGGAAGCTGAAAGAAGCTGAAGCAGAACAAAATGTGAAAGGAGCAGTAAAAGGTTGTAAACAGATCTGAAGATTTGAAGGATGAAAAATGAGCTCAGTTCATTTTCTATGAGGAAAAAAAATGGCAGAAAAGGCTAAATATTTCAAAAAGCTAAAGCTGCACCAATACCAAAAGTCAATGCACCCTTCTCCTGAATGAGCTGAACGTTTTGATATGACTTGTTCCTTAGACTTTACTAATTGGCTTTTATGTATGTGAATGCTCCTGTAAAGTGCCCTGAGACAACTTTGTTGTGATTTGGCGCTATATAAATAAACTGAATTGAACTTGTTGAAATAGCACAAAAATTGTGGAACGAGAAAGATGCTGAAAAACGTATGGAACAAAAATGGATCACAGTTGTGTGAATGCTTCATAAACATTCACACAACGAGTTGCAGATGTGCATCCAAAGTTCATTAACACTTCTGATGAATATATCAACTTGCAACAAAAAGACACAAGGAGTCTGATTATGACCTGGACTCTTTGACATTAAGGAAATGAAAATGTGTCTTACTCTCTTCAGCGATGGCCTCAAAGTACCCTTTGAAGCTCTTGTTGTCACTCATTCTGAAGGACAGCAACATGACGTTGGAGGTGGAGACAACGGAGAAGGAGCTGGACACTCGCTCACACAGGCTGCCACACACAGACACTTCAGTTCACCTTCAGAGCTGCTGCTTTGGTTTACATCTGTAGCACATCAAAGGTGTTTATTTTCATCCCAGAAGTGAGGCTCACCTGTGCAGAATGCGCCCTCTCATGGGCAGCAGAGCGTCGTACACCACCACGGCATCGCTCACACAGTCAGTGGGATCGATGAGAAATGAGGAGACAGTCAGGCGGATCAGAGAGAAAGGCGCAGAGGTCAGCTTCACATGGCAGTTCACACCACCCCAAGATGAGTAGACATTCAGAGGAACGCTGACCCCAGGAATGTTGGCGTACAGTTTATCTACACACTGCGAGTCTAAAAGATTAAAATGCAAAGTTTAGGACATGGCAAAGAGTACAACTTACTCACCTCACACAGGCGTCCTTAAACCTACCTTCTGTGTTCGATGTGTAATCTGAACGCTGAACAACTGCAGAGCAGATTATTTCATTAGAACTACAGCCACAAACAGACTTCTGAACGTAAGCCCCGCTCACAAACGCACCGTTGATGAGGATGGAGTCCATGTCCACAGGAAGGCCCAGCAGGTAGCCAACAGACGACCTGTTCTGCAGACTTGTGTGCACCGAGTTCCTGAGAATGGCCTCTATCATTTCCTCAGACATCGTTGCGCTCTTCACCTGGGGGACAACGAACACCATCCAGAAATGCACCAGCACGCCGCCCTGATCGTTGTTACTTAGGGGGTGAAAGCAACGGGGAGAAGCAAAACCTGTAAACATCAGCTGGGTCTCTTCACGGTTCATGACGATGATGATGATGATGATGAGCCATCTGTACCTGAGGTCTGAAATGACGGCTTGCTTGTAGAGTTGGGCCACGGAGGACGTCTTGTACACACTGCTCACCTACAAGACACCAGCGATTACAACATACTCCCTCACCTCAGTGTCAGGGTTACACTGATACACACCACGTGTTGTATATTGGTTGCCATGAAGACAAACTCATGGGACTCTGCCTGGCGGTATTCTGGGATGAACTCCACATTGGCAACCCGAAACATCCCGGCGAAATAGACTCCGCCGTAGCTTTCCCTGCGGACTGAGGTCAACCAATCATATCAGGTCATGTAAAAAACATATTTACTTATGTTGAGCACTTTGCACAAGATCCAAGCAAAAAGGGAAAATAATCTAAAGCAAATCAGTATTTGATGCGACAAAGTAAGGGATTGCACAAAATTATGTTTAGGTTTTTAATCAACTTTCCACACGTTTTGTGCTATTTCAACACATCATACATCAAAACGTTCAGCTCGTTCAGGAGAAGGGTGCTATGACTTTTGGTATTGGTGCAACTTTAGCTTTTTGAAATATTTAGCCTTTTCTGACTTTTTCCCCCAAATATAAAATGAATTGAGCTCATTTTAGATCCTTCAAATCTTTAGATCTGTTTCAACATTTTACTGCTCTTTTCACATTTTGTTCTGGTGCAGCTTCTTTCAACTTCCTCGTGCAAATTTAAACTTTTTCAGCTACTTGCAGTTTTTTCAGCTGTTTTCTGCTCCTTTCAAATTCTTCCTGCTAACTACAACATTTTTGTGCTTCTTCTAACTTCTTTCTGCTAATTTAAGTGTTTTATGCTCCTTTCAGCTTATTCCTACAAGTCTCAGCTTTTTCCTGCTATTTCAGCTACTATTAAGCAGTTTTATGCTAATTTTAGCCTTTTCAGCTAATTCCACAATTTTTGCACTCATTTCAAACATTTTCAGCCTAATTCAGAATATCGTGTTCTTCCACCACTTCCTTCTGGTAATTTAAGCTTCTTTCTGCCTTTTTAGCAAATTTTAAGCTGATGTTTTTTTGTTTTTTTTGCTAATTTCAGCTTTTTCAAATAATTTGCACTTTGTTTGTGCTCATTTCTGCTTCTTTCAGTCTAATTAGGTGAACATGTATTATTTCTGCTTTTTTCTGCTAATTTAAGTTTGTTCTAACTTTTCGGCTATGCTTTTAGCATTTCTTAGCTAATTTCAGCTATTTTCAGATAAATTCACGTTTTTCATGGTAATCTCTGCTACTTTCAGCCTAATTAACTTATTAATTTATGCTCATTTCAGCTTGTTACGCTTGTTTCAGCATTTTCTGCAATTTCAGCTACTATTTAGCTATTTTTTTTGCTAATTTTAACATTTTCAGCTAATTCCACATTTTTGGAGCTCGTTTCAGATCGTTCCTCTTCATTTTAGTAGTTTAAGCTTTTCAGCTACTTTTCAGCTATTTTGCTAATTTCAGCTTTTTTTAAGCTAATTTCCTAATTTTTGTACTCATTTCCGATTATTTAAATCTAATCCAGCAAATATGTGCTTTTTCTGCTTTCTTCTGCTAAAGTAGGCTTAGTCTTCCATTTCAGCTACATTTCAGCTAGAAGAAATGTCCAGGCCCAGTTACATCTCTCTGTTGTCTGAAGATATTTGCCCAGAAGTGGTCTTGAGGGAAGACTTGTAAAGAAAAAGTCCAATCTCAACCGTTAAAACGAAGTCTAGATGACTCAACCGTGTGCAAAAACACAAGCACTGAGCCGTTTAACAAAGTTTTCTGAACTGATGAGTCATAAAAATTGATTTGTATCAGCAAAATATCGTTTGTTCACTGGAGAGCTGCAGAGCAACACAATCACGAGTGCAGGCAGCTGTGACACACGGCCAGGGTTCCTTGTAAGCTTAGATTTAGTCCAGATTAACAATGTTCTCAAGCAGATGCTTAACCATTACGCAATGACATCAGGAAGACGTCAAATTGGTTCTCAAGTTATTCTGTGGCAGGACCACAACCACAAACATGCAGCTAATATTAAGAACCATCTTCGGCAAATAGAACGATTAGTCCTGGAAGTGGTGTGACCCCCACAGAGATCTCCAAACAGATGGATTTGAGCCAAACATCCACAGAAGGTTAAAAGATGATCACACTAAATACTGATTTGATGTATAAACTGTTTTTTTTTTTGTAAGACTTAGGATCTTTTACTTACTGATAAAGACCCAGAGCAGCGACCATATGATGACCACCAACACAAACACGACCGCCGTGACGATGACGGTGATGTGCGGGATGTTCAGCAGATAGGCCAGCAGCCTCTTGAGTCCTTTGGGTCTCCGTCTGCTCTTCCTGTACATCCTACGCAGCATCCGCAGGGTGTGATCCACAGTGGCCACCTCCACGGACACATCTGCAAGCTTTACAACCAGCAGGAGGGGGTTTATTCTACACAATGGTCAGTCCCAAGGTTCTGGTTAAACTCCCAGTAATTTGTTGCTGCATGATGTACGCTTGAGAATGGTTTAATGTGATGCATCATGACGAGGGATATCTGAAAGCAATACTATCTCTATCAGATGCAACACTCAGCAGTCATTAAGTTACACCAGCGCACATGTATTATTCATCCAGTGTCATCCCATACTGTGCAGTTGGCACCCAATCCATCACATGTTAGCAGCATAAACGTTCTCAGAGAGAGAATAAAGTTGTTTTTTTTTTTACACATATTTGTTAAAGCCACAAATATAGATTTCTTAGAACACGCATCACTATGAAAAATGCTACTTAATGTGGATTTATACATTGCTGCCCCTTTTATTTACAAATTACAAAGGATTACAAATTAAATTAGTTTTCAGAGAATCAAATGAAAATGAACTGCAGATTTAAAAAGTTTTTTTTTTTATGAATATGAGAAAGATATTGAGACTTTAATGCGCTCATTAATTTAGTGTGAATTGACTGTCATGGTTTCTAAAGAAGATTTGAATTATTTTAAGCCAAACATGTCTTTTGGTTGAAAATCTGTATTTCTTCCACATAATTTTCTTAAAATGCACAGAAATAGTTTTACAAAGTTGCTGTAACCCCATAAAAATATATATATTTGAAGACTTTACATGCAATAATCCCAATTGGATCTGGCCCATTACAAAACCCTTATTGGGGAAAGTTGATTTACTGAAATTAGACCCAAATTTGCTTATTTGTAAAGAAATGTGGTCTTAAATCAATCAACACTTCTTTGCAGTGCATTTCAAAAAGAGTAAAACATCTGGAGTTGATTCCATGTGTGGCATTCGTTCAGCTAATCCATCAAACAGCAGGAAAATGAGGAGGGCCTCTCAAACGTTGGTGCATTCTGAGGAGAAAAAAAGACGAGAAATACAAAACAGGCAGAAAGCAGCGTTGGTGTTTGATCCCTCAACAACAACCATCATGGGTGTCCAAACATTTTCATAGGTGGCGCAGAACTGTCTAAATCTGAATTTAAGAAAATGTTTTTTTTTCTCTCCTCATTTTTAACAACTTGAATAATAGTTTGAAGAAAGGCTAAAAGTTTAAATTCTTGTAGATCCAGAACATTATGAGCCTCATAAACATGAACGTTGTTTTTTTTCCCTTTATTAATCAATTTATTGGATTTTTTGGGGGGACTATTTTTTTTTTCTTGTGCTTTGAAAGTTCATTTTCATTTACTGTCATAGGCAAAAGTCTAAAATGCGTAACTGTTCTTTTTTAAAAGGGGGTGGATCTTCAGTCCCCCATTTGGACCATGGACGGCCCAAATGGGTCAGGGTTAGGGTAACCCTAACAGATCCATAGAAGGTTTGAAGGGACACTGTTGATCAACTTGTACGTCGATGATACTTTAGATTCTTTTTAAAATGTCAAATTTCTCCCCATCGATTATTAACTCAACTGAAATTATTTTCTTTGAAAACACTTGTTATATTTAACCAATTTTTATGATTTATCATCCAAAATTCTACTGTTTGGTAAGTCAGTGAAGGTTTGTTGTAGGATAAAGGAATTATAGCTAAATTTTTGTATTGTAAATTTCACCCATTTTGAGAAGACTATTTTAATCTTTTTTGCTGTTAAACCTAAAAATTACATTTAAAACGCATCACCATTAAATCTAAAGGTCTACATCTGCATCAACCTCTTAAGCCTGTGGGTCAAAATTATACCATTCTTTAAGTGCAGTCGAGGGCCGCACTTTGGACACTTCTGATCTAATGCTATCCAGGAGACAAACAGCAAAACCCAGGGTGTAAACCGTTAAGAATATTCAAGCACAAAACAAACAAATGCATCAGAGAAAGTCAAAAACTGTGGGATGATTGGAAAGATTCACAAACCATACTGTCCCTGCAGTGGAATGTGCATTCATGGAGGTAAATGACGTGCACAAATGAAAAGCTCATTAGATGGTGCGTCACAATGCAGAGAATGACCAAAAACATAAAAGTGAGAATCTCTGGAGCTCCTGGAGGTAAAGAGGTCGACTATTCTCCAGCGACTGGAGCGGTTTTCTGATTTTATCTGGACCAAAACTAGATTCAACTTACTACTAAAGAAAAGAAGAACAAAAACTTTATTTTGTTGACAACAAAAAGGTTTAACTTCAAAAGTCGCTGCTTTTAAAGGATTAAACTGAGCAATAAAATTAATTTGAACGGGAATTCCCCATTCAAAGAGCTCATTATACACTTTAAGGCTGTATTTGTTCTAAACAATTATCTTACTTACACTTGCAGAGTCTTGTTGAGGCGGTGCATGCTCGGTCTCCTCCTGCTTTGTGCCCATGACATAGAAATCCCATCAAGCCGTCATAATCATCATCGTCAAACTGCTAACTTTTGCCTTTTCAGCTCCATTCTCTATGCACTCGAGCTCGCTTTGACATAAAGAGCAGCAAACAAGCGTTGAGCCCCACATAACGCTGTGCGGATCCTCGGTCTACAGGTGTCTGAAATCAGATCCTGCGGCAACAGATGAGCAGCCGAGAACCCGACAACCTCCAGACCCACAGCTAAGGTTTCATTCATTACCTTCCATCACGACGTTGGACCAAATCCTCCATATTTGTCAGCCACACAAGTTAAACTGAGCTAACGCATTCATTTTAAAGAAACATGCTCCTGATTACACTTGTTTTATTTACAGTTAAATGGGTTGAGAATGTGCAGTTACGTTACTCTCTGACCTTTTTGTGCTCAGAGTTGACGGCAAAAAAAAGGGCCCAGCCTTCATGAAACAAACTAAAAAGTAAAAGCAGTATATCTTTCTTATTATTAAAAAAACAGAAAAATTAAAATAAGTTTTTTTTTTTTAATAAGCAGCATTTTTAACAAATAAAAAAAAACGAATAAACAGTATTTTTAACACTTTTCTAATGCCCCTTTTAAAGCACAGGCACTTGAAATTTCAACTTGTAACAAAAAAATAAAAACACACAGAGGCACAGAACAAAATCTTAACAGTGCATACACTAAAAAAAAGTGTTTTTGAGACTTCAGGACATTTTAAATATGCTTTGAATGTGCAGAGAAAGAGGGAAAATAAAATTAAAGAGTCATTTTCTGAAGAAGGCGTTGCGGGTGATGCTGTACAGCAGGTGGTAAGGCTTTCGTTTGGGGGGCTCGGCCAGGAAGAAGACCTGCTGCTGAGGCACGCTGGTTGGAATGTTGACGTGGCGCTGCTGGAGGGGCGTCAGGTTCTGGTGGTGTGGCGGGATGGAGCCAGAGTAACCCAAAGCTAAACGTAAAAACATAGTTAAATATGAATTAAAACTGAAAAACAGAACAAACAAAAAAAATCAACAAAGTCCATGCTCAATAATCCAGGTACACAAGAACAAGAAAATATTTTCCTACCTTTGATCTTCCCGTGTTTAGGCCTTCTGGCCTTAAAAATGGCCTGTTTTCTTTGTTCCTCACTGATTTCCATTCCTGCAAACAACAGACGATACACAATCAACTCTAAATATCTGCTGGCACACAGATGACTCTATAAACGTGTCTCGGTGTTCGTTTGTCTGTTAGCAAAATATCTCACGAACCACTGGACAGATCTGAATGAAACTTGGAACGATACTTTTGCATATTTGACTAGGCCTGTCACGATAATAAATTTTGCTGGGCGATTAATTGTCTGAGAAATTATTGCGATAAACGATAATATTGTTTGAAATTTGACAATAATTAGTAATTAGTCAAATTTAAGAAGAAATGTTGGTTAATTTGTTTCGAGTATAGTACCTTTTTTTTAACCACTGGATGGCGGTATAAGACTGTTTGAACTGAAGGATGGATAGTGAGAGAGCGAGCAGTGTGTCTCTTTAAGAGAAATGGGAGGGAGGCACCTTGAAGACATGGGCTGTCTCTCTCTTTTCTTCGGCTCTTAAAATGGCGGACGCTCGATGTGATTTGAGCTATTTAGCGTAGCATTTTTCACACAAAGCTTTTAATTATAAAAAAAATCAGTAAACAAGTTCTCATCTTCTTTTTGCAGAGAAAAACAACTTTTTACATGAAAGCACGAGTTTCAACCGTGAATTTTGGAGCTTCGACAAGTTGGACATTTTTTCCCCCCCGAGGTCGGCCTGTTAGCTTAGCTCGTAGCTTAGTTTCTCAGCTTAGCTGCTTTTAGCGATTCAAAAATGCGATTTTGGACGATTAAAATGGATTTTAAAGAGAAAAGAGAAAGGGAGGGGAAGTGTCTTCAGTAGACGATAAGCCGATAAATGAAAATGAGGTTGATAATTTTCATTTATTGTGCGAGTAATTGCTTTATTGTTTATCGTGACAGGCCTATCTCTGACTTAACATTTACCATATTTTTCGGACTGTAAGGAACTTAAATCCTTTAATTTTCTCAAAAAATCAACAGTGAGCCTTATAATCCGGTGCTCCTTATGTATGAAAACAGACTCATTTATTGATATTGCACCTTATAATCCGAAAAATAGTATTAGCAATCCAATTCATGAGTGACCAGAGCAAATTGGTATTAGCATTCATGAAAACTGGCTCCCTCTCAGTCATTTTCATAAATATTCAGCTACATTTTGTGTGGTAGTAGCCGATAGTCATCCACTTGATATTCTTTGGGTGCCACAATCTAACTCGATATTGCATGAGATTGCTAATAACATAATTTAAAAGGTTTGACCCAAAACAACTTTTAGCTCCATCCAACTGGCTTGGGATAAAAATGCAGCAGATGATAAGCGCTGGTGTTGGATTCTGAGGAACTCACCCATCTCTTGGTCCTCTTTAACTCTGTCTCTCTCCTTAGCGAAGGCCTGTAACCACCTCTGCTTGTCCTGGACCTTCCTGCCGCACAGCATGCACACAAACTCCAGCGTGTCGGCATGGCGCAGCCGCAGAGCGTTCCTCAGAGTCAGGCCCAGATCCGAGTCCCACCCGTCAGGGACGTCTACCACTTCCACCTGATCCATATCCAGCCGGCCTCGATAGTGGAGCAAGTCTCTGCGCAGGACGTCTTTTTTGCAGTAGACCAGCTGGTGGTCAAACAGGAAGAAGCTGCGCTGCTGCATTTTACCTTGTCGGACGACTCGAGTCAGTTCACCGGAGTGGATCAGCTCCGAGCTGCGCTCCAGCACATCTGGACCCTGCAACATGTTCAGAGTTAAAACACTGAGAGATCTAATATGTATATCAAAACTAGCTGGTAGTCATTCTCACCTCCCAGTGCAAAATGGCCACCTGCCAGTGAGCGATGGTGTCGATGCTCTCCAGTCGTCTCTTCCTTTCATTAATTAAACTGGCCACATTCTTCATAGCTTCGTATGCTTTACTGACACCAGCGTGGTCACTGGAATCAAATGAGGCAACATGAACTTAAACGCAGACTAAAAATACACCCTATTAAAACAATTTCTCCACGAGGACATTTGGGTTGAACAGATTCTGTCAATTTTTGTACGTGGAAGTGCGGAAAGTTAACTGTTGTGCAGTCAGTGAATGTGATTTCTCTTGATTTACTGCTTCGCTCTGTGGCTGATCAAAGACTGAACGCCACATTTACAAACGTTACCCGCGATCACATATTTAACCTTGTGAGGTTTGCTTATAATTAGGATAAATCAATTAATCGCACGATAAATGAAAATTATTACCTCATTTTCATTTATTGGCTTTATCATTTCTTTGTGTCTCTCTTTCTACTGAAGACACTGGATGACAAAAGGTTCAACTCCGGTGCTCTTTCCCTTTCCCTTTCTCTTTAAAATCCTTGTCCAAAATCGTGTTTTTGGATCGTTAATAGCAGCTAAGTTGAGAAGCTAAGCTACGAGCTAAGATAACAGACCGACCTCGGGGAAAAAACTCTGTCTCGTCAAAGCTCCAAAATTCACGGTTGAAACCAGTGCCTTCGTATAAAAACTTGTTTGTTTTCTTTTTCTGCAAAAAGAAGCTGAGAACTTGTTTAATGATTTTTTAATTAAAAGCTTTGTGTTGTGAAAAAATGCTATGCTAAAGCGCTCAAACCACATTGAGCGTCCGCCATTTTGAGAACCAAAAAAAGGAAAGAGACAGACAGCCCATGTCACGTCAAGGGGCCTCCCTCCCATTTTCCTAAAGAGACACACTGCTCTCTCCCTCGCTATCCATCCTTCGGTTCAATATTATACTGACATCTGGTGGTAGAAAAAGGTACTACACTCAAAACAAATTCAACATTTCTTCTTAAATTTGACAATAATTATTAATTATTGTCAAATTTCAAACAATATTATTGTTTATCGCAATAATTTCTGAGACAATTAATCGCCCAGCAAAATTTGTCATCATGACAGGCCTACTTATGATGCAGCAAAAAAAGAAAATAGTTAGAACATTTATTTTAAAGATCCTCACCCATAACCTGTTAAACAACTTGGCTAAGATAATTTATTTATTTTAAACTCTTTGGGTACTGAAGGATGTTCCTAGAATCCTTCCGGAGCAAGTTTTGTGACGTAGCTGGTGGAAGCTATTGCCATCTGGGTGTGTTGTTGCCACGATGGGGGTGTTGTGTGTCTAAGTGCTGTTGGAAGAAGTGTGTACGAATTATAAAAATGCCAGGACTCAATTTTTCTCAGTACATCTTTCCATTGTGATCAAATTTATTGTTGCATTTAATGGGTTTGTAATGGGAAGGGGCATAAATACTGGCATGAAGATATTACCTGTGATCTTTGGGCGTGTACTTGAGCAGTTCACCCAGCTGTAAAGGGTATTTGCAGATCTTCTGAACAGGCGTAAGTAAGAAACCAGCGAGGGAAATGTCAATCATCTGCTGGAGGAGGCGACAGGCCTCAAAGAAGTGTTTATATTTCCCGATCTTCATGAGGCACTGCAGCTCGGCACAGGCAGCTGGATGAGTGTTACAGTATTCAGAGTAGACGGAAAAGCCCTCGCCCTGAAGAGAAACAGAGGAACGTTACAGAATATTCAAATTCACAACACTAAATTGGTTGAGATGTGAATTAAGCAATGTGGAGAACTTGAAGCCTAGCTACAACCTGCAGGAGAAAGCAGGAGCCTATTTCACTGAGGTGTGGCTGTTCTTTGTTGTACTTCTTCTCCAGGTCTTTGAGGAACTGCCTCTGGAACTTGTAGATGTCTTCTATGTTGCTAAAGATGGTCTTTAGCTGCAGCTCGGTGAACATGCCGGGATATTTCCGGCACTGACGGATGTAACCCTGAAACAAACAAATGTTTTATACACAGAAGAGCCAACAACAGTTTCAATACTGGCCAACAGGTGGGGCTGCAGAACGAAGGTAAATGGCTGCATCATAGATAAAGTTCACTGAAACATAGGCTTGCTTGTCTTAAAAGGGTTTAATACCTCGCAGATGTCTTTTAGGTGCTTGATGTAGATGCGCTCAGTGTTCATGATTTCCTGAACCACGTTGGTTCTCATCTGCTCCCTGTGCTGCGTAGCATGCATGTCCTGAGGAGCTGGATCTTTCTGGTCTGCTACGCTCTCCACACTCTCAGCACCCGAGTCCTCCTGGTTCACACGCACCTGAAACACATCCAACCACAAACAAGTCTCACACATAAGATTAGCTTTAAGAAAAAGTTATGTATGTATGTATTCACATATCAAGGAGCAATGTGAGGGAAAAAAACTACTTTTACATAAAAATACACAACTTCACATCACTATGGCAACATGTGCAAACTTAAGTCATCTACACTGATTCAGCAACAAGCAATTACACAGCAGACGGCCATCTGCCAATCAACTAAGCTCACCATGGTTACCGCAGCCTGACTAATTAAGACCCAACTGTCGATCAATTCCTTCACCACAGAAACCAGCTGAGCTCTGAGCCCTTCAGTGCACCATTCAGGGGTTTGTTTGGGGGTCTAAGCCAGTTCTTTTCAGTGCTGCTGGAGAGCAAATGTGTACAAGGAACACGGGTCAGAAAGTCCACTTACTCTCACAAAGCTGGAGGGGAACCAGCCTTCCTTGTCAGCCCCCCTGCCCCACCACCATTCCTTATGTGAGGCGTCCAGGACACGGATAACATCTCCAGCCTTGAAGGAAAGCTCCTGCTCCTCCATGGACAAATGATCCCAGAGAGGCTCAGCGTACACCGCCTGGCCGGAGCTTATCCACTGAGCCGCACACACCCAGATGAGAAACATACAAACACACGGAGGATAAGTCTTTGTCTATCATGGAAGATTTTGTTTAGACATGTGCATGCAGCAGCCAAACATTTTAAAAACGTTTTCATATGCTCGTTTTGGAGATGAGCTGGAAGCACGAGTACAACTCAGGATTTTCTCCTCAGCCTCACCTCGTTGAGAACAGAGAGGTCCACCCCTGGCTGCAGGTAGGGCGTGACATCAGAGAGCTCATCAAAGCTGCTCTCCTCCTCCTCGCTCACGCTGTCGTCGAGTGTGGCCCCGCGCTCCGACACACCATCTGCAACGCAGATTACGAAACTCAAAACAAGCAGTTGTTGACATTCTTCTGCCCCCCCACCCCATGTTCCCAGAGGAAAATCTGTCAAATCTGGCGCGCAAGTCCCGTTCTCACCGCTGAGCACTCTGTGGAGTTTCCGCCGCCCCACGCGGTCCAGTCCGATGGGGGTGCTCTGGGAAAGAACGGAGGGGCGAAACCTGGCAGAAACTCCTTTGTAGGGGGGCACCTGATGGGAGGGGATGGGCGGTCGTGATAAAGGCTGTAATAATGAGAAAAAAAATGCTGGAATTAACAAAAAGTTTTCTCTCTTGTTTTCACCAGCTACCTGATGAATCGGTTACACAGAAATAACAGCTGTGACGTCTCGACAGTTTGCATTCCTACCTCGGTTACTTTGAGATTCTCATCTGTTTTGTTACAATACTTTAGGAGACATTTATCATAAACGGAGGTGACAGAAAATGAGAAGCAGATGGAGAAAAGGGTTCACCCCTAAATCAAACCTAGAATCTTGGAATAGATGTCTGATGTTTTCAACCCCATCTCGACTGTTTTTTACTATAATCAATAGGAATTAAATGTATTCCTGCTTTATTTTTTTCTGTTTCTTTCAGTCTAACAACTTCTGCATATTTTTGCGCAACTTAAGCCTTTTATTTATCAACATGTTCAGCTCATCCAGGAGATTGGTGCTTTGACTTCTGTTTATTGCAACTTTTACACTTTTAAAAACGTTAAAATCCCTTCAATTCTTCAAAAACGTACGCTTTGAAATTTGCTTCAGCATACCTGTTCTGTTTGCTTTTCTGTCGCTTTTAGCTCGACTTTTACCAATTTGAGCTGGTGATTTGCTCGCATGCTATGAAAACACAGGAATTTGACTAGGGATGCACAATATTATCGGCATGGTATCGGCCGATATTAGCGATAAAGTTAGATATTGGACATTCCATCAAAACAACTTACCAATAAAAAAGGCACTGTATATAATATATATATATATATATATATATATATATATATATATATATATATATATAAAGGCGCTGTTTTTGTATGACAACCCAGTGACAAGGAAGCCTGCAGTGCCAGTACATCGTTATGACATCACATTGAGTTTAGATTTGTGAAAATTTACAAATTTGCACTGTTCGAGTGTTGTCATTGTGTTAGAGAGTAAATGTCATCAATAAATTTGACATTAAACATAATCCATGTCAAAGTGTTCCATCATTTTCAGTCCCCTTTTTGACATCTGCATTTGGTAGCAGGCCAAACTTACAAAGACCATGCAGAATAATGTATTTTAATTCCACAGCAGAGAAAGCTATGTAGTCTCTGTAAGTAGATGTAGGGGGAAAAATATTGGTATTGGTATCGGTTATCAGCCAAATAAGTTTTAACATATCGGCCAAAATTCCAATATTGTGCATCCCTATATTTGACCATATAAAAGTTTGTACACCATCAGAAGCTGCTTTGAATTTCTTAATTTCATCCACTCGCTGCTTTCTGAGTAGTTTTCTTTATTATAGAATGCAAACGTTACTTTTTATTTTCAATAGTAAAAGAAAAACTCTTTAAAGATACAAGAATGCTTTAATTTGTTTAGCCAAAAATGCTTTTTTTAAATACAAAGATCAGTTTTATTAATATTAACTGTACTTTTTCCTCTACAAACTCAAAAATCAGGAGTTTTAAATGGTCGTATTATGCTCGGTTTGACCTGGAATTTAAAGAAGCGGTGAGCAGGACTTAGGGACGTCTAAAGCTGCAGATTAGAACTAAAAGATTATAATCAGCCCCAGCTTCTGAATGCAGGAGAAACAAGGACGGTGGGTAAAAATGTAAACACACACAGTAAAGTATTTGGTTTGTATGTTTTAGCCTACTGTCAAAATATGACAATTTTATTAGATTTTTGTGCCAAATTTCCACATTTTAAAATAGGAAAAACTTTTAAAATAATAGATAAGAGAAGTTAAAGCTTACAGAAGGAAGGCAGTCTTCCTCCAACTCTGAATCTGCAGGGAACAGATCCACGGCTCCGATCACTGAGATGGGCCGATGTCGTTGCACGTCTCCGTTCATGCTACAGTTTTCAGAGCTGACTCCATTCCTGTTATCACCGCAGACATTATGCAGCAGCGTGTCAGATGTCCTTTCCTCGTCATACTGCTCAGCAGCTTCCTCGGGGATTAAATGCTTCCTGGAAACCAGCTGTGCATAGTCAGAAATGGGCCTAGGTCTCGGGCGCCCACTTCTTCGCCTGGACTTGACCGAAGAGGTTTCTGTGGAATCTGCGGCTGCATCTGTTGGAGATGTGGGCGATACGGGTGACTCTAAGGAGCATGATGGGGAGATGGGAGGTGGGCTGCTGCTTGCTGCTGATATTTCTTCTGTTTGGACAAGTGGTTCTAGACTTTGTAGATCTGATCTCAGCTGGGGGAAAGAAAAGAAAAAAAACAGAGTTGATGTCTGTTAAATAACGTTTCAATCAGTGTACAAAGGTTTGGACCAGTCGGCCGGAAACAAAGAACATTTGTTAATCAGTTGTAAAAGGAAAATGGCTAGAACAGGATTAAGTTAGAAACTACTTCAAGGATATTTAACAAAACAGTCCAAAACAAAACACTGATTTATTTTGAATTCACTCAACCACTCAGTGACCAGCTCCACAATTTCAACAGTCGACTCTCTGCTTACCTGATCTGAACAAAAACTGCACAGATCTCACTAAAGAAACATTATCAGACGGTGCGATATACCCAACAAAAAGCTGATTGGAAAAAAAAAAAGCTCTTAGACTTTTAGGTTTACAACAGAAATAAGGCTCACCTCTTGCTTTTCTTGATCTGGCTCCGGGCCCTGGCATATACACTGGAAAGGCACGCAAAGTCCTAGCACCATCGTGAAACACACAAAAACACTGGCCGGCTGGTCCCTACATTTTGTTTAAGACCAGTAAAAGCCTTGTGATGTCTAAATACAGGTGTTCTTCCAGTTCATTGTCAAAAAGAAAATCTGCCGATGTTAACAAATTTTCCAAAACTTCTGCATTAATCTCCCCGTCTACTTGGTGGTGCTGTTAGCTGTCGTAAGCCTGGAGTGCAGAGAGCTGTACTTTGATCTCTGCAGCTACAGCTAAAGTGAAGAAGGAGAAGTGAGGCTGTGCTCAGTCTGAGCCTCCTACCCTCCCACAGGAACAGGACTATGGAGCTGTTTTTGCGCAGGGGGGGGGGGGGGGGTCACTAATCATAAACAAAGCCTAATCATTAACTCTCCCTGCTCCTTCAGAGAGCCTGGTAGCGCAGCGAGCTGGCTTGAGCATGTGACTGCTGCAGAGGACGTCAGGAATCAAACACGGCTGACGGGAACAGAAGGGTCAATCAATGCTAGGACTTTCTTCACCTGACATGCAAGGAGACTTTGGACTTCTCACAGCTTGGATTTTGAGCTACGTGCTCCAGTACCTACAAGCATGACATTATCGTGGGAACATAAATTAAGAGCCGTACTAAATTCAAAGGTCATTTTGGATTTATAGGAGTGATATTTTCCTGCTCGAGTGAAGGGTCAAGGCTAATTCAAATCAAAAAGCCATTTATTGCTGTTCAAAATGAGAACAATTTAACTTTTTATCCGTCTTAGAGCTTCCTTCTCTTTCAATCTGGGCATCTTTATTTGTGCTGTTTTGAAATTAAAACAATATCTAAGAATTAAATTAAAATCATTGTCATTATTTAAACAGCTACAATTTTAATCCATGCAGCCTTTTAAAAACTATGCAACACTTCATATCTTAAATATAAAAACATAAATTATTAATAATTTCTAAAGTTTTAGCTTCGTTGTGATCAGATATCTTACCTGTGCAGATGGCTCTTTGAACAACCTCAGCTACGTTAGCATGAGTCCACTTTAGTCTCAGCTCAGCTCAGACTATTCAACAAATATTAATCATTCTGGACCATTCCACAGAACCCCACTTGAAAAAATTATAAATATAATTTTAATGTTTATTTAGAGGCTGAGAAATAAGTTTTAGTGAACACTTCAAAAAGGATTGAACAGTCTGTAAAAAGTCCCTACACAGCATATTCTGGTTTTCAGGTGGATAAAGGCTACAGATTAATTCCTACAATCCTAGCGTTATTTGACAGATTGCTGCCTCACCTCCTTCGATAGTGAGCCGTCTTCAGTTTGGTCTTGGTGTTGAGAAGTCTCTCTTTGGCTTAGTGTCGGTGAAAATCCTTCATTTAACTGTTGATAACTTTTTGTTGGAGCCAGCGGCTCGTGCTGAGCAGGAACACCAGCTGAAATCGGCTCCGTTGACTCTGCGGGCTCTACAGGAAGCGGACTGATGACAACTGGACACGACTGGACGTCTCCATTGTTTTCAGGCTGATGATGAACAAGCAGCGCGTGTTCAACAGAACCGACCGGGACGGTGATGGGTAATGGCCGACGCTGTCGCTCGTTCGTTTGTAGGCAAGGCGCACGGCGAGAATAGTCATCGTGGAGTCGGCTCAGTGGGGACATGAGCGATGGAGAGGTGGGACTGGAGGAAGGACTGTGCTTACGTCGGACAGTGAGGTCAGTCATGCTGCCGATTAGTTTCAGCATTTGTGTTTTGTTTTTTACGGGGCTCCTCCTGTGGCAATCTGTGCATCTCCGAAGGTCCACTGAAGAAAAGCTAGAGGTCCTTAGGATGTTTGGTGTCCCATTTGATAAACTAATCCTTTGGGTGTTTTCCTGTAATGGACGTCCAGTACACGGGGCTTTGTTGCTAACAGGTAGCTTGAAAGTAGGAAGATTCTCTGTGCTTCTGCTCCGTTTGCTCAGAACTTTCACATTTCTTTTTTCAATCAGGGTCTCCGTGTGGGCCTTAAAGGCTTGATGTGGTTCTTGTGTGGTAACCGTAGTGACATTTTTGCTACTTCCAGCTCGTCTCCCATGTTCCATGTCATGTAACATTATCCTTCCAGCACCGTACGCTCTCCTGATGCTTCTTGAGAATCGTGAATTGCGAGTGAGTAAATTTACATCAATATCTTCATCGTCGTAGTCATCAATATCTGAGCCACACTGGCTAAACGTAGGCGAGCTTTGCTCCGTAAAATTTCTGTTATTCACATTATTTCCTTCAGATTCCGTCTTAAAAAAATTAGTCTCCTCAGTATTATTCACAGCTGAGCCATTGGTCATTTCCTTGTTTGGTAAATGGACGTGGCCTCCATTGTTGCTTGCTGCCGCTTTACTCTGAATCCCTTGCAGCACAGATGATCGTAACTTTTTAAAGGAGTCCACAACACCCAGACCTGAAAGTCCTGCCCACGGCTGGTGGCTGCTGTCGCCATCGTTGCTGCTGGCAGAGGTTGGACTCTCGGCAGCAGGACTGTGAGCAGGAACTGGGCCTTTTTTGGAGTTGGAAAAAAGCCTCATGATTCTTGAAGAGTAAGGTTTGCCTTCAGTTTGACCTAAAACAGAGTTGGACCAGGAGTTGATGCCGTTTAATCTGCTCTCATCAGAGCGAGGACCGGCAGTCATTGGCTGCACCTGGGCGCTGCATCCCGACAGCAGATAGGGGACCGGGTTCCTCTCATGATGGCTCTGCTGTGGATAAATATCACTGAGGGGTCTGCTCCGGATTAGAGGCTCAGTTCTGGAGCTGTGAAAGCACCGGAGGGGCTCTTCACTTCTGGAAAAGACCGGGTCCTTTAGTTCTGCCTGCAAAAGAAAGTTTAATATAATAATGTAATGCACAAATCAAATACAATTTTAGATATTAATATGTAATAAATGAAAGGATGAGAAGAAATAAAAAGATGAAAATCCCAAACTATGAACAGGGTGAAGAGGAGAAACACATTTCACTGAGAACGCAACATGCATTTGTCTTTGGCACTGTGTTCAAGGAGAGTGGAGGCCCAGGCTGGGGTAGAGGGGGTGCAAACTTCAGCCTTAAGTGTGTGTGAGTCAGGGCAGTGGCTAATGCAGCTGAGGCTTTGAAGTCCAGCTTTGTGAGCCTGACTAAGCAATGAAAATTGCTAATCCATTGTGATTAATGCAATAAATTGCCCATTTTTTCCTCCAGATTACAGAGAAGATTAGGTGATGATGACGGAAATGGTTGTGTGGTCCTCGAATCTTCAAATCATTGAAATGTACAATATGATAAAAGTTAGCAAGGCGCTAACAAAGCAAAACAACTTTGATCAATTTCACCATAATTTACAGCTCCAAATGTTTAAAAACATCACAACAGCCGATTATGAATTCAAAATTTACTGATCGTTTCAATCATAGCAGATTGAATGAGCTCAGGGGCAGGATGTGGCCCAGGAGCCACAAGTTGACAATCAATGCTTTACAGTTGCCTAAAAACTATTTACTACTCTGACAAACGTTACCGGAGCACTATAAAATTAACATCATGCTCAGAGCTGACAGGTTTGTTCTGACCTGCAGGTTTCTTTTTCCATCTTTTTGATTGCAGTCTTGGATTTTACAACATTAGAAAATGCAAATTCAACTTAGCACAGATGCGAATCAGTATGATCATTATCAGATGCTTCAGCTGACCTGAAAATGACCTATTTTTAAAGTAAGAAATTAAGAGAATCGCAGTTACAAAAAAAAAAATTACCTTCCCGAGGTCTGACAAAATCAAAAAAAGATTAAACGCTTTAAAGAAGGATCGCCTCTGGTGCTCAGCTGCAGGGAGAAGCAGCGTTTTCTAATCGTTTCCATACAGACGAGCTTCGTCAATCAAGCATTCAGTGGAATCTGCTGTCACTTCAACCGGCTTACTCCATCGCACCGAACACTTGTGTAAACACAGAGCCACCGCCGCCAAGCACTGCTGCTGACAGACACTGAACACCCTTCACAAACAATGTGAGGCTTTTAGAACCACGCTGAATTGTCTCCTTGTGCTTTCTCCTCCGTGAGCAGCCGAGGAATCATGTTGGGTAGCAACTGGAAAAATAGAGGATCAATAATTCTGTCTGCTTTCCAAGCGGAAAGATAGAAGGAAGATAAGCAAGGAATGTCCACAGCTCCAGCTTGAGCAGCTTTTCGTTTTGAATGCTTGTGTCATGAAATCAGTCGTTCTATCACATGCTTCCTTCAGCACCTTCTAGTTTTTTTTTTTTTTTACCGCGGCAGGCGCCAACTGTCACACGCCACCTGGCAGCTCCTAATTCTTGGCAGCGCTGACAGTGAGAACTAAGGTGAGACAGGTGCTCACCTTTTCACACACCCGTAAGATCCTTTTACATTAAAGTAAACCTATGGTTCACCTGTTTAGCTGAGTTAGTCTACTAAATCTTAGCAGCTTTTAGCATAACCTGCTACTTTGTAACACACGTCATAAATAATAAGAAGAATTCACAATTGGAATCTGCGTGTTTAAAAGTTCAAACTTGTAATAATAATTTAAAAAAAAATCTAAATATAAACAAATAAATCAAATACTCGGTTAGCTGAAGAATGGGAGCAAATTTTCAATATATGAACTAATTATTATCTGTAGTTGAATACTTTGCACTATCTTGTGTAATAAGTGTACATATACCTCTAAACTGTCATTAACTCAAATACCTCCTTTTAAATTAAATTTAAAACACACTATTGAAGTTTAAACGTAAGCAACAATGCCAAATATTACTTACATTTACGTCCTCACTTCCTACAGTCAGCGTGTTTAACTTTCCTGTGTTGCCCACATGCCAGGATCGCTGCTTCTCTCAGCTTCCTCTCGCTAATCTGTCGATGGGAGCGGTACACTGGAGGCCCTGGTCCAGAGTTAATTAAGAGCTCAGGGAGGAGTCCCCCACCCCGCACTCACACACCCAGTGGAGCCAGCTGGAGCCAGCATAAGATTAGACTCCCAGGGAGGAGGAACAACATGCTTTCAGATACATAAACATGTACACAGCGGTGGTAAGGCAGAAATGCATTCCAAAAACAGACGAGTGATTAGTCAAAGCATCCTTTCAGTCTGTGTACATGCACACTAACAAACGCGTGCACGGAGCAGGGAGGGAAAGCAGTGACAGGACCAACTCCGTTCTTGTTTGACCAGAGAATCAAGGCGAGCAGTTATGCGAGGAATCATAAACGCATGGAGTCTGCAGGGTTCGGTTCGGCAGGGGCACCTCCAGCTGAAGGCTAGGATAAAACTCATTAGGATGAAATGACTCTCAGATTTGAAAAAATAAAAAATAAATAAAAACCCAGACAGGATATATTGAAGCAAAGTTAAGCCTTCTCATTTTTCTACTTTGTCTTAACACTTAGACACCCTGGAGCAGTAGAAATACATTCTCATGTGTTACAGTTTAAGTCGTAATAAATAAAAGCTGCGAGGACGACGAACCTATCACCAACACCGCACGGTGTTTCACAGAACAGATTGTCGGATCAGAAAATCAGCGTGCCTAGACTGGATTTTTTTAAACTTAAGCTGCATTTACAGTACAATGAGAAAAAATAGTTCTTTTTTTCAGTCTTTGCCTTTAAATTGCACAAGTGTCTTGCAGGATTAAGCAACTCCTGTCAATAACGAGTGCTGATATGAATTCATAATAAAATATTGTGTGTTGATGCCTGTTTGCCAACTTTTAGGCTTTTCTGCTTGGAATGAAATGTGTCAGCGAGGAGACTCTAAAAGGAAATCAATCCACCACATGAATGCACAATGTGTGCATGGTGGAGTGTGTATGGCCTAGTCCTCCTCCACTCCAGTAATAATCTGATTAGTGGAGTTTTAGCAGTCTGTGTTCAGGACTGGTTTCATCTATACAATAGCCTAATCAGGTGGATCACTTGGTTATTCGGCACCGATTGAAAGACACCAAAAGCTTGTAAACTGGCAGGCCCACTGGACTTAAGTACAGGGGGCCCACTGGTCTTGGTAACAGAAAGATAAAGAGTTTATTTTAAGACCACGCATTTTCAAAAAACCTAGCGATCAGTGCCATTTTGGATTAAAGGAGGGCTGTTTTGAGAGGAGTTCTTCGTAGATCAAGCTCAGTTTTCTGAACAAAGTGTCATATTTGTCCATGGCCTAGTTCCTGATTATCAATGTGGAACAGCAGAAGCAGCAGGATGGACACCACACCTCTCTTCCTATAGAGCGTGAGAAGCTCAGGTAGAGAGGCCAAACCAGGGAGTGCCTTCACTCTTACTGGGACAGAGTCATGCTCACCCGATCTGTGGGGGACTGTCACAAAGACAGACAAGCAGAAATCTTATACCACACAATGGCAGAGTTAGTGGGGACAAAGCAGCACTGAGCCTTGCTGTCATCAGCCTACAGTGTAACCTGACAGCAGTGGCACAAAAGCATTAAAAAACCATGACAAAATGTTTAACTACCTAATCTGAGCTTTAAAAAGTTCAGATCAGGACAATGTGGCCTCGTGTACAAAGTGAAATTGTTATCGCCTGCCATGGAGGATCAAAGGCATTACTGTGTGTTAGTTTGTCTGTCTGTCAAATATCTTAAAGGCAAGTGGACGGATTTTAATGAAACTCTCAAAAAGTAATTATGCATAACTCCAACTAATTACCTTTGGGAGACATCACTGGAAACGGCCACCAGAGATAAACCACTTTAGCAAACACAAAAACGGCTTTAGCTAAGCTAAAATCTGGTGTAGCAGTAGCTGAGCATCATTTCCAACATATAATCCAAGTCCATAATATTTTTGTAATCACCTGTTAGCGTCAGTCTTGTTTGTTAGTAAAATATCTCACGAACCACTGGAGAAACTTTACTGTAATTCTCATAAAGTAATCATTGGATGCACCACAGCTAATCAACGTTAGCTAGCACAAAAGCACAAGTCAGACAATTTTTTACAGATTTTGAGGCAGAATTTGGAGTGGTAGTAGCTGAGAGGCATCCAGAACACATAATCTGAGCGCTAACACATCTGGCAATGGTGGTGTAACTATGTCATTTCTCATACGTTACATTAATCCTGTGGCAATAAGAGGAGTGTGACCTAGCAGAAAAACCTAAAACAAATAATAAAAGTTTATTATATTTTTGGGGGAGGAGGGGGAGGGGAAGCAATATGAAACACTGGCTGATTCTCTGAGTTCATGAAGCATTCAGGGCTCAAGAAGTGCTTATTTACTTCTGCATTAATTAACTTTCTTGGGCCGTTGGGCTCTTTGTAGTTTCTTTGTAGTTAGCCCCTCCCACAACAACTCCCTGCACGGCCTGGCATCTCCCCCATCACTATAACAACCACTGCTGTAATGCTCCACAATAACCCCCCCCTCACACGCCACTCCTCATCCACAGCCAGGTCCTAATTCAAATCACTGCCAGTGCTCTTAGTGATAAGTGTTTTTATCAAGACGCCCTGTGTAAACAAGCTGGAAAGTGCACAAGTCAGTGAATAGTAGCGATAAAACTCACCCTGCTCATAATGTCCTCCTCCCGACTGGTCTCCTCAACTCACCAGCTGTTTGGCTATTTGTCCATGTCGAGAAGACTAGTCGTCCAGCGGCTAACTGCCTCGACCTCTCGTAAATAACATGTCGGAGACAAAAAAAACAAAAGTCCCGACGAGTGGCTCCTTTCACCGCTCGCCCCGCAGCATACTGACTGAAAAGACACGGATCGTCGCTTCTTTTTTAAGCTAGCTCCGCGCGCGAGATGATTAAAAAAACTTATCTTTTGAGTTGCGCAAACACCGAAAGGTTTCTAATTTCTCTCTCCAGAACCGGGGGAACTCGTTGGTAAGCGCAAGATAAACAGTGAAACATCCGATATGACTTGTGGTTTACTCAAAGAGCGGCTCGGTGTTTCGATAAGGAGCTCCAGCAACAAGACGTTCTTCTTGGAGGATTGGGATCGAGAGCATCATCCGTGCACTTGTTGCAGTGTTTGAAGTGGGCGGGGTTTAAACTGAATACTGTGAAGGCTATTGGTTGACCACAACGTGACCGCTCATGTAACAGCCAATAACACGTCAGACCGAAATAATAAAACCACGCCCATCTGCAAGGAACCTTAAAGATGAACGCAATAAATTAAGGCAGGCCGTTGCAGCATCTAATCAAACTAGAGTCCCCAAAACTGTTACACATAAAATGGTAAGAATTGCAATGTAAAGTACTTAAAATAATACTTACACCATAAAAATGCAATTTTTACTTTCAAAGTGCATTTTTTTACTTGAATTTGATCATATATTAGAAAAGTGTTTCTATTTTATTATACAAAATTAAATTTTTGCTAGTAACAATAAAACTGTAGATATCTGAATTGAGTTTGTCTGAATAAAAATTTTGTCTCGAATTTTTTCCTTCTCCTTTTGGCTGCTGCCTTCCTCAGACCACAGCAAACTAATTCGCACAAAGACTTGGCAATTGCCTTTTTTGTATGCTGGATGCCCTTCGTGACACAACCACAGCCCTTTGTGCAGAAGAGCGCTGTCATCTAGAGCGCCTTAGGGAGCAGATGGTGGGGGTTGGGGGCCTTGCTCAGGGGCCCAGGGTGGTGCAAGTGAGGGTGGAGACAGGTGTGGGTGCCTCACCTTTCCCACCCACATTTTGATGTTGTCAGTCTGGGGGATCGAGCCTGCAAACTTCTGAGCACAGGCTCACCTTCCTAACCTCTGCACCACCACTCCCCATATCCACAATAATTATTTTTGATTGGAAGAATACATATGAGGAAAATAATACTCATTAAAGCTAGTCACTTGTTCCCAGAAGAACAACTTTTGAGCTGTCAGGAAACGTTGGTTGCTGACAGGTAGAATGGCATTTCATCTATAAAATGTCATTTAAGTCAGTTTACTTGTTTAGATTTTTTCCACAGAGCCACAGACAGCAGCTCCAACCATCACTAAATTATAACACATCTATAAAACCAACAATTAAGCCTAAGTCTCAAGTTAAACCTGAAGTCTCGCTGTCAAGATCTCGTGGAACTACAATATAATGAGCTGACTTGCCGTGAACACACAATGTAACACCCTGCCTCCTAAGACTGGGCCTTCCAGTTGTCGGTGCGCCGTCTTCCTCATGTCATGTCACTGAATCATGACCAAAGAATTAATGTCATGAGCATTTCTGTTCCATGCCCATCCCTGAAAACCAGAAAAAGACGCATGGTGTCTGTGAGTGCTCTTTGTTGTCGGACAACAAGATGCAGCGCAGATTAAACCTTTGAATACTTTTCATCATGATTTAAAAGGAATGTTTCACATCTGACACGTTTGTTCTCACAGCCACTCATTCTCATAGCAGAATCAATTGTTCCTTATCAGTTTTGTTCAATTCCCTACAAACCAATGGGTTCACAGCATTTCCAAAGTTCTGTTTAAGGTCAGTAAATGTTTGCTGAAAATATGGCTAATCTTTTTTGATTTTTTTTTTAACTTAAAAATTAGTCATGCTTTTATTTTGTAACACTGATCGAATATATATATATATATAAGTATATATATATATATATATATCTATTTA